CATATTCTGATGAGTTGAAAAGAATTGAAAATAAAATTGATGTACAACCAATTAAAGGATGGATGAAGAAGAAAAGTCCTGCTCTTCTTAAAGGTTGGCAAAAGCGTTACTTTATGCTTATTGAGAACTAATAGGATGGACCCTGGAAATTAGTGTATTTTGATAATGATGTAAGTCAAATAACCTGAATGTAGAAAACTGATACTAAGCCTAATGGTGCTTTTGATTTATCAACAATTACATCCATTAATTAGATATCCAAAAAAGAATTCACTATTTAATTTCCTGGTCGAAATCTAGAATTAAAAGTTAAAACTCCTGAATTGTGTCAATAATGGATTACCACTCTAAATTATTTAAGAGCAACCTCTTCCCCTCAGAGAACAAAGAGATAAGTTAGTATGGATTCAGTTGTAAAGATGGCAGACGAAAGTCCAACTAAGTGTATGAAATTTCTCATTTTGTAGTATAAAACCATAAGATTGTGGATACTTATACAGCTCAATAAGCATAAGTGTATAAGGAGAGGCAACGTAATTCTCTACTCATAGACTTGTCTAAGGGAGATAAGAAGATTAAGGAAAAACAAAATATCTCTTAATTATCAAATGATAAGATGATTGAATTAATTGGTTTGAAAGAATTCTTTAAAAATATGAATGAGTAATTTATTTATCAAAGAATGATTTATGGCTATTTGAGTAAAAGAAGCAAAGGAAAAGTAAAGTACTTTTAAAAACGTTGGTTTATATTAGTATCAGCTAAACCTTTAGTATTTATTATTAAATAATCATAGTATTCTGATTATAATGATGAAAAGATATTGCATGAATCTTAATTACCTCCTTGGTTAGAATTGGATACAATAACTTATTTTAAATAAAAAGAAGAAGGAAAACCTCCTAAATCTAAAGGAGATGTCAAAATGTTAGATTGTTAAGAAATTATAATAAAAAATATGTCAAAATCAAAAGAAAGTGGTTACACCTTCAAATTAAATATGGGAGATAGATTATATCATCTTATGGCTGATTCTGAATTAGAACGTACTAAATGGCAATCTGCTTTAAGTGCATCTATAAGAATAACAAAAGAAATTAATAATCCATTAAAAATTAAAATTAAAAAGAATATTGATCCTTTAATCAAATTATATGATGAAGAAACTCAATTGATAGCAAGAAGAGAAAAGATTAGATTAAAATTAGAATAGGATATTGCAGCTATCTTAACAGAAGAGGATGTTGTTGATCTAAATAAATTGATTAATTAATTAACTGATTTGAGATAAGATATGTTAGAGTCAATGTAAGCTAGTATAGTAAAAGATCCTTAAAGAAAAGATATAGTAAAAGAATACACAGATATTTATCATGAAAAGATATGTGATAGAATTACTAAATTTTGGGATTAGTTTTATATGAAATTATAAGTAATAATAAATTTATATCTTATTTTTAGTCTCCAGAATTATTATTAATAGGATAATGGTTACATGAATATTTATTATAGATGAAGGATTTCTTTAATGATGATCGTATACTATAAGGAGTTAGAGTACTTCTAAATATCTATGTAAATCGATCACTTGAAAGTTTGGAATCAGTTATTCATTAAATAATTGAACAGGAAAGAATATAAGAACCATTCTTAAATGATTAAGAATAATTGATTACCTAAACTCCAGTTGATTTGTTCAAAATAATAAACGAAGGTTTTGATATGGCATATAAATTATGTTCATGTAAAGAAACAGTACTTAGATTTGGAGGTTTTGGCAAAGTTATCTTATAATAGTATTAAGGAGGGATTTAAGAAATTATTGATGAATATTAACTCTCGATATCTAAGTTTGTAGCCATATGTAATAATACATTGGCTTTACATGATAATACAAAACAATATTCAAAAAGACTATAAACTTTTGGCAATTTAAGTGATGAAGAAGTTGAAAAAGTATTTGATGGATAAAAAATTACTAAGAATTTTGTTTAAATAGCAAGTAATTGTAGAGAAAGAATTTTCATATTTTATTTCAGTCGTGTTGGTACTCATTTTAAAAAGCATTATCTCGAAATTAAGATTATAGATACTCTAAAATCAATAATCGAACCAGCCACTGAAGCATTATCATAATTACATGATAGTTTTAGTAGAAAATTATGGAAATAACTCACTGATTCAATAATTCTCTACTATTTTAATTAATTCATTATATCTTGTAGTAAAGCAAAAAAAGAATAATAAAATGAATTTATAAGAAAATTAGAAAATGATAAAGAAATCTTATTTTAAGAATTAGAGACATTTATTTTTGAAAAGTAATTATAAGCAGCTTTGAAACCTTTTGATGATATGATATCATTTTTGAATGAGGAATCTCTAAGTATTTTAGATCCTTGTAAAAGCTTAAGGTAGTATTTCGGAAGAGCATTTTCTGAAAAAACAATAAAATCTATTATGACTCTAAGATTTGATATGGATAAGGAATAAAAGAAAGAGACTATTGAAATTTGTAAGAATCTAATTGATGATATTAATAAAACTTAACCTATTGAAGATGACACTATTAGAATTATAGATTTTTTAGGTTAAGAGGATGAGGAATAAAATACTAATTAACTTTAATAGCAAGAATAAATATAAAGAAGAGCAGATATTCGATTAGATTTTAATGATAATGAAAATTAATATGTAAATATAAATTAATTTTGTAGATCCCTTAATAATAATAATAATAAATTTAAATTGAAAAAGAAGAATATATAGATGAAGGTTATTTATATAAGAAGAAACCTAAATCAAAGGCTTGGGATTATAGATTTGTTAGAATTAGAAAAGGGTTTATGTATTGGTATATAAATTCAAATTCAAGAGAAGCTTAGAATAAAATTAATCTTTAAAATGTTGATGAAGTCATTCCAAATCCTAAAAAGCCTACAAATTTTAAGATCTAGTTAGAAGATTCAAAAATATATAAGTTTAAAACACAAACAAAAGAAGAATGTGAATTATGGATAAAAACTATATTAAGAGAATAAAATCAAACTGAAGTGACAGTTATAACATTAGAAGCTATCGTAATATTTAATATATATATATTATTAGTAAATAGGAAATGGGAAAATGCCTATTATAAAAGATTATGATGAAATTGCAAGGAAGGAAAGATAAAGATAGAAATAAGAAGAAAGAAAAAGAAAAAGAATTGAAAAAGAAAATGAGTAAATATATGTTATATAATTTAGATTAAAAAAAAAGTAAATGGAATTGAAATTACTTTAATAATAATAATTGAAAGAATTAGGAGATAAACCATAACCTCATTAAGTAGAAGTATTTGAATAATAAAGAAGATCGGTATAGATTGAATATAATATAATTATAGGGTGATACCACTAAAAAAACTACTTCTTGTTGGACTTCATTTTTGATAGCTTTAGGAGTTGAAAGACCTAAGTGAGTATTATCATAACTATTGATAATAACTATTTTAAATAAACTTAGAAATTATACTATTTTAATTTCTATTATTTTATATTTTAATATGAAAGTCTTTTTATTTAATAATAAAATAAAAAAATGAATCCAGAATATATTTGTTAAGAACCCTCATGCAATCTATCAAAATAGCATTCTAATCATATTTGTTTTGAAATTTCCAATTTAGAATGCTATTATAATGAATTATTTAATTCTAATATCATTTTGGATTCTAATTTTTATTTCACTCAAATTTATTTACTCAAAGAAACACTTGATAAAATCAAAACTACTTTTTTAGATAAATTATAAATTCAATAATAGTAATATAATTTATTGTTAGATGAATATCAAAAATCTATTCCAAATTGGAAATTATTAGCTTAAAATGTAGAAATGGGATCAAATGGATTTAAATTAAAGATTGATTGTGCAGATATACTATTTAAAATAGGTAATCTATTAAAAATATGTTAAAATTTTTATAATCAAAAATCATCAACATAAAAATCATCAACATAAAAATCTGAAAGTAGAATTAAAATTAAAATAAATACTCCAATATAATCATAAACAATGGAAGAAGAAATCTAAAATATAGAAATTAAAGCTAAATTATAAGACAATATTTCTGTTGGAAATACATCAGAAAAAAAAATTATTTAACTTTAATATATATAACCTGATTCAACTCTAATATTATTTGAAAACAATAATTTGATGAATTATAATTTAATATCAAAGTTTTCTAGATAAAGAATAATTGTATGTAATAAATTTCATTATTTTGACAAAAAACTTTTAATCTAATACAATAATTTTAATCAACTTTATTAATTTGATTCTACATAAAAGGTTTTTAATCAAGTTTAAGATTTTTAAGTTACAGATACTATATGGGTTTAATTGGGATAAGAAGATATGATTTATCAAAAATCAAATTTACATTTTTATAAAAAATCATTCAAAACCAAAGTAGAAATTGAAATACTTTAATGGAATTTCAATATTAAGACAGTTAATTATCTATTAAAAAATCAATTAGCCATATTTTATCAAAAATCATTAATTATCTATAATCTAAATAATTTATCTTAGTCAGAATGGTAATTATAAATTAATGATAATATATAAGAAATTAAATAGAATACTAATGATTATTTAGTATTGATTGGTTTTACTCACTTATATATGATATCAATTGCAAAGAAATCTGTAGTAAAGAAATTTAATTTTGGAAAGTCAAATTGTTTGATTATTCCTAGTCCTTCAATTCCATATTTGTTTTTGATTGGATATAGTGGAAATGTTTATGAATCAAAAACTTATTTTCACAACACAAAATAATTATTATCTAATATCATAAGTTAACACCCTACTGCTATTTTTATGGATGATCAAACTATATTGATAGGAGATGATTTAGGATTCATATAAAAATTTAAATACACTTTAGGAAAATGAGAGAATATCAATTTTATTTTTAAAATATTACATATTTAAAACCCAATTAAATTATGTTTAATTTTCTGGCTTCATTAAATTCTAAATCTAATGACAATCCAAATAGTTATGAAAGAGTATCTTAAAGTATAAACACTGGTTTATGGATAGAGCACTTTAAAATTAAGTCAATAAATGATTTTAGTTTAATTGCTTTATAATAGATATGTATATTATATCAATATATTTAGAGAATGAAGAACTTGTAACAGGACTATATAAAATAACATATCATTTTGATTTAGATAAACTCATATACTAAAAATTTTGTAAATATTTAGGAAAAAAACAATATTGTAAAATCTCTAAGAAATTAGAAGATTTTTTCTTAATAATTAATTCAAATTCAAGTTTAATTCATTATAATATTCTTAATAATAAAGAAGATGAGATAAAAGCTAAAGAAGACTATAAAATTTAAGGATTAAAATTAACAAATAATTAGTCTATGATTGTATTATATTTAAGAAGCAAATAATAAAATAATATTGAAATACAATTAAGAAGTATCTTCAATTCAACAGTATTATTATAAGTTTTTAATTTATGCTCTAATTGGAACTTAGAATATCTATCTGTTTAAAGGATAGATTAAAATAATATGATTGGAGTAATAATGGAGTAAGATTAGATGGAGGATTATTAAATTTATATCAAAAGAATAATAAATAAAAAGATAGTAAAAATTTAGATAATTAATACATTTAGTAATCATTTTGTTGATAGTAAAATTTATACTTTACAAGGCATAGATTGTAATTTCTAACAAAATGAATATTCTAAAGGATTTAAATTATAAACTATAAAGCATCAAAAAATATTAAGATAATTGTGTATAAGAAGATTTGAATTTTATAAAGTTATTGATAAGAAAATAATATTAATATGTGAAAGTATTGGCTTTGGTAGATTTAGAATATTTCGATATGATATAAAAACAGGAAATTAAATTGATTTAAAGGAAAGTGATGATATTATTGGAAATATCTAAAAGTTAAAGTTGGAAATGAATAAACTTTATTTATGTAAATATAGATGGTAATTGAAAAAATAAGAATAAGATACAATGTTTAATTTAAAGATAGGTTGATAAATAATAATAAAAATTCAATTTAAAATAAATTTAATTATTAATATAGAAACACATATAAATTAATTTTATTATTTATATCAATTCTTATCATCAATCAATGTGAGGTATTATTATGTATTAATAAATTTTTATTTAAAATATTACTTTAGATGATTGAGATATGATGTTACAAGTATATTATAATAAATTTAAATAATTATTATGCTGCAAAGTAACTCTTTAAAAGAGAGACTGAAATGTAAAATAGAGTTTGGTTAAGATGAAGAAAAGCCAGAAATAATCAGTTTAAATATAGTAGATGATGCAATAAAATTTGAGGATAGATATGAGACATTTTAAGTACTGGGTAATAATAATTTTAGTTATGTATAGGTTAGGGAGCACATGCTATAGTAAAATTGGCAAGGAAAAGAGAAACTAATGATTTATATGCAGTAAAAATAACAAGAATGAATAATGAAGAAATATATAATAATGTGAAAAGAACATTTTATAATGCTCGTTGTCTTAGACATCAAAACATTATTCAAGAGATTGAATTATTTATAAATGAAAAATATTGCAGTGCTTGTTTAGTTATGGAATATTGTCGTTTTCCTACATTAGAATAAATATTAATAGAGAGAGGAACTTTAAGAGAGGATGAAACTAGATAAATTATCAAGTAATTATTAATTGCTATTCAACATATACATAATAAGGGAATAAGTCATAGAGATATTAAGCCAGATAATATATTAGTAAATATTGAAGGTAATTGTGAATTAAAATTACTTGATTTTGGTGTTTCAAGAAGGTTTTTATAAAAAAATAATCACATTGAAATGCTAACTAAAACTGGTAACATATATTATTGTGCTCCAGAAATTTATCATTAAGCACATTATTCAAAAGAAATTGATATATGGAGTATTGGAGTCGTTATGTTTTAATGTATGACAGGTCAATTACCTTTACATGAGAATTCTATGAGTGATTAAATTTAATTGTTAAGAACACCTGAATAATGGAATTTTAAGAATAAAGTCAAGGATGAATCACTTAGTGCTTAAAATCTATTATTTAGACTTTTATCGGCTGATCCAAAAAAACGGATTACAACAATAGAAGCATTAAAACATCCATTCATAGAAAAAAATCTTATATATACTACTTTAGCTATGTTATCATCTTCTAAGATGTTTGAAGATGAAGATGGATTTGCAAATAAATGTAAATCTTTATAAAGCAGTTTATCTATAAATCAAAATTAGAATTTGCATAGAGCATTAAAAACTTTACATTTAGGAATAGAATATTAAGATATAGTTATAGAAGATTTAATTTTTGAACTTGGCAATATTCATGTAGTTTAAAAAAGGAATGGAGAAAATTATCCAGGTTTAATATAATTAATGAATTCTCTTGGGAATAGTTCAGGTAACAATTAAACAGAAGTTTAAAATAATAATGAGAAATGCAATTTAGATATAGGATCTTCATAAAGCATATGTATAGAAATAAACTATTAATTAGTATCTACAGAAAATTATACATAAGATTATTTTGGTGATCTTTGTAATATATAATCTAGTGTCGATCTTGGTAATACAGGAAATAATATATAAATTGAAGATAAGAAGAAATAAACAGAAATAAATTAATTTGTAAATTAAATAGGTAGCAAGATTGAATGCAGTATTGATATTAATTTAACTGACTGCATTTAAGAATCTGGATTAAATAATAATTAAAATCAATTGATTTCAACTTTGGATGTATTAGGAATGAAACAATGTAATGAGGAGATAGAAAATACAATATGATATGATTTATAATTCATTTTTTTTTTCTTCATTTCTTTGTTTGTTACTAAATTAATATTAAATATATTTTTATACGTTAACGAAAAACTCAGAAAATATTTATTTCATCTAAACTCCTTCTCCAAATCTAGGAGAAATTATAGTAATAGGTTTATTTGAAGGACTGTTTTAATCTAAAGTATTCACAAACCCTTATGAAGAATTAGCTTATTTAAATATTTTTATGCCATTTTTATTTTCTTTTTTTGGTACCTTTTCAAATTATGTTTTCTTTGTCTAAATATTTAAATATGATAAATACAGGTCTTTATTTTTTTCCTGATTAAGGTGATAATATTGGATTTCTTGATTGTTACTAAATTTTAGGTTTTTAATTCATAGGTGGTGAGACAGATTTTTATGTAATTTCTGTATGATAAGTTCTAATAGATGATTTCCATTCTTTTTCAATAGATTCTCCTCTTGGATAATATTTTTTCAAATGAAAATCATTTCTATGCATCATAGTTTCATAATTTTATGGACATCTTGAGCTATGGATATTCTTTTTAGGATCACTTATAGTATCAATATAACTATAGATAGTTTTTTTAAGAGATAATTTATGATGAGATTGATTTACAATTTGTTCATTACTATTAACAAGAACTTTTTAATTCAATTGTTATGAGCTATTTATTTTATGATGTCCTTTAGTTGTTTTGTTAGATTCTTATTATTAATGATTGCAATAAACACTATCAGTGATGTGTTTTAAACCTGAAATGTTAAGTGAATAGACTGACATATAATTAATATAATAAGTAAATGGATTTTAAAACTCGATTCTAAGGCAGAACTACTACTATGGATAAAAATGGTGTTATAGGAATAGTATCAAAGGTTTCATAACCAATTAATAAATAAAATGAGGGATCAATTATCACAACCAACGTAAATACGTATTAAAATCCTCCATCATACTATTTTCAGAAGTTCCAAAAAAATGCTTAGAAAGTTTTATAATCAGATATAGATATTGATTTAACACCCTCAACCAGATCTGATTATCCATCTTATAAATTTAGACATGACTTTCAAAAATTAAATATGGATGAATATGAAATTGTTGCAATTCCAAAAAAAGTTTTAGAAGGTGAGAAATATTCAATGACACATTCATTTGTACCATTAGTAAATAAAGGAATGAATTATATGGCAAGTTCACAAATAGGTTAGAGTTAGCAGTTAATCAAAACTCAATCTAATAATAATTATTCAAGATAATTAAAGAATGTTAATACAATTCAAAGTGCTAATCCTTTTATCTAAGCAGGATATGGAGCACTTAAACAAAAATAGTTATATTTACAAAATCTTAAAAAATGATTTTGACTAAGACTATTTATTGTTATAAATATCAAAATTATTTATAAGTTACATATCCTTATTTTCAATCCTCAAATTTTTTATATAATTAACATTATATATATATTAATAATAAATGTAATCTGTTGATTTTGCTAAGCAAGTTATAGGAGAACCGCTTCGTTGCATAGTCAGAATTAAACCACCTTCAAATTTTTAGAAGGAAGATGTACGAATTAATAATTAATAAATACTTCTCACTGATAACAATAGAAGTAATATTTAACATTAATTATAATTCTTTTAGTTTTGGAAGAATTTGAATGTCCTGAAGCTTATGGACCTGAATTCTCAATGCATTAAATCTATGAATAATTCTTACAATAATTTACAGGCCCATTCATCCAAGGATTGAACGTAAACATATTCGCATATGGGTAGTGAAATTAAAAATAAAACTTAGATCTACAGGAGCAGGCAAAACATAAACTATTGAAGGGAACAAAAAAGAACATGGACTTATATTGAATTATGCATCTTCAATATTCTCATTATTAGAAAACAAGAAATTTCATACCAATTAATCTTAAGCATCTTAACTTGTTAATTATTCATATGGATTAAGAGCAAGATATGTTGAAATTATAGATGAAGAAGTTTCTGATCTATTTGCTCCACCAAATAAACGATTAAATGATCAATTACAAATCTTAGATCATGCATGGGAAGGACCTACAATTGCCAATTCAACTTGGGTAACTGTTAATAATGAAATTCAATTATAAGAAGCTCTTAATAGTGGATAAAGAAATCGTAATCAAACTACAAATGAATTTGGTAAAGTATCAAATAAGGCAACATCCTTTTTTACATTAGAATTATTATAAAGTTCATTATAAAAGGATACAAATGAACCATTAATTATGTTATCTAGATTATGTTTTTTTGATTTAGCAGGATCTGAAGTTTTGATAGATGATCCAGAAACCATAAGAATTAAATAAGGATCTACTTTAAATAAATCTATAATTTCATTTACATAATTACTTAAAGAATTAGGATAACCATAAACTGCAGATCATGCTGCTTATGATACTTCTGCATTAACTTCTATTGTAAAGGAATTAGTAGGTAGTAATTCACTTTCTATTGGTATTTTTTGTGTATAACATGGTGATCCAAAAGGTACTAGTTTAACTTTAAATATTTATAAATATTGTAAGAATATTAAGAACTTTCCAATTGTTAATGATAGTAAAGTACTTGGTTTATTACACAAATTTCGTTTAGAATGTTAAGCAGCTAGATTATCTGGAAGAGGTGGTTATGGTGATACTGGAAATAATAAAATGTTAGAGTTAGAAAAGAAATTAATTGAAGATAATTTAGATAAAATGAGGAATGCAGATGAAAAATAAAGAATGGCTTAGAAATTATCTACAATGAGAGAAAAGTATAATGAAATTGTTAGACAAAAAGCAGAATTATAATAAGATTTAATAAGAAGTGAAGAAGAAAAATTAGAAGTTTCTAAAGCTTTAGTAGAATTATAAATAGAGAATACAAGATTGATGGAAATTATATAGAATGAAAAATATGATATGAATAATAAATTATTGAATGCAGAATCAGATTTATTATCATTAAATATAAGAGAAGAGAAAGCATTGAAAACTATTTAAGAATTATAAGATAATTTAAAAGAAACTAAGGATGACAAAAGAGCTTTAGAAATTGAATTTGTTGCACTTAAAAAAAATTATATTAATATATCTACAGCATTAGAAACTGAAAAAGCCAAAAGTGAGAATATAGGATTAGAATTAATTAATGTTGTTAATGAAAATAAATCACTTCATTAAGAATTAAATGATATCTATAAGAAATCTGGAAATACAAATGAAGAAAATGCTAGATTTATGAAGAAGTATACTTATGATTTAGTTTAGAATTGAAAAATTAGAATAAGAAAACCGAGAATAGAGAGAAGCACTAATTTATACTAAGGCTGAAATTGAGAGATTGAAAACAGAAATGCTTAAATATGAGATCTTAGATTAACAACATAGAATTGATTTAGATAATAAAAAATTAGAAATTGAAAAAGGATTTCTTGAAGCAAATAGAGAAAAATAAAATGAAGTATATAAAATGAATAGAGAATAAGATGATGCTGTTAAAAAAATGAGAGATGAAAAATTATTATGGGAAAGTTAAAAAATGGAATTAACTCATAAAATTAAAACTATGTAAAGAAGAGTAAATGATGAAGAAGAAAGAATTAAAGAATTAGAAAGATAAATATAAGAATTATAATCAGAAAATTAAAAAATGGATTTATAAATGAATGAAATGAGATCATTATATAGAAATAAACTTATGCAATTTGCAACTGATGGTAAACCAGATAAAGCAAGTAGAATTGGATATGATTTTAATGCTAGAGAAGATTTAATAAGAACATATACTGAAAAAGAAATTGAATTAAATGAAAAAATAGAAAGAGAAAAAAAAAATGCAAAATAAGCTTAATTTTAAGTTAGATAACTTAAAAGTTATGCTAGAAATTTAAAATATCTTTGTGAAGATTGGGCTCCAGTTGGAATTCCTTTACCAGATATACTTACAAAAGATGCTACATTTTTAGAAGATGAAACTTATGGTACTTTATAAGGAGATCATTAAGCAGAAATAGAAAGATTGAGAATGAGGAATAAAAAATTAGAAAATGAAGTTAGAATTTTATAAGAAAATATTATGAATGGTGTTGGAGGAGGTAATTTAGATTTGAGTAAAAGAATATCTAATGAAATGGAAATGTTAAAATAAAATAAAAATAAATCATCTATTGATGGAGACTTTTAAATTGATTAATTAAGAAAAGAAAGAAATGATTTATAAGAAGAAAATAGAAGATTAGTGACATTATTAAAAGATAATAAAAAATGGGATGTTTACATTTTATAAAGAGAAAATGAAAGATTAATGAGATAAATGAAAGAATAAGAAGTAGGTTTAAATGCTATGGGACCAATGTCAGGAGAAGCAAAAACTGTTTAATCAAAAGTATAATATATTTATTCTAAATTTCTAGTTGTAAATGTATGAGAGATCTCTTAAACAATTAGAAAAAGAGAGATCTGAATTAATTGTTAGAGCTACAATGGCTGAAGAATAACTTAAAGCATTACAAGAGCATTTAGCAAAATAAAGTTAAGATTATTAAAGAAAACTTTTAGAAATCAAAAGAGGTGGTAGTATATTCTGATCAAATGATAATTATTTTATTATAACAAATGAACTTAAATATTATATATAAATATATATATATAATTATAATAGATTAAATTCATTATAAATAATGTGAAGATATGAAATTATTATAGTATTAAATTTAAATAAATTAATAATAATTATTAGATTTTGTATATTAAATTGATGAACAGGATTTTTAAGTATACTTCTTAAATTTTATATTGTTTATTAATATTTCTAACATTAAAATTTTTATTAAGAAACCGTCTTTTATAATTTATTTGTAAGAAGTAAATTAATAAATATTAATATTTTAATTCTAAATTATCAACAAAATTTCATACAAAATTATAATCGATCTTGAAAGAAAAATATGTTTCAATAAATATTCAAGCTATTAATTATATTCTTTCATTTTATTTTAGTCTTTTTGAATATATTATTTTATAGCAATAGTAATATTTATTCATTATGCCATTATTTTTCAAATTACTGAATTCATTTATTGAATTGCTATCATCAAGTATATTTATTATTGTTTTGCAAATATTATCATATATGTATTAAAAGAATTATGAAATCATAAATATGATTACCTAATATTTGTAATGTGACATTAATTTGTATTTGAAATTATATTCATTATCTAAGTTTATAAATAATGGATTCTCATAAGGAAGATGGTAACTATTAATCTAATATTAGTGTTACACAAACTTAAATTCAATAAAATAATAAAAAATTCACCAAAAACCAATTTTGAAGAATGCTTAAATCCTCCCTCTTTTGATGAAAGCTTTTTCTTAGTTAAACCGATCATATTAGAAAATAACTAAATAGAAATTAAGTAAGAATAAATTAATCAATTCTTGCTTGAGAATTGTGAGAAATGGATAGAAACATAAGTATCAACTAAATATCCAGCACCTCTAAAGTAAAAATAAATAATTAGAAAATTATCACAATTTTCTGTATTTATTTAAATACTCATCTTTATGAAATATTTGATAGATATTTTTAACATCTTACTCAACCTCTTTTGTGGATTATATATCCCCTATCTTAAACTCATAGAAAGCAATGAAAAAATTAGAAATATACTATATTTTCTCATATTTTTTCATTTTTTTACAATATTAATCTAAAATATTTTCTCCTACTTATAAATTATCAAAACAAAAAGACAATCTTGTGAAGAAAAGTTCAGATTTTTAAATGAAATTACTCTAAAGAATTTAACAATTATATCTTTTATATTAATTTATATTGTAGAAAATGTCAACTTAATTCTTTAAATTATTTCATTGTATTATTTTTCCCTTGGATATAAAATGATTGAAATATCTACTATTTTGCTAATTATTTAGAGAAGTAAATTATGAAATAATAAATAAATTAGAAAAATTTTATAAAACTCTAGCTATATTTAAAGTAATCGTTTATTATATTTACTTTTTACATCTATTTTCAAGTTTTTTCCAAAACACTAATTGTGATGGTGACTTTAGAATGAAATATTAAGAATCCTTAATAATCAACATTAATTTTTTAACATTTTAGGCTAATTATAATGTCTAGGATTCAACAATGAATTTTGAGGTAATAATTAATTAGATAATGGCTTTAATTATTATGTTTTATACAATAAATGTTATCATTCAAATTAGATCTAAAGATGATTGTATTTAAAATTAAATTAAATTTGATGTTTATGTATTACAATATTACATATGGCATCATAAAGGTTAAATCTTTAAAAAATTAAAATTTTACTCATAAATTTCTAATAGGGAATTTACAAAACAACAAGTATGTATTTTATTATAAATAAAAAGTTGGCTCAATAAGACATTATTAAGAAAATTTATTAATAAATTATGAAAGATAATTTAAAAGTTTTAGAGATATTTTCAAAATAATTTAATATCAATTTATCTTCAAAAGTGAAATCAATAAGGAGAACTAAAGATAAAATAAAAGAAGATAAATATGGATTATATTTGATTTTGAAAGGATAAGGAAATTTAAGTTTTGCAACAAAATTTAATTATAAAAAAGTAATAGAATCAAAATAATTTGTATTTGGATTAATCAATTGTTTTTAGAAAAACATTTCTGAGGTAGAATTAGAATTGGATAATCAATTTTTATTGTTATACATCAAGCCTGAAGATTTTTATTCAAGTCTTACAGTGGGATAAGATTTTGTAAATATTCATTTAAGAATAGGAATCATTTCATATGATAAAAAATAAAATAGTCTTTGAAGGGGAAACGAGTCTGATAGATTATAGATGTTGGATTTGTAATTAATTTCATTCAGAAAGAAAATGTAAAATTCTAAAATTAGAAATAACTTCTAATATGTTAAATGAATAAAATATTAGAATGAAATTTAATAAAAGATTTAAGAAGAAAAGATAAAGAGCATTTAAAACATATGTAAAATTCAATTTTAATAGTATTTAGATGATTTATAAATAAAATGATGATGCAACGATTGATTAGAGTGAGAGTAGTGTTAGTGATAGTTGTGATTAATTTGAAATACATGCTGATGATGGCAGCGGAAGTCAAAAATTTACAGATAAAAACTTAATTGTAACAAGTACAATTTAAAAGGATGGGTATACAGCAGACTACATTCCAGATAAATTGTATGAACAATTGAAGAGTAGCCATAGAAATATATAATTGCAGCCATCTATTCAAACAAGTAGTTAATAGATTGGAGAAATGCTTAGATCAGAAATTAGAAGCATTCCTTTACATTCATCTTAATTCAAATTTTAAGATCTTTTAAGTGTTGATGACATTGACTGTCTTAAAGAATATGTATATTTTTATCCAGAATTCAACATCAGCTATATTATTTCCCTTTTTCAAAATTGAAATTATTAAATATTCAATAATACTTTAATATATATTAGTAGTTTGGTTATAATTTCAATATATATATTAAATAAATTATCAAAAATCTATGTTTTCAGAATATTTAAAAAATTCAAACGAAAAACATTATAAATCTAATATTTTTTAATAATAAGGGAATTTATTAGAAAATCTTTATTAAAATTGTTAAAAGACTTTTCTAAAATAGATTTAGAACTTTGTATATCTATTTTTTTTAAATTATTAAAAAATAATGATAAATACTTTTAGACATATCAATAAAATGGATATTAATAAAATTTGATTTTGTTTTTGATTCCTTAATGGTTGATTGTATTAAAGTAGTAGTCATAATAAAATTTTATTAGTTTGAATTTGTAATTGATACTTTTATATAATAATAATTATATATATAATCAGTTATGAAAAAAGATGAAGCTCTAATAATTTTGAAGAAATACACTACAGAAGAAGATTGTCTATTTTGTTAGAAATATGGAAGAGTAACAACAGATAAAATTAATTTTGCACCTCTCCTCAATAGAGTAAGAAATAATCATATAGCAATTAGGCTTTGTACACAAAATATTCTTAATCTCAATGGAATGGAAAAAAATACGAGGACTTATTTTCTACAAAACCAGTATCATGGGTGATTCAATTTAAAGATAGATTAACATTTGAAGATTAAGATGAATTTCTTAAGAGGTATAAAAGAAAATAGTATTTGTGTTTATTAGGTTTTATCCAAAGAGTGATTAATAATCTAAATTTGATTAATTGTTAGAATACTATAAGTATCACAAAGATATTCCAAGAATGTTTTTACCAAGAGTTTCTGATTTAGCAATTTATTTTTATGAAAAAAAGAAGTAAATTATTTTAAGATTAAAATATTAGATAGATAGAGTATAGAAAGATAAAATTTATGTTGGGCATTCCTGTTGATGATGCTAGTAATTGTACCTGTAATCATATAGAAATAATTAGAATATGAGAAGCTTAAAGAAGATATCAAAGTATTAAATAGCATAACTCAGCAAACTCAAGTTTCTAGTCTTTCACTATTAAGAGAAATCTTAAAATCTAAAGCTAGTGATGAAATAATAGTAATTATATCTCATATATCCTTAGAATATAGATGCTACATGGATGACTATGAATTAGTAATAGTAATAATAATAAAAATCTTAATATCCACCTAATTTGAAATTGCTTAAATAATTAATATCCAAAAATACTCAATTTTATAAAGACAAATAAAATATTTATGTAGCTGGAATTAGTAAGAAGTCTATACAAAATTCACCTTAACAAAAAGGGCATCTCAAGACTTTAAGTAAAGAGATATCCCAAAAGTCATTAGTTTCATCTAATAAAATAATTAATAATAGTAATGGAGATACAGATTTATAGAAATTTTTAAAACAATAAATTTTATCTTAAAATCATGCAAATCCATGTATATCTAGTTCAAAATAATCTGCTAAAGCTAATCATATATCAAATTATTAATCTAAATAAAATAGTATTCATTATATTACTAGCACTCGAAGTATATCTTCAGAGTAATTAAAATTAATATAATCACAATAACCATTGAAATAAAGTAATAGTCCTAATTTGATGATTCCAACACATAAGAAAAGTTAGACCTAAACTCATTATACAGAAATAAATTCACCTAATAAGAATTCTAAATAAATCTCTTTGAAAATGCACACAAATATGGGATAAGATCTAAAATAATAATTAATTCAAACAAAATCCTCTGAAAAACTCTTTAAAATATATACTACTCAATCATCTGTACCTTTGTCAGCTAACATCAATATCAATATTAACCAACTTAATATGAATAATTTAAATATTAAGACTCCCTTTTAATAATACAAAGCTATGTTAGACAGTCCAAAAATCAATTCAAAATAAAAAACACAATCTAACATTGAAACTTAAAGGATTACTAGTGCTTAAAAGAGTACAAGTTCTTAGAAAAAAACCTAAATCTCAGTTTAATAGTTATATATCTAAAAAATTAAATCAAAAAATAAAATGATGAAAAAATGATTAACTCTATAAAAATTTAAAAATAATAAATTTTATATCTCTTCATATTTATAATAAAAATTATTATATTTATTATCTGTTAGATGCATAGATCATTTCATTAACTATAACAAAAATTTAACACACCTAAAATACAAAAAGAATAAGACAGTTATCCTATTCAAAACTCATAAATTTCTAAATAAGTCAGAAATGATGAAACTTTTTAATAATTTAGTATCATTGACCATCAAAAATATTATCTTCTAAACCAAAATACTCAGAATTTTCACCTCTATAATTTAAGTATTTCCTTATCTAAATTAAGCTGATAGAATTTATTCTCCAATAGGAAAATAAGATTAATCTCCTAATTTAACAAAAAAAGAATAAATCAAAATTATTAATTCATATGAAGTCAAAAATTGTAATTTGAATACTGAAAATATTCATCTACAAAATCAAATATAAGCAGATTAATTAAGATACGACAAAATAATAAATGAATAAGAAATGCAGCTCCTAAATTAATCTTACAAATTATAAACAGAATAACACAATATTTAATAATAATAATTATTATTATAATAAAAAAATGATGAAATTTAACTTTTAGCCAATGAAATGAAAAAGAATGAAATTAAGCTTAAATAAATTTAATAAAATGTATTTATTATGATTTATTAACAAGAATGTTCAATATGCAGATGAAAATTAGAATTTAAAATGTTAAATCTAAAATTTAGAACATGAATTATAATGTTTAAAATAATAATTTCAAGATATTCAACTTTAAAGTAAAAGGTAAATTGAGGAAACTTAAATATAAGTTGAAAATGAGTATTCCCTTAAAAGTTAACTACACTTAAAAAATGTTTAATAATAACATTAATAAATTTTGAGTTAGAAAAATGATAAACTTATATTAGAATAATAAAAATATTCAAAATTATTAGCTTAATTTGATAATTTAATAAATGAAAACAATAAATTGTAATAGTCAATAGATAATCTATAAATTGAAAAAAATACAATATAATAATAAATTAATTAATAAAATTAAATTTCTGAAGAACTAAGATAAAAAAGTATTAGTTTGACAAAAGAATTATAATTAATACATGATAATCATAATTAATAAGAATTTGTGCATTAAAAAATTATCTAAGAACTGAAATAATAAATCAATGGTTTATAAAGAAGATTAGATGACACTGTTTTAAAATATTAAAGTGAAAACTAATAATAAGATTAGAGAATAAGAGATTTATAATAGTAATTATAATAATCTGAGAACCATTTCTAAATAATGAAGACTGAAAATGCTAAATTATATGTGATAGATTAGGAATTAGAGAAAGAAATTAGAATATAATAATAAGAATAGGAGAGAATCATCAAATTGAAAAATTAAGAAATATAATAATTACAAGAAGATCTTTAGAAATTTAAGGAATAACTATTAGAATAGTAATCAAAATACTAGGAAAAATTACAGGAGTGTAACAAACAAGATTTGATTATTAATGATATCAAAAGTGAATTACAATTATAATAGAATTCTACAAATGAAAATGAAATAAGAATTAAAAAGTAATGGGAGAGAGATATTTTAGAGTTGAAAGGATTTCATCATTAACAGATTTATAATTTAGAAGAATAGATTAAAACTTTATAAGGAGAGATTGAAAAACTATTAATTTAAAATAGTAAGAATGATAAATAATTAAATTAATATAAATTTAATTAATAATTATTAGATAATTCAATAAATGAGTTGAAATATTAATAAGGGGAAATTGAAAAACAAAAAATAAATGAATTTAAAGATTATTAAACTGAATTTGAAAATTTTAGAAAAGAATTAAAAGATTAAAATATCAGGTTATAATAAGAAAAATAATAAACAGAGTAACAATTAAAGTAATAAAAATTAAAATTAAAAGAATTAGAAACTTCAAAAATAGAATTAGAATTTACATCTTCTTAATAGATTTAATAATACCAAGAACAATTAAAATAAAAAGATTAATAAATTAATTAATTTAATTAAGATAAAAATAAAATTGATACTTTATTAAAATAAACAAAAGAAAAATTAAATTAAGCAGAATTTCAATTAGTTGAGTTAAATTAAAGATCTGATATTTATCTTAAGGAATTTTAAGAATCAACATAATAAAGAGATCTTGAAAGAAATTAGTTTAGCTAAAAGTTTAATTTTTAAGAAATTAGAATATCAAAGTGTAAATAGGTTATTAATTAATATGAAATTGATATTTACAATCTTAACAATTAAATTGAAAAAACATAAAAATAAATGGATTAAACTTAGCTTGAATGTTAAAAAAAAATGGAAGAAGCAAAAAAGAAAGAGCAGAAATTATTAGATTAAATTATGAATTAAAATTAATAATTGAAAATGAATGAAGAATAATTTATCAAATATTAAGAGGAACATATAGAATCTAATAAATAAATTTAATAAATACTATAAGAAAAAGAAGCTATGATTAAGAGTTTAGAAAATTAAATAGAAAAATTAAATGTAATTAAAAATGAACTAATAATGGAAATAGAAAAATTAAATTAATAGATCTAAAATTATACTAAGGGAGAAAACTAACGATAGGATTGGGAACATTAATTAGAAAATGAAAAGGTATTTATTTAAATTAGTATTAGGCTATTTTAAATAATTAAATTGATATATTATAATAAAAGCTTAATTAAAAAGATGGTAAAATGAATTAATTGTAATAATAATATATAAATTTGGAAATTTAATATTAAGACAAAGAACTATAGTATGACTCTCTAAGATAATAAATAGATTAGAATTATGTACACATTGAAGATTATGATTAATTGAAATAGAAAAATAGTAATTTATTAAATGAGATTCATGAATTTGAGAATAAATCATTAAAATCAAATAGTGAGAGGTAATCATTGAAAAGATTAGTGGAAAAGTTAAAGAGTGATCTAGAGATGAAAGAATAAGAGTTAGATTAAGCTTTTATATAAATAAATAAGAAAAAGGGAGACAATGGTAATTTAGAGAAGATGACTAAAGAAATATAAAGATTGAGTTTTGAACTGTCAGATGCTTAAACTTTGTTGTAAGCAAAAAGTGAGTAATTAAATTTAATGAGAAGAGAAAATGATGATCAATTAGAACAGTTAAATAAGTTGAAGCGATAATAAAATTAAGTATAAGAAAAAGAATAATTTAGAAAGATAGATAGATAAATCTGAAAATTAAGAAGCGATATTTGAGAGTTTATTTGTAAAGATATTATATTAGTATTAATACAAAATTATATATAATTAAATTTAGTATCATTTATATTCACATTCATACAGGTTAACTATTAATTTTATTAAAAATTCATCATTTTTCATTTATTCAGAAGATGAATATCTTCATCCTTTGTTTTTTTTGTTAAAATCTATTAAGTTACTTTCTCTTTTCAGAACATTGTAACCTTAAAAATAGAATTGAAATGAAACTGATTATAAAAATATGTGACGTCAGGCAAAGGATATTGGTTTTGGTATATTTAGAATAAGTTGAAACTCAGACTATCTAGATCAGTGAATATTTGTGTACATATACAGATCTAGGACATTCTTTTGGATCACTTTTTTATTACTGTAACGATAAAGATTTTCCAGATTATTTAAATTTCTGTTCTTAATTTTTGTAAACTATAAAATAGTGTTACTATTTTGTTTGAATAATTAATGATTATCCCTGGAATTTAGGATTTAATTACATTTTTTTTAGTGCTTTTTTAGAATTAAATTATTATTAATTGTAATTTGATAGATATTTCCATTAATATTTATTTGGCTATTTAATTTAACAATTGTTTTAGATTTTAATATTTTATTTTTTTAATAAATTCTTAGCTTATCTAACTAAGTGTAAGTTTTTTCATTTAGATATTAATTGAATAATCTTCTAATTAACCAGCAAGAACCATTCATAAATGTAAATCAGGGTAGTTTTTCATCTTAATCTAGTTTTTTCTGGTCGGCATGTACTTGATAGACCCATCTTCGATATTTTTATTTAATTTGGATTAATTAATGATATAGATTGGCTTTAATTACAAGATCTGGTCTTCTAGAGTTAAGAAACTTAAAAGTTTTATAAAATTTCCACTTATATTTCTTATTCAATAGGTAGCAAGGGCACAAAAAGAACGAGTTCATCCTCTTATTAAATGAACTAAAACAGTTTCTCCATTATTATGCGCGTATTTACTAAATTGATAGATTAAATTAAAAGTATCATTAGGAAAAAGTAAATACTAATTCATTATATATAGAAAATATTGTTAAAATAATTAATGAAGAGAAGAAGATTATACAAATAGAAACATAAAAATATTGATATAATAAAACTTGTTTATTTTTTAGCCAATGAAATTTTAGATAGGAAACACTGTAGTTTTTGTATACAAATGGTAATTATTTGGCTGAAAAAATAAAAATTCGTGTTACTTAGTTCTGGATCACAAATTCATGATGTTTATAAGTTATAATAATATTGTAATTTAGAAGGTAATTCATCTCCTATGAATAGACCATTCTTTATTTTAATTGCTCTAGTTATCATTATTTTTTAATTAGTAATAAATTTTGAAATTTGAAAAATGGAATTAATGCCTTAATTATAAGAAATTCAAAAAGAGTTGCAATATTATACTAGATTCTTTTCAGAAAATAAGCTCTATCATTCTAGTAAGTGGACAGGAGAGTTATTATTAGGATTGACTTAAGAAGAAGATTTATAATCATCTTAATTTGCAATGTAATTTATCCAAAAAAATACAGATTACAATTATCATTTTATAAGAGAATTTGTTCCTGAATATAATGATATTATTTTAGTAGCTAGAAATCTATATGATTTAAGAGAATATAAGAAATGTGCATCTTTATTATAAAATTTAATACATAAAAATGAATCAGCAATGTTCCTTTATTATTACTCTCAATATATGCATGGAGAGTTGAGAAAGGAAGAAGAAATGTTTGAAAATGAAAATTCAAAAACAGCCATAAATCCAGAGCTTAAATTATTGGAAAGGGAATTATCTAAATTATACAATTAAAAGTAATTAAACTCATTAAATCTTTATTTGTATGGATTAATATTAAAAGATACAATGAGATTAAGAGAAGCAAGAGAAGTTTTTATTTAAGTTTTACATTAATTACCATGTTTTTGGAGTGTTTGGTTGGAATTATGTAAATTGTTAACAGAAGAAGATACTTTAGATGAATTACCAAATCATTGGATGAAATAATTTTGGAGTTCAAACTTTAATCTAGAAAAATTTAAAAATGCAAATTGTGTAGAATAATTTTAAACTTTACTTTATTATTTTAGAAATTCAAATTTTATAATAAATTAAATTGCAAATGCATATTATAATAATCAAGAATTTGAATTATCACTTGAATGGTTTGAAAGATTATTGAGTATTGATCCATATAGATTTGAAAGTCTAGATACATATTCAAATATATTGTATATAAAAGAAAATTAAGGTGAATTAGCAAATTTAGCATTATAATCATTTACTAATAATAAATATGTACCAGAAACTTGTTGTGTTGTAGGTAATTATTATTCTTTAATGAATGAACATGCAAAAGCTATTAATTACTTTTAAAGAGCTCTTAAATTAGATAAAGATTGTTTGGCAGCATGGACACTTATGGGACATGAATATTTAGAAATGAAAAATGTTGCATCTGCAATTTAATCATATAGAAATGCAGTAGAAATTGATCCTAAAGATTTTAGAGCATGGTATGGTTTGGGATAAACATATGCCTTATAAGGAATGAATTAATATGCTTTATATTATTTTAGTAGAGCTGTTATAAGTAGACCTAAAGATGCAAGAATGTGGAATGCTATGGCAGAATGTTATGATAAGATGGATAAGAAAAATGAATCAATGAAATGTTATGAAAGGGCAAATTAATGTAAAGATAAAGAGGGTATTGCTATTCATCAATTAGCTAAATTGTATGATGCAGTGGTAAGCATTTAAATTTCTTATGGATTAGGGTAAAACAGAAATGGCATTGTCAGCATTTGAAGAGAGTTTGAGAAGGAAAGATGATGAATAAATAGTTGATAAAGAATTATCAGAATCTTTAGTGTATTTGGCAAGAGCTTTTTTGAGAAGGGGAGATAAAGAGAGAGCTATGTAGATGGCTAAAAGATTATATGATTTTAATGGACCAGAAAGAGACGAAGCCAATTTAATAATGAGTTAGTTAAATAAATGAAATAAATATTATTATTGATGAATTAGATTTATCATGATTCTATATTATAGGCTTTAAAAACTCAAATCTTAGTTCCAATAACTTTAGATTGTCGATATTTCAAAGAAGCTCTAAGTGAAATTTCTAACGAATAACAGTTTTTATAAATAGAAGACTATTTATTAAACTAGGACTTGATTGATAAAGTTAATAGACGAACAGTTAACTTAATGATTGAATGTATTAAAATACTACGAAAGTATATGTTCATAGGATGGAATGTTAGACCTAAATTTATTGAAGTATTTTATAATTCTAAAAATAGGACATAGTAAATGAATTAATAGATAAAATTACAGAGGAATGGACAGAACCTATCTTTTTTGTACAAAGACTCCCAGAAATTAGAATATAAATAAAAGCATATTATAAGACATTTTAAGAAAACGCATTCGAGTAAATTTCAATTAGTCATTAGATAGATTATGTGATACATTAATTGGGGAACTGTGTGATGATTATTTAAATAGTGCATAAATAAATGTATTATTGAATGAAATTTTGGAGTCTCAATTAAAAAGGGTTGCATTTGATCTTTTTGAATTTGCTTATCTTGATACATAAATTACAAATGAATTTTTAGATACTCTATAAAATTTGTTTATTGATTTAGTTACTGATTTCTTTAATTATCTTATTGATATTGCTTGTCATGCTAATTATAAAATGTAACAATTAGATAAATTACTAAAAGTTTATGGATGTTTAGCAAATCAAGAGAATTATAAATATATGTAAAAGGAAATTTCATAAAATATTATTGATTATGGTGATATTAATTTAGTAGGTTAATCATTTTAAGTAAATCCAGAAAAACATTCTATTATTGTAAGATAAACTATTAAACATTTTTATTATGTAATGGATGAATGTAAATAATGGTTTACTACAAAATAACATAAGAATTTTGATGAATTGATTAATAATGCTTAATTTAATATAATTAAGCCACTTCCTTAAAATATTTAAGTTTTTCAAAATTAAGATGATATTCCACTTATGGAATTATGTCAAGAAATTAAAGTAATAAAATCAGTAAAAGTATAAAAAAATGATTTAAAAGGATTAAAAATTATTGTTAAAGATGAGAAAACTAATAAAGTTTAATAATTTATATTAAGTTTATCTTATCATTATTTAATGTTTCATAAATTTGAATAAGGTTGGGAATAATTTGAAGATGAAAAAGAATAAAATATACTTTTAGCTAAATTTTTAAATGAATAATTTGATTATCTACATTGTGGACATCCTGAATTTAAAAAAAGAGTTGCTAGTGAAAAATCTATTGATAGAACTACTGATGATATTTCTGGTTTCAAAAATGCTGTCATAAAATTTAAAAAAATTAGTGCACCTAAAAAACCAATTAGATATGGAACATCTAATAGAGTTATAGGTGGTAAAGCACTTGGAATGGGTATAGGTGTTCTTATTGTTGATTGTCTTGATGAAGATATACCATGGGATGATAAATTAAAAAATGCTGGATTTACAGCTATATCTTTTGGTGTTCTTGGTATTCTTGCTTCCAGATTACCAATTGTTGGTATTATCATTTAATAAGTGATTTTTGCCTTAGCTGTCAAATCTATTTTAGCCAATAAAGTAATTAATGATTCTTAAACAGCTAAAAATTTAGGTCATTTAGGTCTCATTATTACTATTGGTGTAGGAATGACAATAGCAGGTAGTATTATGTTTCCTGTTGCTTTTTGGGGAGCCTTTTTTGGTGGTCTTTTAGGTGGTGTAGGTATGGGTTTATATTAGAAGTTTTTGATTCCTTATTATATGGATAATATTGTTGAAATGATGAATAAAGCAAGTAAATTAATTAGAATAAATGGAGTTGTTAGATATAAAAAATATGCATTATAAAAATTATAAATTGATGAGAAATTTTTGGAAACTCATAAACCATCTAAATTGGAAGATGATTAATATTTTACATTACTTATGTATTGTCTTAGTAATGAAATAAGATTAATAAGTAATGCATCATATTCAAAATAATTGGAAAAATTAACTTAAAAAAATGCAAAAGAAGAAGATAAAGCTAATTTATTACAAAGATAATGTTAAATAGAAGTTTCATTGAAGATTTGGAATGATACTTATGATTATCTTAAATCTAATAATATAAGTTTAGTTGACAATGCTAAAACATGTGCTGAATTCGTAGATGGTATGCTTACAAATTATAAAGTTGAATGATGAAATAAATATATATTAATATATTTATAAGTTATATTAATGATATTATTATTATTATTATTTAATTAAAAATATTATCAAAGTATAATTTAAATACATTATATTTTAAAGTCACTAAATTATATGACTGCCTAAAAAATAGTTTAGAACAATGAATATCAGAGAATTGGAAATGTTTACATGTATTAGTTTTTTTATATAACAATATAATTGTTTTTTAAATGTTTACATTTACTTCATTTTTATAATTGTGATAATTAATATTTTTAGAAAAATTAAGAAAAATTTAATTATAATTACGTCATCGGAAATAAAAATAAGTTTTAATAATAATATAGAAGAATTAGAGAATAAGAGGATTTAATTGCTGTTTCTTTTATTAAGATTTAGAGCATATTTTAGTAATTGCTATGGTTTAATTTTTAATTAAATTTAATGTTCAATAATTGCAGAGATCCTCCAAGTTAAATTCTTCTACTCATTCTAACATAATTACCACCTTCCTTCCCTTTGACAAATGAGTACTTACACAAGAAGTTTAATGAGTTTGGAGACATTAAGAAAATACTTATTTTCGAAAGAGGAAAGACTAACAAGGCTTTTGTGGAATTTTATAATTTAAAGAGTGCAATATCAGCCAGGAAATAATTAAATGGCTTGAATATTCAAGGAGGAAAGTAATAAGTTATTTTGAATGTAGAATGATAATCCATTACTCTCGACTTAAAAATCTTAATCTCGAAATTGTGGATAATTCAAGAGGAACGGATTATACTTAAGCTAGCAGCAATAGTCAAAATTCAGATTCTATACTTCATTCTAAAACAGACGATAATATCAGAGTCAACTTAACTAATCATATTAGTTAGAGTTCATCTTCTAGAGCAAACTCAAGTCCAGTTAGAAATGAAGAGATCAATCGATTACTTGATTATGATGATGATGATTTTGATATTTGGAAACAAGAAATACAACTTAATTTGACTGACATGCATCCAGAAATACAAACCCTACTAAGATAGAAACAATCTAAATTACTTAGAATTGCATCAATAGACTCTAAAGTAACTGCAAAGATGATTTATAATGTCTTTACCAAATTTGGAAATATTGAAGAGATTCTATATTAAAAACAATTATAGAAAGCATATGTGAAATTCTAAACCATTAATTAAGCAATCATAGCAAAAGAATATCTCAATAACACATAATTCTTTGATTCAATTGTAATAATGTCTTATAATATATATAGTTGCGCATCTATTTTGAACCCTTACAACCATTATAACCAACATCCTTATAAGATGAATACATGATTTATTATAATGAAAACTGTACATAGAAAATTATGCCACTCTCATCTAATCTCATAATCACTGGAGTCTAAGATCCTACGGAAATCTCGGAATTAATCAAAATGTTTGCCAAAATTAAAGGTAAGTTAAATAATAAATAATTTATAGACATAAAAATTCATGTAAATAGTCTTTAACTATCAATGTGTTCAATTGCAGATACGCTTAAGATAATGGCAGTATTTTCAGATTATGAATTTAAGAATTAGAAGTTAAACATCATTCTCAAATGATGATTTATTATAATATTATATTAAATAATATGGAAAATCTATTAATAAGTTTTTTTAAAATCACTTCTAAGCTATTTTTATTTTCTCTCTCTATTATGAAATTATTTAATTTAATAAATTTTATTCTTTTATAGCTTCCAAACCAGAAATTTATTAAACTCTCTTAAGCATTGAAATATTCAATTTATTTGGAATAGACTTATCTTTTACAAAATGAGGATCATTATATTCTAATGATGTATTTTATCTTGGCATTTCAACTGAATAATTTTATTGTTATAATTGTTACTTTTATTATCTTAAAATTTTTTATCTTATTTAATTTGAGTTCAGTTATTGTAAAGAAATAAAATTATTGCTCTATTTATTTTCTACATTATTTGTTGTTGTTTTAAATTTTATTATTTTACCTTATATTTCAAATTCATTTAATCTTTCAATTGAATTTTATTCATCTTATCTTGAAATCTTAATAATTTATTTATGATCTGAAACAGATCTCTTTTATCTCTCATTTTGATATCCAGGTATACTGTGATATCTATTACTTTTTATAATTTTTTTAGAGGAATTATTTAAAAACTTTTGTTCTTAATATTCTTATAAATATATATCATCTTCTTCTTCTTATTGATCCATTAAATCTTTAAGAAAATCTGTTACCAATGGTAATTTATTTAAACTTTCCCATGTAAGACCAGATTGTCTTTCTTAAGATACATTCAAACTCTAATCCTATTCTTTAAATTAACAGGATTTAGGCTTTTAAGGATCTGGTAATTTTTCAATAAGTTCAGTTAAATTAGGATACTTAGTAAGTAGTTAAGATTTAGTAAAATGTTTTAATTCAAATTATAATTTGTAAAATGCTTTCTTTTTTCTTTCAATGAGTTTCTATTATTCATTTTATTATTTCCTTTATAATAAAATTTATTTGATTTATTCATCATTTTTGACATCTGGATGATATATTTTAAATTGATATTTGATATCTTTAATTCTTTCAGTTTTATCTTTCATTTAAAATGGTCTTTGAAATGTTTTCATTTTTTAAATACAAATTTTCCAGTTATTTAATCCTAAATTTGTTAAGTATTACACATAATTTATTCCTTCTTCTCCTGCTAAGACATTTAATAATTAAACAAACTAATCAAAATTAAGTTCCTTTGAATTCTTAGCTTGCTTTTTGAATAACTCTACTAATCTTGATGTATTAATTTTCACTTAAAAATCTCTACAAAAATGCATCCACTTACCAATAGTAAATATAGTTGCTTCATATTATTATCTATCAAATGTAGCAAATTATCCCTATACATACTACTGTTTACAATAGAAGTCAAAAACTCTGTGTAAAACTTCTTTGTTTTGCATAATCATTATTTTTATATATATAATTGCTANAATATTCAATTTATTTGGAATAGACTTATCTTTTACAAAATGAGGATCATTATATTCTAATGATGTATTTTATCTTGGCATTTCAACTGAATAATTTTATTGTTATAATTGTTACTTTTATTATCTTAAAATTTTTTATCTTATTTAATTTGAGTTCAGTTATTGTAAAGAAATAAAATTATTGCTCTATTTATTTTCTACATTATTTGTTGTTGTTTTAAATTTTATTATTTTACCTTATATTTCAAATTCATTTAATCTTTCAATTGAATTTTATTCATCTTATCTTGAAATCTTAATAATTTATTTATGATCTGAAACAGATCTCTTTTATCTCTCATTTTGATATCCAGGTATACTGTGATATCTATTACTTTTTATAATTTTTTTAGAGGAATTATTTAAAAACTTTTGTTCTTAATATTCTTATAAATATATATCATCTTCTTCTTCTTATTGATCCATTAAATCTTTAAGAAAATCTGTTACCAATGGTAATTTATTTAAACTTTCCCATGTAAGACCAGATTGTCTTTCTTAAGATACATTCAAACTCTAATCCTATTCTTTAAATTAACAGGATTTAGGCTTTTAAGGATCTGGTAATTTTTCAATAAGTTCAGTTAAATTAGGATACTTAGTAAGTAGTTAAGATTTAGTAAAATGTTTTAATTCAAATTATAATTTGTAAAATGCTTTCTTTTTTCTTTCAATGAGTTTCTATTATTCATTTTATTATTTCCTTTATAATAAAATTTATTTGATTTATTCATCATTTTTGACATCTGGATGATATATTTTAAATTGATATTTGATATCTTTAATTCTTTCAGTTTTATCTTTCATTTAAAATGGTCTTTGAAATGTTTTCATTTTTTAAATACAAATTTTCCAGTTATTTAATCCTAAATTTGTTAAGTATTACACATAATTTATTCCTTCTTCTCCTGCTAAGACATTTAATAATTAAACAAACTAATCAAAATTAAGTTCCTTTGAATTCTTAGCTTGCTTTTTGAATAACTCTACTAATCTTGATGTATTAATTTTCACTTAAAAATCTCTACAAAAATGCATCCACTTACCAATAGTAAATATAGTTGCTTCATATTATTATCTATCAAATGTAGCAAATTATCCCTATACATACTACTGTTTACAATAGAAGTCAAAAACTCTGTGTAAAACTTCTTTGTTTTGCATAATCATTATTTTTATATATATAATTGCTAAAATTCTTCAATATTTTCATCCTCCCCAATCCATCTTACTCTTTTCCCCATATTCCATTCTCCTCTTTTAGTAATTCCATCTTTAGTAAATAATCCATAACCATGTTATTTTCCTTAATGCCAATATCCATTATACACTCTACCATCTGGCCAAACAAATCTTCCTAATCCCTCTTTTAATTCATCTTCATATGATCCTTCATATATACGTCCATCTGGCCATTTCATAATTCCATTAATAAATTGATTCTTCACCCATTATCCTCTAAATTCACTCCCATCAGCCCATTTAAAAATACCTTATCCTTAAATATCCCCTTCAAAAAAGTCTCCTCTATAATAAGATGAATCTACAAATTCAATATAACCTTTTCCATGTCTCTTACCATCTTTATAATTACCTTTGTATACAGCTTCATCAGCAAATCGTTCAGAACCACAACCATTTTACAAATTATGCTCCCATTTACCTTCATAAATTGATGTATTAGTTTTTAATTGACCCTAACCATGACATTCCCCTTATTAAAAGCTACCAATATATAGATAGTTTTCAGCTGATAATTTGCCTTATCCATGAAAAAGGTTATTCTCAAAGAAACCCTCATATCTCCTGCCATCATCCATAACCAAAATACCCCAACCATGCATTTTATTATCTTCAATTTAACCATGATATCGTCCACCTTCAACTATAATCCAATCTCTCTATGTTTATTCATCATCCTCTTCTGTTCTATAGAGATGATGTAAATTTAAATAAGTCTCATGTAACACCAATTCTCTTTAACTAACAGACTAAGAAGTGCAACAACCCATTCAGTTAATTTAAATAATTAAAAAAATGGAACAAATTTTAGATGAAAAGATGTATGCCATAGATCAAAAATAAAAAGATAAATATCCACTCACAAATTAAATATCTTAAGATTTTGAAGATGATACACATATATATCGTATAATAAAATTAGGAAAGGAATCTGTGAAAATAATGTAAGATTTAAAATGGGAAAGTAATATATTATAAATATTATTTCTAGAAAGATTACTTAAAGAAAGAGAATGGAGAAAATTGAGAGTATGTTAAAGTAGAGGATGGTTACATTATGCAATTTTTGAGAAAGAACCATACGTTTTGTTGTTCAAAAGAAAGATTACAAAAAATAAAAGATCATGAAAAAACTTTGATTTTAGTTGTTTGTATCATTAAGTATTTCTAATTTATTAAATTTATTATCATCAATTATTTGATTAAATAAATTAATATTTAATATTTAAATATAATAATGTCTAATATATTAAGACTATGCCCAAAATGTTAAACAAGTCCAGCTACAATCTAATGTATTGATTGTGAAGAAAAGATGTGTTATAATTGTGATTAAAAGGTACATTAGAAATTGAAATAACATAGAACTGATATCATTCCTTATTCATGTAAAATATCTATTAAAAAAGAGATGAAATAGATTAAATCGACTAAATTTATCATAAGTGGCATTAAAGACCACTCTAATATAACATATGAATTGCAGCAAGAACTTAATGAATTAGAAGCTATAATAGAGGCTAAATAATCATTTTTAATTAAATAAGAAGAGAAATGGAATAAATAAATAAGTTCTCTTGAAATGTAATATGAAAAGAAATTACAGTAATTTGAAAAAGAAATTGAATTTAATGAAAATTAGTTTAAGAATTACTAATCAAATGGAAATTCAACATCTATGATTGTTGACATAAAAAAATAAATGGAAGCATAAAAACAGTAATTTTGTATATTATAAATAGATAAGCATGGAAAGAATTAAATGAGAGGAAAATTCAATTATAAGATAAAGAAGCTTTACTAAAAGGTATGATTTAAGCTTAGGAGTTTTATTAAAAAGAAATAACATAGAAGGAGAAATTAATTAATTAATTTAAGGATTTATTATAATAATAATAAGTTGAAAGAGATCTGTTAAAAGAAGAAAATAAAAAAATAATCAAATAATTAGAATCTATAAAAGATTTATGTAAAAAAAGTTTGCCTGAATTTGGAATCAATATTGATTTTTTGGATAAATTAGGTAAACAGAATTAAATAAATAATGATGAATAAATTGAAGAATATGAGGAAGATTAAAATGAAGAAATATAAAAAGATAATGTGTAAAATGAAATAGATTAAAAATAGTAAGAATTATAATGATTTTATTTTAAATATTCATATAAATATGTATAAATTTATTATTAAAATTATTATAATCATCTATAACCAACAAATAAATTAAATGCTACAACAATTAAACCAATAGAATAATTTCTCAAGAGTACTGAGATACTATGATAATCTTAATTTGACTTATTTATAAATTAATTAATTAAATTGATTATCAACCCATATATAATACCTTCAATTTATTATAAAACTTATTTAATAGGTCTAACCATAATAAAGACATGTTTGCTAAATAGTAATCCTATATAAACATCTTAAACAGATTGAAAATATCCATAATAATAGGCAATTAGTAATTCAACAATTAAAATAGAATGCAATCTATATAATTTTCTCATTGTATTTCTATCAATAATTCTACCTTATTTAGTATAAGGACCTCTATGCATTACATATTTTTATACATCCATATTACATTATTTTTATACTTAATGTGAAAAATGATTCAAAGCTAAATAGAAAATGATAAAGGTTGGAATTGGCATAATATAAATGTTATCAGATAATATGGCAGAGGCAATTGCAAATATCATAATAGTTTATGATGTACATGCCTAAGCATAAGAATAAGACAATATATAGAAATATACTGCTCTTCCTTAACTAATACATTCATACATGGAGGATATATAACTATAATCAGTTTATTCGAGATGATTAAATAATTTGATGCATGATCTAGATTCATGAGGTCCAATACTTACATGTGCCATTTCCATTGCTTTTCCATCATTTTCTTCTCCTTTTATAAATATAATTTTATCATATAATTTAAGTAAATTAATTAATTGTTCTTTTCTATCAGCATTTCCTCCAATAATAATATTTTTATTTTTGATTTCCTCATAAAGTTTTTATTAATCAATAATTCCTTAAAATTAGAATTTCTACTTTTATTATTCTAACCATTCTAAAGTCTTGCTTGATTGAATCTTTTCTAATTTTAAATGATCCAAAGTAGGACACGTTAATCTTCTACTTAAAAATACAAATTTATTTTTCTATTCAAAACTACTACTTAATAAAGTTCCTTCTATATATTTATCATCTATTTCATCTTCTTTTACAAGACCTGATTAAATTGCTGTTTTTTAAACTTCTTCCAATTATAATTAAGTGAAAAGTCTAATATTTATTTATGATTTACTAAACATAGTTACTTTATTATCTATTTTATCTATAATCATCTCATTTACCTACCCCAACCAATATAATGATAGATAATCTTATATATAAATACTTCTTTATCTGCATTTCTTTATTACATAGATCATAAATAAATTGATTAATTAAAGTAATTAAGATGGAATAGTAATAATTGATAATTATGATAAATATAATAGTATTTGAGTAATATTAATTAAATAAGTATTCCTAAAAAGTAATATTATCAATAATATTAGTAAACTTATAATACATTATATACCAATTTTATTCATAAGTGATTCAATCTTAAAAGCAAATGGATTATACATAGAATTCTATTTCATATAAGTTGTTCTTTATTTCTCTGTCTTTGTATCTTCTAAAAAAGATTACTTATATTATATATAATCAGATGATTGTTATCCAACACTGCATACAAGTAATTGTCCAGATCCTTTTATTATTTGAGAACCAGCAAATATAAAATTATCAATCAAACTTATATTTGATTGCATTTATTCATCATTTTAAGAACAATTTGATTCTTTAACTTCATCTATATTTTTGACTTCATGAGTATTAAATAAATTAGGAAATGGTTATAATACTTCTATCCCATTACAATTAGATAATTTTGTTATTATACCATCACATTATATAAAATCTCCTTATTTGAAAATCAATATATCCCCAACAACCAACTAACTATTATGAATTTAAATTGTATCATCACCATTTCTTAATACATTACAACGTTTTATTAAATGTTTACTCCTCTCTTTAATATCATTCTAATGTTATACTATCTCTTTATTATATTATTATTTGATCACTCCCTTATATACAACCATTATTATTAACATAATTATGTAAAATAAGTAGATCTACATATCTTCATGAAAATATATTATTATATTGATAGTTGTTATTATCAATAATAACTAAAATAATCTTTCTTTTTGAAATTATTCAATTATTATTTACAGTACACTTTTAATAGCTATTTAAGGTTTTTCATTCTTTCCAAAATACTTTTCTCTCATTTTCAAATCATAATCATTACTATCATCCAAACCTTACTTTATACAAGTCTTCAAAAAGTTCTATAAACCATAAATGCCTCCTAATTAATTTAATTTTTCAATCTAAATTTTTAATTTTTTCTCTTTTAAGTCTTTCTCTTTATCATGTTTTGTTAAAGTGCTTTAAGCTTCTTTTAATATTTAATTCATATCAAATATTTCTAATAATTTATTATATTAAAATCCAAAATAATTATCATCATTTTGCTATTTTTTATTTCCATCTTTCCTCCATCCTTTTAAAAGTGTTTTCCATTAACTTTTAGCTTCCAATATCTATTATAATTTATTAGATTCTATTTCTAAAATTTCATCTTTTTTTTAATGCTTTTCAAAATCATTCAATTCCAAACTTCTAAAAACTTGCATCTCTATCATTTATGCTCTTTATTCTGATTCTCGATGATTCTATAATAATGGACTATGTATTTAATCTTTCTCATTTTACATAATTAATTAATATATTATATTATATCAAAAGTGTTAATTAATTTAATATATAAATATTTTATTTTTATTTTTTTATACTTTAAAGAATATGATCTTGATTGTAGAATACACTTTCTAACAAACTACTTCTACATATATCATACTCAATATAGCTTNAATCAAACTTATATTTGATTGCATTTATTCATCATTTTAAGAACAATTTGATTCTTTAACTTCATCTATATTTTTGACTTCATGAGTATTAAATAAATTAGGAAATGGTTATAATACTTCTATCCCATTACAATTAGATAATTTTGTTATTATACCATCACATTATATAAAATCTCCTTATTTGAAAATCAATATATCCCCAACAACCAACTAACTATTATGAATTTAAATTGTATCATCACCATTTCTTAATACATTACAACGTTTTATTAAATGTTTACTCCTCTCTTTAATATCATTCTAATGTTATACTATCTCTTTATTATATTATTATTTGATCACTCCCTTATATACAACCATTATTATTAACATAATTATGTAAAATAAGTAGATCTACATATCTTCATGAAAATATATTATTATATTGATAGTTGTTATTATCAATAATAACTAAAATAATCTTTCTTTTTGAAATTATTCAATTATTATTTACAGTACACTTTTAATAGCTATTTAAGGTTTTTCATTCTTTCCAAAATACTTTTCTCTCATTTTCAAATCATAATCATTACTATCATCCAAACCTTACTTTATACAAGTCTTCAAAAAGTTCTATAAACCATAAATGCCTCCTAATTAATTTAATTTTTCAATCTAAATTTTTAATTTTTTCTCTTTTAAGTCTTTCTCTTTATCATGTTTTGTTAAAGTGCTTTAAGCTTCTTTTAATATTTAATTCATATCAAATATTTCTAATAATTTATTATATTAAAATCCAAAATAATTATCATCATTTTGCTATTTTTTATTTCCATCTTTCCTCCATCCTTTTAAAAGTGTTTTCCATTAACTTTTAGCTTCCAATATCTATTATAATTTATTAGATTCTATTTCTAAAATTTCATCTTTTTTTTAATGCTTTTCAAAATCATTCAATTCCAAACTTCTAAAAACTTGCATCTCTATCATTTATGCTCTTTATTCTGATTCTCGATGATTCTATAATAATGGACTATGTATTTAATCTTTCTCATTTTACATAATTAATTAATATATTATATTATATCAAAAGTGTTAATTAATTTAATATACTTTAAAGAATATGATCTTGATTGTAGAATACACTTTCTAACAAACTACTTCTACATATATCATACTCAATATAGCTTGAAAATTCAATTAACTCAGTTTGTTATAGGATTCAGTTTCTATTACTGTCAATCAATTGTATTTTATTTTTACTTAGATTTATTAGATTTTTAGGATAATTATATTTAAATTTAAAAACAATTGATTTTCAAAATATTAATAGAATTCATTATTTCGCGTAAGAAATAGAATAATCTAAAATAATAAATATTATATAATAAATTAAAGGTATGCATCTGAAACAAAGGAAGGGCTTTTTATTATATGTAAATTAAATTTTATTTAAAAGGGTAGATAAATAAGTTAAATTAATTTACTTAAGTATAGGGTTTGGCTGATTGTTCAATTATATATAAAATATAAAAATATTATATAATTTTAAAATACTTAGAAAAAATGAGAAGTTGAAGCTTATTTATAGAAATTTGGAAATTATATTATTTAAGTTTTTCAATTTAAATAGTATATGAATCAAGAAAACTAGATATAGTTTTTGGATTATTTAAAGAAATAGTTAATTAAAATTGAGTTTTTATACATCTAATGTGTTCTATTTAGTTATTTAAAATAAATACTGATATTTATAAAATAAAAGTAAGAAGAAAGGATATAATTTATTTAGATTCGAATTTATGGAAATTGATAGAAGATTTGCTCAATAAAAATGTATTTCAATTAAATTATTATCATAGCTCTAATATCATCCTATAAAATACAATACATTGAATTATTATTTCATATTATTGTAAACTATACACATTCTATTTTGATTTATAAATAGTACTTCTCAATGCATTTTTGATTTGCATTTGATTTTGGTTTTAAATTCATTTCATTATAGTGAAATTTGATTAAATATTTTAAAGTTAATAGATGAATTCATCTGTTGCTGATATTATGGACAGGGCAATGCTTTGTTTATAAAAAATGTTAAGCCCTTAACCATCGACACAAATGTCTGAGCAAACAGAACATAAATATACTTCCATAATAGTTTTCCAAAGATATATATCAGAAATTAAAGCTGTTTTCTTTTATGCTTACGATCCCTACTCTTTTATTATTATTAAACAATAACACTTTGATATAGACTAATTATCATCCGACCTAAACAAATACTATCAGGCTGTTGAGGAATTTCTTATTAGCATTCTTAAGTCAAATTAAGAGGTGTGCTTGCATTTCAAAAATTATGGTCCAGATTTCTAATAAGAAAAAGTAGATATAATGTAACCTGCTCTTCGATTGATAGAATTACCTTATCTCAAAAGTAAAATAATTATTTAGATCAACAATCAGAATTTTGTTTAACTAAAGGATGGTTATTTAATGATTTAATATTCTCAGAACTAATAAGTGCTTCTTAAATTTCCGTAGGATATAATTAAAGATCAAGATATTTATGAAGAGTTCATTCGAAGATAAATAAAATAAGTAGACGACTTTCACAAGGAATTTATTGAATAATTAGAATTAAAGGAATAGTATGTAAATATGTATAACATATATTCTTTAATAAAAGATGTTACATTTATACATGATATACCAAATTCTATCTATTATTTAGCTAAATTCCTTGTAAATTTGCCTAAATTAACCTGTTAAGAAACTTTAGTAATGATCTCAAAACTCAAAATATACCAAAAAAATTAATTTTATTTATTAAACTAAAAATAACCAACTAAAAAAAATGAAGGATATAAATAGTTATTTATAACTTAATTGGCTATTTTTGAAGATGAAAAGAATCGTCATTTTCCAATGAAAGGTTCTCATTGTCAGAAGTAAATGTAAATTTAATGATAATAGATGTAAAGTTTGTTTAAAACATAATAATCATAAAATTCATAAATCAAGTTTTATTTGTGAAAGCTGTCACAATTATTATAATATTAATGTAGCATTATGTACAGATAAATGCTTTAAATTGTTTCACCTTAATCCTTCATATTATTTAAGTAGAAAAAGAAGAAGAAAGTAAGTCAAAATTGAAGAATGAGTGTATATTTTTCTATATATATATTTATTATTATATATATATAAATCATAATTCACTTAATTTTAAAAGTTTATCTATATTTTTCTTTTCTTTTTTAACTTTATATGTATCTTCATTAACAATATCAGATGCATGATAATCTGAAACTTATTGTTTTGTTTCAACAACTTTATATGCATTAGCTGAATCAACATGAAATTTTAATTTATGATTAAGCCAATGATATTTATCATTTTAAATTTTCTCATCTTTTAATCTTTCTTAAAATTTTTTAACTTTTTCTTCGAATGCCTCATTATGAGATTATTCTTTCATATTCTAAATAAATCGTGCTCTTCTTTATTCAACTGTAGATTATAACATTTTTTCATGTTATAATCTATCTCTAATCATTGGATTATTTGATCCAAACTTATTCTCTTTAAATTATAAGAAATCTGCTTTTAATTTTTCATATTCTTCTAATTATTTTTCTCTCTATAATCTTTATTCTTCATCTTCAATTTCTGAAGATTCAGAATCTGAAGAATTTGAATCTGATTCTTCATTAAAAATATATTAAACTTCTCCTTTTGCATTTTTTTTAATTTTGTAATTTAATAATTATTTATCTTCTTATGGTATATTATCTAAAAACTTTTCATTCATTAAAATATTTCTATTAATATTTTATTATACATTTTATTCTTTATTAATTTAATTACTATTCTATTATTATGTAATCTTTTATTTGAGTTACAAAATTTTATTTTCTTCTTCTAATTTTTTTTGTTTTTTTATCCTATAATAATAATAAAAATAATAAAATACTCTAATTCTTCTTGTGATATAGCATATTCTTTTTTTAATTTAGGATCATTTAAAACATCATGACTATTAATTATTTTATTTTATTATGGTTCTTCAATATCTTCTTCATCTCCAAAAGATAAGACATTAATATTTTTTTATTTTTATTTTGGTTTTTAAATTGGCTTCTAGTTTATTTTTTCTTAAATTTAGTTAATTTCTTTTTCAGGTGATTTTGGCTTAATATTTTGAGTTATTGTTAAATTAAATGGATCTATAACTACTTAAGTACTTTTTATAAATATTGGTGTCACTGGTTGATCATTTTCATCAGTATCAACTCCATTCATTGCCATTAAATTAAATATTGTTTTACCTACTACCATACCAAATATTGTATGTCTCTTATCTAACCAAGGACATGAATCAAATGTTATAAAAAATTATGACTCATTTGTATTAGGACCATCATTACTATATGCTAGAATTCCTCTTGTGCAAAAAGTGAGTCTAGAATGAAATTCATCTTAAAATGGTTAATCATAAATTGATTTTCCTCCTTCTCCTGTACCTGTTGGATCACCTCCTTGAATCATAAAATTTGGAAACATTCTATGAAATTTACAATTATCATAATATCCATTTAAACATAATTGAATAAAGTTTTTACATCCTTTAGGTACTTCTTTACACCATAATTCAATTTCTAATTCTCCATGTGATGTATCCATTATAATCTTACCTGATGTTTATGGAAATGACATTAAAATTTCAATAAATTAATAATAACAATTTAATAACAATCAATAATAACAGAGAAATCCCAGAGAACATCAAGGTTTGTTTTATTGTTTAATGGCCATAAAAGTTCATAAAGGGCTTTATACAATATGCTATAATAATACAATAACATATCTGAATAAGATATTAATTATAATACATTCCTAAAAACATTGAAATTACAAATATTAAGTAAAATATAAGTAAACATGTTCCCATTATTGTTTTTCTAACTTAAAATATTAAATGATAATTACTAAATAACATTAATTCATCAAATAAATCAATAATTATACATTAAGATAGCATAATAAACAAACATGATATTATTGGTTTTTCTTAAACACCTACAGTATATCCAAATATTATTTGTATAATAATTAATTCACTAATTATTAATTTTATTCTTCTTTAAATTTGAGTATCTAATTTGCTTTAATTATCAAAAGCAAATGAATTTTCAATCAAGGCTTAAGAATGTATTGTTTTGAAATTTGGTGATTTTAATTCAGATTCTTCAATTTTCCCTAAATGTCTAGCATTAGCTAATTATTTATTGCTATACTATGAATACAATATTTTTTCAGGCTTTTTACTATCGATTGTCTAAATTAATAGATTATGATACAAATTATAATTTATTTAAAAGATCTGATTAATTATTTAAATAGCTACTCTTAACTTCATCTATAGATTTCATTTTTTCTATATTATTCTGTATATAACTTTCAATTCTCAAAATTTCTTCATTTTTATCAATCACATATTCTGAAACATTTTTAGGTTGAAAAATAATAGGATGAGTTGGATATTCATGTGAAATAGCCAAATTATTATTGGCTTCCTTTCCTTATGACTCTTTTTAATTGATTTATACAAGTAGATATATTTCTTTGAGCAATAAAACTATAGGAACTAACAACATTATTTTATATTTCATAGAAAATTCTTGATTTATATAAGCAGTAAGGGTTTCTCTTTCAGAAATAGATAATTAATCTATCAATTGAATTACTCTCAAATATTTGTGATCTTTTAAAAATAAATTATGCTGATATTCTAATCCATTTGGAATTAATAAAGGAAAGATTATCAGGATTGATGAATAAAAAAGCAACCTTCTAGCAAAAATTAAGATCCAATCTGATATCTAATCATGTTTAAACTACTTTATTGAATAAACCAAATAAGTAATCCAAATGAATATCAAACTAACAATTAAGTTTATAATATAATTCATAATTAATTAATAATATTGTATTAGTTTTAAGTTATAATTAAGAATCAATGAATTATTATTATAAAGGAATTAAAAAGAAATAATATTTGAATAATACCTTATATTCTAACAATTATATCATCTCTCTGTCAGTACTACTACATCATTATTAATTTATATTATATATTTATATTTAAGTTTATATATAAATTAAAAATACAAAATATGAGATTATCTACTGAGGAAAGTTAAGAAAATGAAGAATAATAAGTTGATCCCAAAAAAAAGTTTATTTATTAAACTGAAAAAATGAGATTATTACTAGAAGTACCTATAGAAAAACGAAATAAAACAATTTGTCAAGATATTGCTTAAATTGCTGGAGTAAAAATTAACATGACTATATAAGGAAATTCAATTTCTCAAATAATATAGAGATAAACCAAATTTTTTAGATTTGTGCAAACATCTGTTTCTAAAGACTTATAATAAAAGAGAATATATTTTTTAATAAGGTGAAACAGGTGATGCTTTTTATGTTATTTTAAGTGGAAGTGTTAAGGTGTTTATTGAAGAGCCAACAGAATTCAGAAATTTTATGTAGTTGGTAACATATACATTATGATATAGAAAGAAATTGCTATATTATAAAAAGGTGATGCTTTTGGAGAAATTTCTTTACTTTATAATTCTAAAAGAACAGCAGCTGTAATGGCAGCAGAAAAGAGTGATTTAATTATATTAACAAAAGAAAGTTTTGAGGAATATTTAAAGAATGATAATAAATAAGAAATGTAGACAGCAAATTTAAATAAATTAATTCAATTCTTAGAAAAAGTTCCAATTTTTAAAATGTTCTCAAAATCATTATTAGTATAAATTTGTACTAAATGTACAATGGAACATTACTCATCCCAATAAATTTTAATTAAATAAGGAACTGAACCTTCAAATCTATATATTATTAAATAAGGATGTGTTAAAGTAATTAGAAAAATTAAATTAAATTATGGAAGTATGACTTCAAGAGAGGAATTGACACAAAAAAAATAAGATTTATTTTATGATATTGATGAACTTAGTGATCATGATGTTTTTGGAGATTATGCAATTTTAAATGAAGTAGAATCTGATTGTTCATATATTACATCTATTCCTTGTTAAATAATATCAATAAGTTCATTTAATGTCAGAAAATTACTTCCTATGGATATAATATAAATTTATAAATAATAACTTAAAAGATATCCTGATGATGAGGATATTTAATATTTATTTGAGGAAAAAGAAAGATGGAATCATTATAAGAGAAAATTAATTCGAAATATTAAGATTGAAAAATAAAATAAAAAAGGATTTGATCTTAGATTGAGATTACCAGAATTAAAAACAAAAGAATTATCACCACCTATTAATATTATTGACATAAAAACTAGTGATAGTAGAATATATTTTAAATTTTTGGAATCAAAGATTAGTCCTATGGCTGATAGTAAAAAGAAAGTTTCTTAATTAACATAAGTTGGATTTAATTCATAGATCATTAAAGATTTAGAATTCTCTTAAGCCCAATAAGCTTTTCAAAGAAAACTCAAAAAATTATAATATAAAAAGTATTGAATAATGAATAAATACATTTCAACAATATTTTAAATTCATATATATTTTTGTAATTATATTTTTATTCATTAATCCTTATTAAATTATATTTTATCATTATTCTTAAAATATATCCATCTAATTAATGATACATCAGTTAATTAATAACAGATTTTTTTTGTCAGAAAGATTTAATTATGATTAGAGTAGTTTAAGTTTCCATTTATTTCAATTAATTTATTAATCAAGATGGGAAGCAATTGTGCAACGTGTTAGAATTGTTAGAAAAAAGAAGAAGTTATCATTAGCTAAGAGGAATAATAATCATCTAGATAAATGAATGAATATTCATAATAACCAAATGAAGAAGATGATGATGATGATCGTATATCTTATAATATAATCATTTAGATCTTGAAGATAAGAACTTAGATGCTTCTAGCCAAATTGTACAAAAATATTTGAACTTGGATTTAAATCAAAAAAAAGAAGTTGTTCCAATTCAATCAGTTCCAGCATAACTTGTAGAAATTCCTTAAGCATAAATTGTTATGACAAATGGTAAATTGAATTTCTACATCATTAGAATCAAACTAAGATAGTAAAAAACGAAAAAATGAGATGATGTTAAGAAATTAAGAAGACATGCATGAAACTCACATAAGCAAATCTGAAAATTCTGTTAGAGAAAGGAGACCTCGACATATATTTAAGGTATTGAGGTTCTTACATAAAAATATTAGAGTGGAGCTTATTATGATGGAGAATGGATTGGTTAAAGTAGAGATGGTTATGGTATTTAAATTTGGAGTGATGGAGCTAAATATGAAGGGGAATGGAAGAATAATAGAGCTAATGGCAGAGGTAAATTTTGGCATACAGATGGTGATTTCTTTGATGGAGAATGGAAGGATGATAAGGCATGTGGAAAAGGTGTTTATACTCATTTAAATGGTGCAAAATATGAAGGTGATTGGATAGATGATCTATAACATGGATTTGGTGTAGAGATATGGGCTGATAATGCAAAATTTGAAGGATAATATTAGAATGGAAAAAAGGAAGGATTTGGAAAATACTTTTGGGCAGATGGTTCTTCTTATATTGGGAATTGGAGTGAAAATAAGTTATCTGGATTTGGTGTATATACATGGCCTGATGGAAGGGTATCGATATAACTTATATAAGAAATATTTAGGACAATGGGCCAATAATTAAATGAATGGAAGAGGTATTTACTTATGGAAAGATGGTAGAAAATATGAAGGTTGTTATTTAAATGATAAAAAACATGGCTATGGAATTTATGTATGGCCTGATGGAAGGGTATATTTAGTATTTAATTCTAGAAATATGAGGGATATTGGAATAATGGAAAATAATCTGGAAAAGGTAGATATGTACTATAAAATGGAAGGAGTTAATTGGGACTTTGGGAAGATGGGAAAAGAATAAAATGGCTTGACTAATCAGAATAAAATATTGATATAAGTCCTAAAGATTGGAATTAATATGTATAACCAACTTTGGTTTAATGATATTAAGCTTATTTACTATAAAATTAAACTATTATAAATTATTATACTCAAAGTTTAAAGAAATAGAAATAAAATTTATATTGTAATATCTGAAATAATAGCCTAATTGTCAGAGACTTATTTTATATACAAAAAATACATCAATTTGATTGAAAAAAGAGAAATTAGTTTTTAAAACAAAGTAAATCAATAGACTATAATTTAATAAATTAAAAATTTATTATTGGATTAACTAAATATTTAATAATTAATGGATGATTTTATTATGATTAGCTTATTATCAGATTTTGAAAATACTATAAATAGGTATTTATTCTCTATTTTCTATGATATTATTTTATAATTTTGTATTCTAATATCTAAACATCTGTAATTATAAAGTGATGTAATATTCAATTTTATAGATCATATAGAAATTAGAAATGTATTGTTTATATATGAAATCATTATAGAAACTTAAAGATGCTCTTCTAAGTTCCAATATAATAATTATGTTGTATAAAAGTGTAAATCCAATTATAGAGATGAAAGTTTATATAAAGTAAGTGATTCATATTTTAATGAAGAGCTATTAGAAGAATTCATAAATTTAGTTTAATGTTGCCATTTAATTAAATCAATGAGTGATGACGATTCGAATCAAGTTATTCTTGCAATCACAAAAGTTGGATGCATGATTGCTTTTTTTATGTTAATTCTTATAGTAGGGAGTCTCCCAATAAGACTCAAAGCCTTCAAATCAAATAAGGTACAAATAAATAATGAAAAGCTCAGAAACTTTTAGCATATATGGGAGCATTTTCTGGAGGTCTATTTCTTGCAGTAGGTTTAGTTCATTTGTTACCAGAGGCAGCAGATAATTTTGAATAGTCTTTTGATGATGATGAAGAACATTTTCCATTCGCTTATGCAATATCAATATTAAGTTTTGCACTAATTCTTTTTATTGAAAAAATAATAACAGATCATCATCATAATCATGGACATGATGAAGAACATCACCATCATGATAGCAATTCAAAAAATACTTAAGTTTAAGATTAAAATTAACTTTTTGTGAATGGAAGTGTAGATACAGAAGCACTTTTAGAAAAAAAGAATACTGAAGATACATTTAAGGATGCTCTAAATACATAAGTATTAAAATTCATAAATTTCTTAGTTAATTGTAGCAAAAAAAGCATCATTTGTATAAATGGTAAAAAAATCAATAGCATAAGATCCAAAAAACTCAATGGTTTATTAGGATGTAAATACTTGGGCCCCTTACATCTTATAAATTGCAATTGGCATACATGCTGTTTTTGAAGGATTATCAATAGGTATATAGGAAGAGGTTTCTTTGTGTATAGGTATAGCATTAGTAGTTTGTTGTCATAAATGGGTAATCAAAAATATAATTATAGGCTGAAGGAATGACATTGGGACTTGCGTTTAGAAAAGCAGGAGTAAATAAGACTACTTCTACCTACATGATATTGATTTAGTCTATAATGAATCCAATTGGAATAGGAATTGGATGGATTATGGCAGATAAAGGGCCATTATATACTGGGATATTTGTATCAATATCAGTAGGGACATTTATTTACATATCTACAATGGAGACATTGACTGAGGAATTTTCAATTGCTTAATATAAATGGGAAAAGTACATAATCTTTTTGGTTGCCATAGCATTTGTATCAAGTTTATGGTTTATAGAATAAGCAGTTGGTGGAGATTGAATTGTTATACATATTAATTATATAATTTAATATATTGTGATAAATGATAATTAACTCAGAAAATCTAAGTGCAATTTATTTGAATAATTTATTTAATTATGGATTAGAAACTTAGTGATGCTGAAATAGCACTTGAACAATTTAGACTTAAGAAACTCATTAAAACTTTGAGTCAGGAAAGAACTGCTGGTACAAGTGTTGTGTCTGTTTATATTCCTCCCAAAAGAATCATTTCAGATATTACAAATAGACTCAATACTTAATATGCAGAAGCAGCTTCTATTAAGGACAAAGCAAATAGAACATCTGTATAAGAAGCTATTTAAGCAGCCATACTAAGTATTTAAATTTATTTATTCAAGGATTAAGACCATACAATAAGGCTCCAAACAATGGATTAGTGGTTTTTTGTGGTATTGTGTAATAAGCAGATGGTAAAGGAGAGAAGAAAATTTCAGTTGTTATTGAACCTTATAGACCCTTAGATCTTTCACTCTATTTTTGTGATCCCCAGTTCCACGTGGAAGAACTAAGAGCCCTCCTAAATATAGATCCACCTTTTGGATTTATTATTATGGATGGTAATGGATCATTGTTTGCCACTATTCAAGGAAATAGTAAATAAATTATAAAGTCATTTGATGTTGATTTACCAAAGAAACATAACAAGGGAGGTCAATCTTCAGTCAGATTTGCACGTCTTCGTATGGAAAAGAGACATAATTATTTAAGAAAAGTATGCGAAACAGCAACTACTTGTTTTATTTCTGAAGATAAACCTAATGTGAAAGGATTAGTTTTAGCAGGTTCAGCTGATTTCAAAAATGATTTGGCTGGAAGTCAATTTTTTGATAAGAGATTATAACCATTAATTATTTCAGTGGTGGATATTAATTATGGTGGAGAATAAGGATTGAATTAAGCAGTTTAATTGAGTTAAGAATCATTATTGGAAGTCAAATATATCAGAGAAAAAAATTTGGTTGGTCAATTCTTTGAGAATATTGATAAAGATACAGGTTTAGTAGTATATGGTGTTTAAGATACTATGAGAGGTGTTGAATCATAAACAATCAAAACTTTAATTTGTGTAGATACTCTTCAATATCTACGTTTAGAATGTTAAAGCAAATAAACTGAATGTAATTATATTATATAATATTTTTTAGAAAAATAAATTAAATATGTTAAAGGAAATGAAGGATATGAACCTGGTACATTACTTGAAGAAAAAAATGGAGAATAATTTGTTATTTTATAAAAAGAGGATTTAGTTGAACATTTATCTGAGAAATTTAAAGATTATGGATTAGATTTTCAATTAATTACAGACCATAGTGTAGAAGGTAATTAATTTATGAAAGGTTTCAGTGGATTAGGAGGATTTTTAAGATTTAAAATGGATATGGATTATTTGGTTTAATAAGAAGATTGGAAAGATGAAGATGAAGATTTTATTTGATTATCATTATATTTTGTTAAATAAATTAGAAATATATCTAAGTGATTCAAGTAATTTTTTTAGATTTTCTGACTAATTATTCCATTTTTTATTAAAATTTCTTAAATTCAACAGCATTCCTATTTTATTTACTATCTCTCCATGAATTAATAGTATTATTAAACATTAAAATTGGAGATTTGGTCTCTGTTTAAATTGGTGTACTCTATCTAACACTAGTTGAAGGACTTTAAGGTCTTGTTGTATAAATAAAGGGATTAGAAGTATGTACTTTTGTACTAATAAATTTTGATGATAACAATGGTTCCTTATAGAATTAAAATGAAGACTCAGTTCTGTTCATTAAGATTTTATTAATATCCATTAAATTATTAAGTTTAGGTTCAGGCAAGTAAATTTTTCTATTCTCTCTTTCATTTTTCTTGATTTCCTCTTAAAGACTTTGTTTCTCTTTTTTACAAATATCTAATTCTTGTTATAATTTGGCATTATTGTCTTATAAGTGCTGGATTTAAGAGACAAGTTCAGAATTCTTTCGTTGTAACTACTGAACCTGGGTTTCAAGGTTCTGCTGATGAATTCGATCACTGTTACTTAACATTTGGTAATTTCTTCCATCAATCTAATATTACTTGCCATCACTTATTAGAGGATGACTTCATAATTTTGTTCTTCTTAAAAGGATTCCCTAATACTTCTTTCAGTCACTGTTTTGCTATTGAGTCTTACAAATGATGTAGATGAATCAACTAAATTCTATCCAACTAAAAACTTTTTAAAATATTCAGATTGTGGTACATCACCAAAAGAAGCTCCATTTGATTCTGTATTCATTTATTAAATAACTGAATTTATTTTTTTGAATGAGTGAAATCAATGAATCCCTAATTGAAGCACCTTTAAAGGCTTTACTTGAAGATGTAACAAAATCTCTTTTCATTAAAGGTATTATTCTGTTTGGAAGGCTATTTGGAAGGTTAAAATGATTTAAAGATGATTGAAAATTAATTAAAAGACTATGACACATTAGCTGGATTAGTTAAAATAATTGGCAATGTTTTTAAGACTCTAATGAAGAAGATTGATAAGAAAATGACTCAACTCAAACTAAATTTAAATGATAATAGTTCTTAGAGAAGTTATCAACCAGAAGAAGAATATGAGAAATTAGAGTAAATTATCTAAAAACATGAAGCTGAAATAAGAGGACATATCAGTGTAAAAGTCTCCATTCATATCTAAGATTGAATAACAACTTAAATTGTATAATGAAAGTTTACAATAAAAAATTGAGGATATGGAAAAACAACATAAAGAAACCATAGAATAAATGCATAAATAAATGAATCTATTGAAGAAAGATTTAGGCAAATCTAATTAGAGTTATCGATAACTTATAAAAGAAAATGAACAATTAAGAGAATCAGTAGAACATCCCCCTAATCCTAAAGCTATCATACATACTGAAGGAGAAATCAATGGAAGAATCAAAGATAAAAAGTAAATTGTTATAAATTTATTAGTTTTGTCATTCAGATCATAGATTAAAGAAGGTAGATTATAGTAGTGAATATCCTACATCTAGTGTCAATTTATAATCCTAAAATTCAATGAGACACTCCACTCCCTTGAAATCTCAATCTTAGCATCATAAGTCTGGAAAACTAAATTATCAAATTTAACATCGAAACTCTTAAGAATAAGATTTATTTACTAAATATAATCAACTATTAAAATAACATGCTTAATCAATCACTTAAAGATCTCAAATTATCTAAGCAAGTTAATACTTACTTAAAGGTGGCTTTGGTAATCCAAAGAATTAAAGAAGCACTCTTAATGTTATCTCTGATATTTGCAATGCTTAATTATTAAAATCTTCATTAAGAAATAAAAGTCAAGGAAATAGTGCAAAAGCAGGAAATACTAATTCTCAAAACAGTATCAATGCTAGCAACAAAAATACTACCTAAAAAATTATATCAGAAACATCAAAAACTAATGAAGCTATTCAGAGACTCCTCAAACTTAAATGATTAATATTATTATTTATTTCTGAATTTCTATTTAATTATAAACCATATATTTAATCAATAATTATCATCTGAAGAATAGTTAAGAATATCCTTCAGTTCATTAAATCCCTATGGAATCAAACCATCTACTAATTTATTTATATAAATCAATCTTGTATCATTGTCTATTATTCTATAAGATATCCAAATACTCTATCTTTTATCTTCACAAATTAAAGCCTAAAAAATAATTCAAACTATTATTTACTTTATCTAACTTTTTTATAACACTCAAAAAATATTCCATCTCTTCTTCAACTGCATATTATATTCTCTTTTCTAATCTTAATTTTACATCATTCCAATTCAATTATAAATCTTCTATTGTTTTTATAGGATCTTAATCAACCACACTATTTGCAAAATTTGTAAATTTCTCTTCTGAAAATAAATTTTATTCTATTGAAAATGTTAAAAATCTATCAAATGACATTGCTTTCTCACCCTCATTATTAGCTATTAAGTCACATCGAGACAAGAATTCTCTTTCCATTACATTAATTGATGTTTAATTTCCTTAATTAGCTTCAAAATAATAATATAATTTCTTAAATTCCTGATATTCCATCATATTATCAAGATCCATATCTGCTGAATTAAATACTTCTTAATAATGTTTCATATGCATCTTCTTGATTATTTCATAACCTTTTTTATTAATTCAATTCTTTTACCTGTCAAAATCCTACTAATATAGTAATCATAATCAATATAAGGTCTCATATTTCTTTCTATATAATTCATCTTAATATCATATATGATATTGTTCCTATATTCTTATGGGATCTAAGAATGAATTGTCTCTAAAATTAAAATGGCCTTCTCAACAAGTATATATAAACCCTAAAATGATAATTACGTTTAACCTTATCAGTGTTAAGTGTCTAATTATCTTCATCTAATTATTTCAGAGTCTTGATATATATCTCTAAATCATCAAGAGTTAATGAACTAAATAATTATAAGAATCTTCCAAATAAATTAACTCTTATATTATCTCGATGTACGAATATTGATTCATAAAAATTTATCAATTTTTGTTCTGCTATATTCTTAAATCCATATGTATTAAAAAAGTATTCATAACATAAAATGTGCAAAGATGTTTTATTTTAATTTTATTTAAGTTTTTCTCCATAAAATTATTGGATTAACTTTAATACAGCACTCTTTTTCATTTTTGCTATGATTTCTTTTTAATTAATAGTTGCAAATTTTGTAGCAAGCTATTTTATAAGATTTGCTTTTAGATAATTTAAACCTGGGCTATCTAATGATTATTTATTTTAAAATTCTAGATATTTTTATACACTTACTTGGAACTTATGAAAATTAGAATTTTTTAGTTTGATTAATTTTTTTCTTTCTTTATTTTATTTCTTCCAATTATAAATTATATTCAGAACCTTCACTATCTGAAGAAGTAGATGAAAAATTTGAATTTATAAAGTTGGAAATGGTCTCATGAAAATATTGCATTTATTCATTTTGTTTTGGCATCATAGATCCCCTTTTTTACACTTTTGATTCTTTTTTTTTAGCTTAATTTATTGGAGTTTGCTTAAAATATCTATAATATATTTTACTAATCTTTAACTAGGTCTAGGTTTATTTTAATTTTTATTTCTAGTTGAATTTTATTAAAATTCAATAGTATCCTAAAAAATTATCAAATAAATTATACATCTTCACTTAAAAATTAGTTAGACTGTTGTAAAGAAAATTATTATGCAGCCTAATTATCTTAAATTGGAAGAATAGAAATATTATATTAACAATTTTAATTTTTTTCAATTTAAAAAGGTATTTCTAAATTAAATTATTATTATTATTATTATTATTATTATTATTAAATAACAGTTTTTCTAAATGATTTTTATTTTACAAGATTTCTTTCTTAATTTGACATCATATTTTCTTATGAATTTTCACTATCAATTTATTCACCTATTCTAATTTATAAAGGACTTGTCGATAAATTTTATTATATTATTTAAGGTTAAGCTTAAGAAAATCGAGATTTAGGAGTACTTTACATAGGAATTATTGAACTCATTCTCTTATCTTATATTTTTTTTTTCATTATTTCTGCAAATTTATGTGTTTATGTTAATTAAACAACTAAATTTTTAGTTTTATCAACCAAAATTGATTTAACAGATTTTATACGCTAATATTTTTTTTCAATTTTCTCATTAATCTATCAATAAATATAAGTTTTACTTTTTCATATAAATCTAACTGTGCTTCTAACTCAACCATTTCTTAATTAACTAAATCATTATTCTTTTCAAGTTCTGAAACTCGTTTTTACTAAATATATAAAAATTATATTTACATATTGCTAAAGTTATTATTCTTTTCTTGTATTCTCATCTTTAAATGTACTATTAACTAAAATCAAATTTGTTCTCATTTCTTTTTATTAATGAAGATTTTCTTTCAATTTACTTTAAAATTCATCAAATGGATCAAAAATTGCTTGAATTTGTGGTTAATCACAATTTTGATTATCAAATATTTTTTAGTATTGATCTCTTGCCTTTTAAATAGCTGCCTGTAATTATTCAAGATGTTACTCTTCCATTTTAATAGATTCATATAATTCTTCATTTATATCAGTCTATACACTTTTTGATATCCTATTAAATAAAGATATTTCAGTTTAAATTATTTATTATCTTTTATCTTTTAATTCAAATCTATTAAATTAATAAATATTTATACTTAGGAATTTAAATAGATAATTTCTTTTTTTCTATTGTTTAAATTTATGCTTCTTTTGTTAATTATAATATTTAAATTAGATCATTAGTGTCTGTTGCTTTTTCCTCTAATAAAATTTCAATATCTCCAACAGATAGACTATCATTTAATACTTTTTTAAGTTTATCTTAATCTGTATCAACTTTTTCTATTTGCAAACAACTAGCTCTTTAAATAGGTTTGATTTCTGGTAGTTTATATTATGGTATTTAATGTATAGTTATTCTTCTTTCAGTACCAGCTCTTATTAATTTAGATTTTAATTAATTTTCATGTTCAAAATTAGTTTAATTTCTTTATTAATTTTAAGCTTATATAGAAAATTATTCAAATTATAATTAAACATTCTTTTAATAATCGTGTAATTCATCTGTAATTTTTTCAATTTAATCTATAAATTATTTATTTTCAATTTTTAATTCTTAGATTTCATTTTTTTAAATTTTTATTTAAGTATTTAAATATCTATTATTTTTTTTTAAATATTTTGCATTAGCCTTTAATTTTACAAATTTTTCCAAAACTGAATCCATATCGGCTTTTTATTTTTTTTAAATAATTAAATATTTGTCTATTTCTGCTTAATATAATTAATGTGTTCTCATAACTTCTGATAGATGATCTTTTTCTAAAATATTATTTTAATTTAAAATTGATTAATAAACAGATGTATTAATATCAATATATTATGTCCATATTTTTTCTAATAAAACACTATAAATAATGATATAAAAATAATACCTTTTTTCTATACAGTCAAATGATATCTAACGAATTAATTCTTTTAAACAAAGTGAAAATATTTATTATAAATCTTCATATATATTTGCTGATTGACCTTGGTTTTTCTCAATAGCTTATTCAAGCATAAGATCAGTCCATTCTGCTAAAGCTTTTACATCATGCCTTAATTGAATATACAAATAAAATACTTTAAGGGAATACCTCTATGAATTTTATCTTTGACTACTCTTTTTGTTAAATTAGAAGAAAATTTAGTTAGTTATATGGTTCTGTCTGTCAGTTCTGTTGGCAAAATGACCTGGGCTTAGGAGATTTCTACCTTTTCTATCGATAAACTTTACTATTAGATGTAATAAATTAAAGGCCTTCTAATTTTTTGGGATATTTGTAAGGGTCCTAACTATTCAATTGAGCAAAAAAATCGTTTTTATCCATTTTTTTTAATCTATCTATATATTCAAGTTGTATATCCTTTAAAATAGGAGATTAATAATAAGACTTAATAATAATATGAATTTAGTTGAATACAGATTATGATATGGTTTTGGATTTTTCTATTCTTTGTTTAATAATTGGTTAGTTAGTATCAGTCTACATTCTCTATGATTATTGTATATTAGTAGGTTTAAGTTAAATGATTTTCTCTGAATTTTAATGTGAATGTTTTGGTGTCTAGGAGTATCGAAATTAATGAAATTTTGTCCCTTCCATACTTATTAATATAATTAAATAATTACAAGTATAAATGAAATACGGTGATTTTTAGAGACTACTTTCAGAGGAAGATGAATTAATATAAATATCTAGAGCATAGTTGGAATAATTAATTCTAAGAAATTAACTATCTGAAGTACTTCCACCTTAAAAATAATCCTCCAAAAAAATTGTAATAAAATAGGCCCAAAAAAAACAAAAATCTTATTAATTTGCTGATGTTCATTATTGGACTATTACATAATTTGATTGGGATACAAATGTATTAAAAGCATTAAAAGGAGCATTTGGTAAAGAATAATTTAAAGCAAATTAAAAAGCAATAATAAATTGTGTATTAGCAGGAAAGGATGTTTTTGTTTGTATGCCAACTGGTTATGGAAAAAGTATAACCTTTTAAATACCTGCTTTTGTAGAAAATGGTAAAATTTTGACATGATATTTAGGTGTTTCAATTGTTGTAATGCCATTAATTTCATTAATATTTGATTAAGTACATTATCTTACAAGTCTTGGTATTCCATCTTTAAATATGAGTGGTTCAAATAGACTTTTAACAGCATAATAAATTCTAGACTAAAAAATAAAATTAATTTATACTACTCCTGGTATTATTATTATTAAAATTAAAAATTAGAAAAACTAGAAAAATCTGAAGCATTTAAATAAATTTTAGGTGATCTATTTAATAGAAAATTAATTAAAAGATTTGTAATTGATGAAGCACATTGTGTAAGTAAATGGGGTAGAGATTTTAGACCAGATTATTTAAAATTGAGTAATGTTAGAAATGAATATCCAAATATTCCTATTATAGCTTTGACTGCCACTGCTCCAGAAGAGGTTAAAGAAGATATTATTGATGTACTTTAAATTAAAGGTTGTTTATATTTATAATCTTCTTTCAATAGACCAAATCTAATCTATGAAGTAAGATAAAGAGAAGAATTTAAAAAAACTGTCTAAGAAATTAAAGAATTTATCAATTCTACATATCCAAAACAATCTGGTATCATATATTGTCTAACTTAATCTGAATGTCAAACTCTATCATAAAATTTGATAATTCATGGTATAGGATCTGATTTTTATCATGCTGGTCTTAATGAAAAGGAAAGACATAGGATTCATAAGAATTGGTTGATGAATGAAGTACAAGTAATAGTTGCAACAGTAGCATTTGGAATGGGAATTGATAAAAAGGATTGTAGATTTGTTATTCATTTTTAAATGCCTAAATCTATTGAAAATTACTATTAAGAAAGTGGTAGAGCAGGAAGAGATGGTAAATAAGCACATTGCCTTTTATTTTATAATAATAATGATTATAAAACTAATTTAGTAATTTTTATAATTTATATATATAGTATTTAATGGATACAAACACAGAAATGACTCCATAGATGTAAAAATATAATATTAAAAAGTTGGATTAAATGCAATAATTCTGTTATGATAGAGTATCATGCAGAAGAGTCTTATAACTATCATATTTAGGTGAAAATTTTGATAAAACATTATGTAATTAAAAATGTGATAATTGTGAAAGAGATGATGAGAATGTAGAGAAAATTAATTTAACTAAAGAAGCCCTAAAAATACTTGAGTGTTTAGATAAATCTCAATTAACAGAAAATTAATTAATTTAATGTTTAAAAGGTGCTCATGACAAAAAGAAATCCCAAAATTCATAAAAGAATGTTGAATAGATCTTTGGACTATTTAAACATAATCCTCGTAATATAACTCCTTTATTAAATTAATTAAGAGCATAAAATGCCTTAAGTTAAAATGTTTAATGTTACAATATTAAAGGAAATTTCAAAAATAAAGTTGTTTATTTAATACCTAATTCTGAAACATCAATTAGTAATGTAATAATTTCCATTCCCAAAGAAAAAGATAAAAAACCATAGTTTTTAGATTAAAAATCTGATAATCTTTTTAAAAAATACTTATCAAAAGGTAATAATAATTAAAATAATAATGTTATAAATTTGTAAAATATTTAAAAAAAAGATTTTACATTTTAAAATGAAATCAACATTGGAACTGAACATAAAAAATTGGAATATGATAAATAATATGGTTATTGTTAAGAAGATCAATTTAATGATTTAAGAGAAAGATTAATGTTTGTTCGTAAAAATATTTATATAGAAATGACAAATGATGCTTCAAATTAAATAATTAATATTGATTTGGTATTATCAACTGATGATATTGAAGAATTGTGCAAAAAACTTCCAATTACAATGATTGAATTAAATGATCCATTCATTTGTATAGCCTAAGAAATTAAAAAATTATAATATATGAAACATTTTATTGAAGAAGTTGCTCATTTTGTTGATATGGAAAATATTAATAAACAATTATATGAAAAACGTAAATATAATTTAATATTCTAGCAAAACAAAATGAAACAATATTTGATTAAGTATTTGAGTTTTAAAAACATATAAGAATAGATGATGATGTTATTGATATTACAAATTAAGAATTTATTGGTAAATAATAAATATTAAATTTAGCTAAATAAAAAGAGATTGAAGAATTACTAATAAATGGTTAAGAGAATGATTAATTCTTAGATGAAGTATCAAATTTATTAAATTTAGTTATTAAACTTTATTGAAGATGATGAAATTAATAAATCTCCTGATATCGTTATTATAGATGATGACAATGCTATAAATTATTTTACTTAAAACTAAAAATCACAAATTAAATAGTAGGAGTCTATTATTGAACCTGTATAATAATAATAGACATTTTAATAAGATCTAAAATAAACTTCTAAAATTGAAGGTCATTAATAACCTATAAAGCTTAAATTAAATCTTAAAAGATCATTTTTGTGATTTTTAATTTAATTAATATTTTAATTTATTATCTGCTATTTATTATTATTAGTATTTTTTATTAAAATTAAAGTGTAATATTATATTCACTTTTTTTATTTTTCAGATATAACTATATAATATAAAAATTATTAAAATTTGAAATTAAGCAATTTTATATATATAAACAAATTTGAGAAATATATTGAATCAAAATTATCCTTTCATTCTAAAATTTTAAATGTTGCTTTTTTTGGTTCTGGAGGAAATGCAAACCTTAAAAATGCATTAACCAAATTTCTAATTTATTTGTATCTTTTATAAAGAAACTTCCATTATTAAATTGTATCAACAATTAATTGTATACATAACAAGGATGTCATAAAAAATATACAAACCCAACCCACTTTTTATTCTATTTCATATGTAAGGAATTGAAGTTCATTATTGATAGTTAAAAATATTATGAAAATCAAAGTAAAGGTTATGCTAATTTCGCAGGATAATTATTTAATGTATTCACTAAAATTATCTAAAGGCTTAAATATTATAATAAAAAGGCTCATCAAAACTGATAGTAATGTAATACTACAAACTTGAAAAGGTGGAAATTCATAGGCAAAAACTAATATAATCATAAATATTAATTTCTTAATTAATAAAATCGAGTTGAAATATTTTGAGATAGGTTTATGTTGCACTCCTTCAAAAACAGATCCATATTTTTATTTAACTGATGTACTTTTAATTGCATATTTTTTCATTTCCGAAATTTAAATAATAAAGTAAATATTAATCAAATAAAATCCAGTAGCTAAAAGACCTATGTATGAACTTAAAAAAACTAATCCATTTTATGAGTATAACTCAATTGAATATAATTAAAGTGCTATGCTGAAGGTGTAATCATAAGCTGTTGTCATGTGAACTCTCAATAGACCACTGTAAAATAATTCCGATGATATCATAAAACAAATTTTTATGATAATATTTTTTATTTTAAGATAATATATACCAATTTTAATAAGCCATGAGTCTTGATTAAAATCTGAATAAAATTTGATTTTTATAGAATTTAAGAATCTAGGTATAACTTTAGAAATGTAATAAATTCCACCTAGAGATATCCAAATTGTTAATATGGTTGACATATTGATTAAGAATAAAGGGGTTAAATTATCAGTTGCTATTTTTTTTGGAGATTGTTTAAGTTAGTTTAAATCTATAATTTTATCTAGAAATCCAGAGATGTCAAATATTTTTTAAATGAAATTAATTTAAGCAAATCCAAATATATCAAAGTACATATTTAAATTATATGGAAATTCTATATTTAAATACTTAAAGTAAGATAACATTTAAAGATTATCTAATAAATTATAAAATACATTAATCCCTCCAAAAAATACAGAGCCTCCAAATATAGCTCCAATAAAATATAAGATATAAGAATTGCTTTAAGTTGTAATCTTGACTTATAGAATTGTTGTATCTTCAATAAAAATTAATTTTGGAATTATACATTTAATCTCATTATCTAATTGAGGGTACCCTAAATATGATAAGAATTAAGTATTATTGTGAAATCTTATTAGAAGGCTTTCATCTCTTGAACTTCTATTGAATGATATAGAAATCTTTAGAGAAAGTATTGCTTTGCCTGGTTCATCCAATTATTGAATTTATTAAATTAGTTCGAATTCCTGATCTATAGGTTATATAATTTATTCTTTCGAGATATATAAAGATATATAATCTTTTATTTAAAAGTCATCCTTAATTATTAGTTCTACATTATAAGATAATTTAAATTATCTATTGTTTGAATAAAGTTATGAATTACCTAAACTTTATAAATATGGTTTTGGATACACAGGTATAATACTAATGTTATTCTATAAAATATAATAATTTTCTAATTGGCATAGTGAATTACATCCATCATTTTTTAAATTATTACCATCATCACATTCCTCTTCCTCTGTTTTTATGCCATCACCACATTTTGAATAGCATTTATGATTCTATTCATCTATGTAATAACCCATTGAAATTTCACAATTGAGACATTAATTCTTTTAATTTCTTTAGTATCTACAAGTTAGGCAATTAAATGGTGTATTTATACATTCTAAACAATTCCTTTGACATTAAACACATTAATTTAAATCTAAGAAATAACCAGATTCACATTTATTACAAATTGGTTTATCTTTAATTAAATCTAATTCACATTTAATACAATGAGATGGACATTGAAAGCAAATAGATTTTTACAGAATTATGTTGAAACATGAATGATTTTAATCAATTAATGTATTTGAACATCCATCTCTATTTATTTAATTACCATCATCACATTCCTCTCCATATGTCCAAATAAAATCAGTAGAATTTTTATATTTACAACTTTAAATAACTTTACCTTGATCAGAATTACATGACAGACATATTTTATTTTCATTTTCGAAATAATTATTAATACATAGACATGAATTACCTATAAAAATTCTAAATTTATCATAATCACAAGTCAAACAATTCATAGAATTATCAACACAAGTTTAACATGTAGAATCACAGGATAAACAATGTTTTTCATAAAAATAATAACCTTAATTACATTAACATTTATTTTATTCATTTAAAAATATATTTGATATATAAGCACATTCTTTACATTCTTCTGAATTAAAACATTATATACAAGGATAAATACACTATATACATTAATTATCTAATTCATAATATCCATTTAAACATTAGCAATTATTATTAAATGGATTAATTTCATAATTTAATCTACAACTTTAACATATTTCAGATGAATTAATACAACTTTTACAATTTTCATTGCATTTTAAGCATTCATTTTCTTGAATATAAAAGCCTTCAATACATTATATACAATCTTATTAATTTGTACAATTATTACAATTAGTTTTACAACTTATACATTAACCATAGATACTAACAAAGAAACCATCTATACATATTTCACAACGAATTTAATTAGTACAAAATTCACAATTCTCAATGCATTATAAACAAGTACTTTTTCCATTTAAAAAATATCCTTTCCTGCATTTATTACAATTATCAATTCCTAAACAATATTCACAATTTTTATGACAACATATATCTTGAATTTTATTATAGTCTGATTTACATTCGCATTAATAGTTTTACAATTATTAATTTGTATCTAAACATGTTAAACATTTATCATATGAATCTATACATGTATAACATGGTTATTAACATTGATAACAATTTATTCCATTCATATAATAATTATCCTTACATATACAAATAAAATTAGTATCTAATACTTAATTAATATCTATGCAATTTATGCAACCATTTATATTACATTCATTACAAGGTTCTTAACATTTAAGACAAGTTGATAATGTATTTGAGAAATATCCAGGTTTGCATACACAACTTTAAAAGTCATTCAAATAATGATTTGGATCTTCACAAGTTAAACATTGGTTAGTAGATAATGAGCAAGTTTTGCAAGGTTTCTCACATTGAATACATATATAATTTTAATCATTTATCCATCCAGATTAACAACTGCAAGTATCACCTTATTAATGGATTACATCATTACAGGTTATGCATTTGTTTATTGTTTCAATACATTCTATACATGGTAATTAACATTGAACACAGTTTATATTATTTATATCAAATATCCATCCTGTTTTACAGAAACAAGTATTATTTGTATAATTTATATCTTAATTAACATCAACACAACTTAAACAATAAGTAACTGATTATTAACAAGTTTTGCAAGGTTCCAGACATTATTAACAAGTTTAATTAATATCCTAATAATAACCTTCTTAACATTCACATGTATTTAATATAGTAGAACTTAATTAAAATGGTGTTTAACAGTTAGTACAGAAATTTGCATTATTTAGACATGTAGAACAAGGATAATTACATAAATTACAAACATTAGATCCATCTTAATAATATCCATTTTTACATATACATTGATAATCTATTGCATTTTTAAGATTATCAATGCATGATATACATTTTGTAGAATTATCAACACATGTTAAGCAAGGTGTTGTACATGATATACATTATGAATTAGACAAAAATCCAACAGTGCATGAAATACAATTTGTACTTGTTGTTTAACAATTCCCACAAGAAGCAGCACATTAATCACATGAGTTTCCATTAAGATAATAATGATCCTAACATAATTAACATACACTTGCAGAAGTACATTTCATGCAATATGAAGAACAAGACTTACAAAAATCAACTGACAAAATAGTTTATTTGAATTTTCCATCAAAACAAGTTGTACAATCATCTGCAGATGGACAGATTTTACAACCAAATAAACAATTTTGACATTCTCCTAATAAATCAAATTAGCCATCACTACAACACAGAGATACTAAAATTATTCATATTATTACATTATGTAAATAGAATGATTAGGAGACAATCTTTTAGAGAGTAAAAGAACATTATAATTGATAGTCTTAAAATTAAAATTATTATTAGAATTCCATTAATTTTATTTTGTTTAAATTTAAGTATCATATACTCTGATAAAATAAGATCTAATAATAAAAAAAATGTAGAATTTTATTAATATAAATATTATTAAATTCATAAATTTAAATAAAAGAGAATGTTATTATTCGACTTCATCCTTTTATATATTTCATTTTTTTAATATCAATATTAATAATTTATAATTGATAAAGTATTTTATTAATAATATATTATATTATTATTTTAATTGTGAGATTTCATGAAATTAGAAAGAGTAATCACATACATCTTTTTTGCTTTGATTGCATATGATATTTTTAGAGCTCAACCTAAACCTTAATAGCAAACTTAATAATAATAATAAGAATCCTAATCTGAATAAGCATAAACACATGAAGACTAGGATTTGTAAAAAGAGAGAACATATTAAGAAGATATTGATTTAGAGAATGCTGAATATATTGAATCAACATTACCTATTAATATTGAAATACTTTATTGTAATCGTACAGGATTACATACACAATATTTAGAATTAGAAAGAAATATCTATCTCACATTTCCAAAAAATAAAAATTTAATTGTAAATTCAGGAGAATATCCAGTACCAGAAATAAATTCATAATTATCAAAGGTTATTAAATAATATTAATATTTATAGTTTGTTAATTATGGTCAATATGCTTTGATGGCAGCTATGTTTTTCCACAAATAATTATTTGCTATGCTATCCATACCTGTACCTGCTATTGTTGAAAAAATAGTGGAAAAGAAAATGTTTGTATTGATAGGAGCTATTTTCTTGGTTCAATAATTACAAAATTCATTGTTAACAACAGGTAAAATGATGGTGTATGTCGATTCAAAATTAATTTTGGATTAAGCAGCCCCAATATAAGTAGATAAAGTGTTTTAATTAATAAAAACTGAGTTATTATAATTATAATGAAACCAATATTTCGTGGAGTCTTAATTATGAAATACACAGACAACTAAGAAGAAATCACTCTTGATCAACTTAAAGAGTATCTAAAAGACTAAGGAAATTACAATGAAGAAACATTCTCTCAAAATGTTGATATATTCTAATAATTGATTGATGATCTTATCTAAAATGATTCAGAATAAACCTATGAATAATATGTATCTAATAAATATATTATTTAAGGGGATATCATCATAAGAATTACATTAGACTTGGTTAACAGAAAAAGATAGAGTTTTATCATATTATATAAAAAAGAGGACTTAAGGTTAAAAAGTAATAATCTATATATTATTAATATTAGATAGAAAAATTTTAATGGTCAGTTAATAATCAATTCTATTCTAAAAAAGCTAAAAATATAAATAAACCTGTTTGCATTATGAATCTGAAGGTATGACTTCTAAAAATGTGCAATAGTCAAAAGATGTTGTTAATAAAACCTATAAATTTCATACATTTGAAATAAATGAAGAAGATTTAAATTATATTGAAGATTAGATGAAAAAAATAGAGTAAACTATAAATGCATTGCTTTTATGATAATGAATCATAAATAATAGATCAATATTAATATTTTATAATCATTTTATTTTGACACTAGATTTAAATTTTGCACTTAGTAATGAACTAATAAAACTATAAAATTTGTTCATTTTTTTTCTAACAAATTTCTATATTTTTTTAGCTGCAATTTATTAACCCATTTCTACTTTCTTTCTCATTAAATCTTTAGAATCAAAATAATTTGCTAAATGTTATAAACAATCCAATTAACTTTTAATTAATTCAACTTCATGTGTAAAATCATCTTTTTTAACATATTATCTATTAAAATTCTCTGAACTTATAATTACTGCATCTCTATTTTATTATGATTATTGTTTCTACTTTTCATCATGTAATTTTTAGAATGTAGATCCTTAAGGAATTCTATATAATTATTAATAATTTATACATATCTTATAAGTACAATCTACTATGGAGAAGATGATTTACATTTCTAATAATACTCATATATTTGTCAGTCATTTAAACAAAACTAAATTAACTACTTTATAAAGATAAAAATTTAGTTTCAATGAAGTTTTCTAATTCTTCAAATTCATTAAATAATATTTCTAATCCTATTTCTACTAAAAGTTCTTTTACAGGTTTTTATTAATTAATTAACTAATTATATAAAAATAAATGATACTCTTTTATAAGCTTCAGTAACAAGTATAAATGGTTATTATGATGGATCAAATGCAAATTATTCTTCAATTAGATGTGGTAATTAAGTTAGATTTTATATTTTTAAATTCTTAGTAAAAAATCCATTTTCACTTGCAATAGTATAAAAAGAGTCTATTGAAACTCCTGTTCCTGTAAAAGAATAAGCTTCTCTATAAAGAGTAGCCAATTCCAAATCAGTTATTTTAGGATAATTACTGATAAGAACTATTCTAAATTATTTAAAACTAATATTAGTTGCTCTACTTCCAAATGCTATTTTAAACATTTTATATCTATTCCTTCTTTCTACTCTATAAAATTCTAGTAAAATTCTTAAAACAAAAGCAGCTTCAATTATAAATAAATTTTTATTCTATATTTTTCTTACTGCTCTTTCTTTTAATACTCGTTTAACTTACTAAATAGTAGATACTTCATATTAAGAGAATAAATGAGTTACAACAAAATCAGCTTATAATAATGGAATATAATGATGAGGTTCATAAAAGGCTTGATGATTTTAACATTAAGGACCTCTAAACAATAAATTTCTTGCATATAAAAAGAAATAAATTTCATCATGAGAAGAGAAATCATTTAAAAATTCTTAAAATGTTACACATTCCCAATTCTTTTCTAAAACAGGATTAGAAAAATCTACTATAAATTTAACTATTTAATCATCTACTCTTTAATTATCATATTCAATCTTTTTAATACATTTATGATTATAATCAACTTTAAAATTCATTAACCAAGAATATACAAATTCTGGAAATCTAGATTATTAATTCATTTAAATTTCATTCCATTTAGCATCTAATATATGTCTCATTATTACTAATAATTATAGACTAGGTCTTTTATATTATAAACCTGCAAATTCACTTTCTAAAGTTTTTTTATGATGTTCAATAAAAATAACAAAAGGTGAATAACCTATAGTAAATTTATCTAATTATATATCTTATGAATTAAAATGAGATTCCATTTAAATAATACTATGTCCAGTTCTCTAAACTATTCTACCTTTATCTTATAATAATGATTAATGAGTTAATCTAAAAAAAGTCTTGTCATTAGAAAATAAACTTGCAAATTTTTCTAATCCAGTTTTCTCTTTTTCATGTAATTAATTAGGTTAAGGTTCAACTTCTTTTGATTTTTCAATTTAAAATCTATCTAATTTATTCTATAATTAAGATAATTTTTCTCTTGCCTTAGCAGCAATAGCTAATTCTTCTTTATAATAATATAATCTTTATTCAAAGTCTTCTCTTTGCATATTAGCAATTTCCCTATATCTATTCATTAAATTAGTATGTTTTTCATTTTCTAAAATTAATCTATCTAATTAATATTTATTAGCTTCAAAAACAGTTTAATATGCTTTAGATTCATTTTCTAATTTTGTATACTAAGATTTAATATTTTAATAATGTAAATTAAGTTTTTAAAGTTATTTTTCTTTAATTTCATTTTCTTTTAGTAATTCATTTATTTTAAGTTATGCATTTTATTTGATATTAATTATATCCTATTATAATTTTTAAACATCAGATAATTATTCAAGAATTTATAATCTTTCTTGTATTTTTTCAATTTCATTCTTTAACCTAAAATTTTCCATATATAATTCACTCTATTTCTTAGAATCACCTTTCCTTGATTTAATAGGTCTATCTGTATGTGAAGATTTATTGAACATTGATTATAATTCTTCAAATTTCCCAGTTAAATCATTGATTTAGATTTCTTTTTCTTTTGCTTATTATTCAGCATATTCAGTTTTAGATTTATATTCTTCAATATTATTTAATACATTTCTCATAAATTTTTGCATAATCTATTAATAACTATTGTATTTATCAACTAGATGCTATATATTTAATTTCGTATTCATTTAATATAATTCAGTTTCAAATTACTATTATATAATATCAAACAATTCTCTTTTTACATTAGTATTAGTTTTTGAAAAGACTTCATCTACTAATTATTTCTTATTAGAAATATCATTAGATATAGAATATTATCCACAAACTAATTCCTTTCTAAACGTATCCAGTGAATTATAATTACTAACAAAACCAACATATTTAGGTGACAATACTCCCTATCGATTCTTAAAGCTCCCCAAATAAGGATGATTACTTTATTGACTTTAAGCCTATCTCCTAGCATCAATTTGCCTTTAGATTTCTCTTTTGGCTTATTATTTTAATACAGTAGACATATATGTATATAATTATTAAAAAATAATTCATTCTGATTTAGATTTTCTTTGATCAAGAATGTATAAAATTCTTATAAATATAATCCTATCTCAATTAACAAGAAAATAATATTGATAAAATAGAAAATGATGATAAATAATTATACTGAATTTATGAGTATTATATATGAATTAGTAAAATGATCAAACATCTATTATATATGCATAGATATTCAATAAATGAAAAGTAAATTTTAAAATATAATGAAAAATCTAGTATTGCTTGTATATAATTTAACATAAATAATAAATGTTATAATTTGTTCCTCAATATTATGTGGAAATCTTGAAGAATAATCTTCAGAGCAACCAACCTAAAATTTATGAAGCCATTGAACAATAGTAATTAGATTATGCATTGAAATTGTTGAATCAACAACAATCTCCATCTATTTGGATTAGCTCTATTTATCTTATTTTGTACAAACAAGACTTAGAACAGAATTCACTTAATCAATTTGTCAAAATAATTGAAGACTCAAACATATCAGAAATGCCTGAACATGAATTATTAGCATTCACTTAAATTTGTCAATAAATCATGAATATTGATTTGATCAAACTCCTATATAAATATAACCTAAATGGCTGGATTTAATTATCTCCTAAAATACATCTATATTTGAGAAAATCTATACATCCAAAAGTACCTTATATATTTATTAATTACTTTATTAATCAAAATATAGAATTACTTGAATAACATGAAAAATCTTATGAAGAAGATTTTATTTGGACTTTGCATGATTTTCGATCATTTTATTATATGATGCCAACAGATATCAATCATCCTTATTATTAACTACTTAAAATATCAATTTATGTAAGAATGTTGGATTTAGAAAATGTTCCTTGTCCAATTTCACCAGAGACTATTCCTATATAATATCAATCTAAATTAGAAAACATACTTAAATAAATCATACATACTCCACATAAAGAATGTTTAGATCTCTACATTTTTTGTCTTATTGATCTTGGTCTATTTAAAATGGTAATTTAGCATTTACAACCTTAATTGACATTTGAATAAATAAATTAAATTAGAACTTCTTTTATTAAACATGCAAATTAATCTAATTATATTGTAGATGTAGATATATATCATTATTTGAATGAATTATAGAATTTTGATTAAGAATTTAAATAGTTAATATACTTTAATAATCCTGCTATATATGAAAAAATGGATAATTTTAATGAGAATTGGATTTTAAATGGACTTATACATAATTTTAATTACATACAAAGTCAACAAGTATTTATTACTTTTTACTAATTTAGAGAATAATCAAATAATTAGCTATTGATAATACTCAATAATCTTTAAAGACTCTTTGGATTTTACATTTAGATGGAGCAAATTCTGATTTAAATATAGACCATCAAAAACATTTTAAAATAAAGAATTTTAAATTTCTTAATATATTCCATCTTATTAAATTCAAAAATGATTCAGATTTTTAACATTTAATAGAAGCTTTAAAAGTTATTGCAATCTGTATATGGACAGATAGAGAAGTAAAATAAGAAGATTTTGAAAATAAACTATTTCTTGTTTCAGTTAGAAAATGTATAAATATAGATAATTGTTCATAAATCTTTTAATTACTTTTTGGAATTTCAAGTGGTATTTTTGAGAATCAATATGAAATTCACTATATTAAAATATAAATTCCATATTTTTTAGAACTTATAATTATATTGTTATTTGAACAAAATATTGACAAAAATTAAAAAGAATTTTATTTAAATTAATTTATCATCTTAACATAAAATTTAGAAAATGTCTTAATAATTTTGAAAAGTTAAATAATAGAAAGATTAATAGTATATTTAAGAATTGAAAATTAATATTAAGATAAAATAATCTAAATATTAATTAATTGTATTAAAGTAAGATTTTAACTTTAATATTTATAATCTATAGCATTATTTATGTCTCCATATTAATCATTAATAATGATTCCATATTTTGATGATTAATAGAAATATGAATAATATAAAAAAATCTCTAAAATGTTGGGTATTCCAAAATAGTCAATAGAAAGTGGATCTTTATAATAATAATAATATATTTATGATTCAATAAGTAATAATGATTTATTTATCAAAAATTCTATACAATTACTTTATTGTTTGAAAGAGATTGTTTCAATATAAAATGATTAATATTATTATTTTACTGGTAATGAGAGTGGGATTGTTGTAAAAGGTAAAATATTACTTGAAACACAAAACAATTCATTTTCTATAATACTTCAATTCAAATTTCAAATAGGATCTGCAACATTATTAAATTGGGGTAATCAAGATATTAATTTTTCTATATCTATAGAAGATTCATAATTTTTGATAATTAAATTCAAATACTAATAAATAACTAAAGTAGCAAAATATATTCTAAAATATCTTGATAATTTTATTGTTATCAATTTTTAAACAGTAAAATAGATATTTGTTAATATTAATGGAATTGATGTATTAGCAACTCAATCGGATTAATTTGATAATTTTATTTTACCAGTCTTAAATTTTATTTGTGTTGGAGCTAAATTCTCAGATTAAGAATAATTTTAGAATTCTTTTAGAGGAGAAATGAGAATGCTTTATATAATTGATTAAAATATTAATGCTGAAGATATTTATATACTCGAAAAGAAATCATAAAATAATTCTAGATTATTTTAATAACTCTTAAAAATGTAATTGTAAGGGAGAATTTTATCTTATTTAAGTACTCAATCATAAAAATAAGATCTTCATTATGATGGTAATCTTCATTAAAGTAATTAAATAATATTGGAAAATTGTTAATATTTGATGATAAGAGGTAAAAGATAAAAATAGAATACAATTTCTAAATTTATGGATAAGTTTTTTTAATAAAGGAAGAGTTCAACATCACTTGAAGTAACTAGTTTAATTCCTAAAAATGTTAATTAAAGTTCAAAGAATGTTTTCTTTTTAGAGAATACTACATTATTAGATGTAATGAAATCTTATGGAAATTTAGATATATTATTTTTTCCTTTACATATTATAAATGATCAATAATTTGTTATTGCTGTTTTATAACTTTTAAATACAGTAATCTAAAAATTTGGAGATGATATATCTATTTAAAATTATCTACGATCTGATTCTGAATTTAAAGGAATAAAAGTATTAGGTTATCTTTTAACAGTTTTTATGAAAAATTAAGGTTGTAATAAATAATTGTTGTAGAATATATTGAATTTTTATCATTCTCTATTACTTTGTTAAATTATATAAGCACTTAGAAATGATTGTATGAGTATCTATCATGAATTTGAATATTGGTAATATTGTCAATATAATGAATTACATTTTTTATATGATTATTTATTTGAATAATTACAAAATAATGAAGAACTATACTCATATTATAAAGACAAAATCAACTGTTTATATTATATATTACAAGTTTAATTAATTAAATATGAACCTTAAAAGGGAGAGTATTAGATATTTTAATAAATTAGAAAAATATTGATTAAATGTATTTTGTTTCTTATGTACAATACATTCTTTTAAATTTAATATAATAATGATGAAGTAGTTCCTGTTTAAATGATATTTAGAGATAAAAAAAATGAAAAATATTCAACCGAAAAACTATTTGTATTTAAAAATGAAATCATATTGTTATTGAATTATATTTCATTAAAATCTGTTTCAGATTTAGCTGTTATTTTGTGTTTTATGTTAAGAAAACCTTAAAATAGTATTATATAAGAATTACTATCAGAAATTAAATGTGGAAATTCATCTGCATAAAAAGAGTCTATTTTAGAAACAATGTAAACATAATTCATTTAAAAAAGTGAAAGTGAAGATACTCTATTAGTTATAATATTCAAAATTATATATGGAGTTATCATAGAAATGATTGATTAAAAATGTCTTGATGATTAATTTCTTGCACCATTAATTGAGATTCTAGTAAAAGTATAAATTCAACAAATTAATTATGAACATAAATTACTTGAATTATAATAACCAAAAAATGTTTAATAATTGTAAAAAACAAAGGAATGTACATTAATTAAATCTCTATTCAATAAAATTAAATATATTCTTTATGAATATAGTAATGATTTAATTTGCAGTTAAAATACTTATTAAGTATTGATTAATGTATGATTTTATTTATTAATTAGATTAGTTATCATAATTAGTATTGAAATAAGAATTAAATTTAGAATCTGATGTATTGGATTTATTTTTGTAATATTTTAGAAAGTTTAATCTATAGACAAAAGAATTAATAATTGATTTTCTATTATAGACTTCTACTTATACTGTTTTTATGACAAAACTTTGTGATTACAAAGATTTAACTTATTTTATAAATGAATTAATTACTATAGAAACTGGATAAACATTAATTAATTATATAGTATTACATCATATTGATAATATTGCTTTTTCAGCTAGAAAAATTGTTAGATTATTTTAAAAAGTAGAGTAAAATAATAATTAATTTATGAAAGTACTTTAAAAAATTCTTATATTATAAAATAATAATTCAAATTAGAAATAAAATTAAAAAAGTATTTAAGCTATGATTGATTTATTTATGTTACTACCTACTAGTTTAATATTGAATAAGAATATAGTATTAAATGATCCTGAATTATTTATAAAAGTGTTTGATCAATATTTAATATACTTAGAAAAATAAGATATTTTATATTCATATTATATGGATACTGAATTTGTAGGATTTTATGAATATGATCCAATTCCATTTTATATTAAATTATAAATTGATGTATAACGTAAATATTTATATGCTAATGGTGGTATTATGGGAACTGTCTTATTTATATTATTTTATTCTTTAGAATTATTAATGTCCAAAAAAGAAGCAAAATCTCTATTAATAATTTGGAAGAAACTAATTACATAAAAATAAAAGTCTCCAAATCGTCCCATTTAATAATAATCATTAATTATGGATGAAGGGATTCCAAATTTATAAACAAAGATATAAAAGATTAAGATTAAATAATAGAAGTAGTCATTATTATAAAAGTTAAAATAAAATATATTGGGTGATTATCAATAAACTTAATATGATAAATATTTCCAAGATATTCACTTAATTCATTTATTAAAATTTTAATTACTATCACATTAATATTCACATTCAGAATAATTATTTGAGATATTTAGTGAATTATAATTCAAACCAGATAATTTTATAAATTTTTAATGTCTTTGGAATATTGTAGAATAAAAAAGAATTTTAGGAAATATGGATATTTAATTTCAAATTGATCAATCTAATTTAAAATAAATTACACCAGATATCAACATAGAAGCAATAAATAATAAAGGATATTTTATAATAAATCAATTTAATCAATAAAATTAAGAAATTTCATAAGCCATAAAGGAGAATGGTAAAATGAGTAATGATGCAAGAAAGTTTATAGAAATGATATAAAAGGCTAATACAACACTTAAATATTTAGAATTATTTAAAGACTCTGATTTAATTAAAAGAGCACTTACTTATATGAAATTATATGCATATAGATAATTATAATTTTGTTAAGAGATTAGTATACTTTTGAATTTACATTCTATTTAAATTTAAAATTTAGATTAGATTAACAATTAAATTGTTTAAATTAATTAATAATCATAATAAAATAACATTGAATTTTCAAAATTATCATATAATTTATTTAATTAATATAGATAAGATTCTAAATTAACAATATTAAAATTTGAAAATGAATAATAAATTTAACAACTTATAATTTAATTTAAAGTTAAATTACATTTTAAATAAAATACTTAAAAAAGAGGATTATGGTATTTTATGAATTATGGTGATGCTCATCTATATTAAAATTTAAATTAAGTTAATTATGATACATTTTTAGAATTATTAGGAAAAGAAAGATATTCTATAAATAGTTATGAAGATAGTTTAAGAAGAAGAATGTTTTTAAAAGTATTTGCAAAATAAAAGAAATCATATGAACATATCTAATTAATAAATAATATTTAAGTAGTATTTAATGATATATTCAACATTTAATAATAAATTTAATAAAATAATAATAAATATGTTGTTATGGAAAATCAACAATTTTTAGCTGAATTGATAACTTAAAGAGGATTTTATCGTGGTAAAATAAGAATAACAAATGATTATTTGATGTTTGAAAACTTTGGTTTGGATTTATAAGAATTAGAAGTTACATATAAATTTTAGAAGGATAGTTTATTGAAGGAAGAGAAATAGAAATTAATACCTTTATCATAAATTAAAGAAGTATTTACAAGGATGTATTTAGCATAATCAACTGCAATTGAATTATTTACAAGTAATAATAAAACATATTTTTTTAATTTATTAAATAATAGATCAAGTGTACTTAAAATATTGAGTTAAAGTGTTAATGTAATTATAAATCCTTGTGAATAATTTAAGAAGAGTGGAATTATGGAGAAATGGAGAAAAGGAGAAATTACTAATTTTCAATATTTAATTGAAATTAATAAATATAGTGGTAGAACTTATAATGATTTAAATTAATATCCAATATTTCCATGGGTAATAGCTAATTATTAAGAATTTGATATATAAAATAAGGAACATTTTAGAAGATTAGATTAACCTATAGGAGCATTAAATTAAAAGAGATTGGAGAATTTTTTAGAAAGATTTAAAGAGGCAGATCCAGAAGATATGAATATGTATTTCATATATGGAACACATTATTCTCATAGTGCAATAGTAATGAGTTTTTTAATGAGAATGGAACCTTTTGCTTCTTTACATTAAGAATTATAATCTGGTAAATTTGATAAAGCTGATAGATTATTTCATTCTTTAGAATAATAATGGTATTCTGTAATAAATTCAAGTAGTGATGTTAAGGAATTGATTCCTGAATTTTATTATTTTGGTGAGTTTTTAAAAAATAAGAATAAATTTGATTTAGGATAATTATAATCTGGAACAACTGTAGGAGATGTAACATTACCAATTTATATAAATACAAAAAGTCCAGAAGAATTAATATTTTTGAATAGATAGGCTTTAGAATCTGAATATGTTAGTAGTAATTTAAATAATTGGATTGATTTAATATTTGGATATAAGAGTGGTTTAAATGGTTAAAAATATAATAATTTATTTCATCGTTTGACATATAGCAGTTATGTCTAATAATTATTAGATAAAATAGATGATGATATCAAAAAGGAATAATATATAACATAAGTAAATTATTATGGTTAAATACCCTAATAATTATTTAAAAAAGAACATCCATAGAAATCATAATCAAAAATAAGTGATTAAAGTCCTATAATATAATTTAAATATATTACATAGATTATTAACAAATAGAGTAATATAATAGATTAATTCTTTTGCAATGAAAAATATTTTTTAATTCTTACAAATGAATAAGAAATCTTTGTTTATAATGTAGAACATAGAATAATCAGTCATAAAATACCAAGAGATTTTAGTAATCAAGAAACTAAATAAATATAATTTAATTCTAATAATGTTTTCCTTTTATTTGATGATTCTTTAGTAGTAGCTGGTTATGTTGATAATTCTGTTAAAGTTTATTCATTAAAAGATCTCAAATAAACATGTTAAGTTTCTTTTCATACAAAAGTTGTAACTTGTTTAGGTTAAAGTACTAACTATTTATTATGTGGAAGCATGGACACAAGAGTATCAGTTTGGGAATGGACCTTATAACATTAACCTGAAATTATTTTGTATGGACATTAAAATGAAGTCTCTATTATTTAAGTTGATTCAATTTTGGAAATCATTTTGAGTTATGATGTTAAAGGTGATATCCTTTTGCATACTATGAAAGGAGTATTTCTTAAATTAATAGAGACTTCTCTTTAAGATTGTTCTTCAATTAGATTACATCCTTCTGGATTTATACTCTTATCATTTTTAAATTAGATTAGTATTTATACATTATAAGGGGAACTTTACATTTAAAGAGAATTATTAGATCATATTATTAATGTTAATGTAATAAATGAATATACACCTGAAATTGTAAAATTTAAATTATATTTTTAGTTAATAACTACTTTGGATGGAAATATCTTTATTACTTCAATTGTTTAATTGAAATTATCTGATGATTTTACAAGATATTGTTTGAAACAATATAAATTAGATGAGATGGAAATTAAATTAGAAACAAATTAAATAAAAAAAGTTAAGGAAATTAGTGGAAAATCAGCTGATTTCTTAAATGCATACATTGCTTATTCATAATATTATTAGTGTATATATATATATATATGAATGTTTAGTATAGGCATATCGAATATTAATTATTGGCTATTAGAACGGATAAGTAATCTCAGTATACGAACAACCTAAATAAACTAGCCTATTATGATCTTATTAAAAATGTTATTTATTTATTATATCAAATTTTTACTTTCGATTTTAGATGTTATGTTATCTTCTCTACAAACTATTCATCTTAAGCAGATAATTATTCTTTCTTCAATTCTTAAAATGGTAATTATTCACTCACTTCAAATTAAGCTAGTTAATTTAAGAAATTTTATTTTGCTAAAGGATTAGCTAATTATTCCATAATCTCTTATTTCTTTTCTCTTAAGAAATCTTTAACTTACATCATCACAAGCTATTTTGAATATTAATCTAATTTTTATTAAGTCTCTGTCAGAGTTTATCCGTTATGAGAAATTTCTGAAGATTGTTGATTTATTTTAATCATAGGATGAATGAATTATAGATTTTCTATAGCATAATCACTATTTCTATTAATAATTATAGTAATAATATAATATTTACTTAGTTTTGTCAATTAATGCGATCACAGTTGTGTTTAGAAGTTTGACCTTCCTGTCTCTTGTTGACTTTTTTCCTATTCTTCCTTCTTTCAAATAGACTTGTAATATAGCCTTAACTGTTGATGGTTTCAATTATGTTTCTTCAGATACCTATTATAAATTGTTGATTTTATATACTTCTTTTAATGTTTTACCATTCTTAGTGAGTTCATTTATTATTTGAGTTCTTTGATCATGACTAATCTTCTTATACCTATTATGACTATGTTGATTGTTCTACTTCATATTGCGAGATCCCTTTCGTATTTTTTAGCTACTATTCATTATTGTTTGTGTTATTATTAATTAATTATGATTCCCTCTACAAGAATTTGTATAGCATCAAATTGTTAAGCATAATCACGATTAATATAATCTATAAAAGAGCTTGATTATCATAAAGGTCATAGTTCCTCTAGTCTAGGATAATTAACCAAGAAATTGAAGGATTTGATACCAGATTTTCCTATTACTACAAGTATTAAATAAATCATTGAATCTAAATTTCAAATTATTCATTAATACTTACAAAAGAAATAAGATATCTATTAGAAGTATAATTTATTTAAATCATTATAAAAAGGAAATGTGAAAAATATGAATTGATTGAGGCAGCATCCAAATTTATTAATTCTGAATATTCTTTATTAAATGAAAAGACAATAGATTTAATTATTAAAGCATTACCCAATAATATCTCTGAAACCTTAGAAGTTAAGACTGCTTAATATTTTGATTTACAAATTCAAATTTAAAAAGAATTAGATGATTTATTTCATTTAATTAGTACAGATAAAAAATTAGAATCAAATTAATCAATTCAATAAATTTAATCAACAAAAAAATAACAATCTTAAAATCCCAATGCATCTATACCAATTTCAATTACAGAAAAACCTTAATTTCTTAAAATGCCTTAAGCTTATGATTAATTATCTAAATTTGAAATTAATAATCAATTAGCTAAGCATTTAGAAGGATGTATATTTTATAATATTATATATAGATCCTTCTATTGTTATGACAAATTAAATACTTAAAGAAGGTAGTTAAATTTAATTTGAAATCATTAAAATATAAAATGATTATGTAAGTGTTGCCATAGGTGCAATGGAAAGATCATCAATTGAAAAAAATGGTTTAATTCTTAATGGTGAACAATTATAAATTGCAGGTCATGGTTTATACATGAACTTTAATGATAAATGTATTTATCATAGTGAAATTGATAATGGATAATTATAAGGAAAGGATAAAGGAATTGCATTTTAAGAAGGAAATAAAAGTAATTTAAATATTTATTGTTATCTTAGTTTAATGCAATTATTCTTAGGGACAATTGACTTTTTAAAATCTAAATACAAACTCTTCATATTCCATGAAAATTAATTAAACTGATTGTATTTTAGTAGTTTGGTTAGATTTGAGTGAAATTAAAATTATATGATTATTAAATTCTTTTAAAAAGGCAATATATCATCCTTCTATCAACTAATTATTTATATTAGAATAAATTGATCTAAATAATATATAATATATATATATATAAATGGATAATATTCAATAAATTTTAGAATAAGATGAATAGAATCAAAATTATTACATCTGTACAAATTCCAAATGTTAATATAGAGGACGTATTCTAGAAAATAGTATTGAATCTACTCATAATAATTGTCTTGTAGTGTAATATTAAAATTTTGTAGATTCAATTAATAAATTAATCTTAGAAGAAACATTTCAAAAGTATATAATTTATTATAAGATTAGTTATAAAAAAGAATTATAAGAATATTTAAAGTAAATAAAGGATTTAGAATATTATTTGAAAAGAAAATCAGATATTTTTTATAAGTAATTATTATGTAATTTATAACTAAAGAATAAAATAATAATTAAAAGCTTTTGTTTAATAACATAACTTAAAATAGTTACTATAATAATTTGAAAATAATTATTCACAATCAAATTTTGAATTGTTATAGTAATTATTTGAATAATCCAGAAATTAATGTTTTAATTTAGAATAATAAACAATGCAACATAAATTAGATAAAAATATCTCAAAAATTAAAAATATTTTTTAAGATATTGAGAAAAAATTAAAAAAATTAACAATATTATAAATTGACTATGATCAATCACAAGATGATGAATCAAGTGAAGACAATGATGATCAAGATAATTGGATCTAAAACTAATAATAAGGATATGAATAATAAGAACTAGAAAATAAATATAATTAAGCTTTTAATTTCTTAAGAAATCTTTCTTTGAAATAAGTTTAATAAAAAATTGAAGAATAATAACCTTAATTACAAACATAAGATTAAATCTAATAGTGTGAAGAATAAACTAATATTAAATATATTGAAAAATTTGGAAACAATTCAATAGTAGTTGCAACAAAAAGTTAAATAAGAATATATGATTTAATATAAAAATGCTTTTAACCAAAAATTCAATAAATTGATGCTAAAATCACTTCATTATAAGTTACAAAACTTGATTCAGTAATTGTTATTGGAAAAAAAAATGGGTATATGGAAGTTTTTTTGGAATATGACTAAAAAATGAAATAATAATTTAAGTATTAATTTATATAGTAAATTATTATAGTTCAAGTATCTTTAAAATAAGTGAAGAAGAAGGGAGGTTATTTATTGAAAAATTATACCTAAGCCAAAATCAGTAAGCTATTGCTTGTTTAGGGAGAGATGGACATTTAAAATTTTATGAAACTTTAAATTTCGATTAAATAAATTGTATAAAACTTGATTTTGGATCCAAAATTATTCCTACGTGTTTATTTGCAAAATCTTAAAATGAGTATATAATAGGAGCAGAAAAATCTGTGTTTTTTAATTAAAATAGAATAACACCTGTTTTTGGAGGGAAAATTAAAAAAATTTGTTAATTTGGTGATTATTGGTTGATTTCAGATAAATTCAAAATTTATTTCTTAAAAAAATTAAATAAAATAGAGTCAGAATTTACATTTAATTCAGAACATATAATATATTTGAATACTTTCTATGATAGTCAATACATTTTTATCAATACTAAATCTGCTAATTCTAATCAGTATGAGAATCAAATTGCTAAAATATAAGAAGAAAAAGATTAGATAAATATTCAATTAGAAAAGTTAGATAAAAATATTCAAGTAAAGTTATTAAAAAGATATTAAAATAAAAATACAACTTTTTTATATACAGTTGATGGATTTAATATTATGGAGTATAAAATGATAAGAGAGAATGATAAATTTATTATTTTATGAATATTTCTTTGCAGAATTATAAATAAATTAAAAAAAATGCATAAATAATCTTTAATTCTTTAATAGAAAGCTCCAAAGAATATTAATGAACTTGATTAAGCATTTTAATTAATCGATTAGAAATTAGATGCTCCAAGTTCATAATTGTTACTAATGAAAACAAGATACATATCAATTGATCCAATAATGAGAGTATGGATATCTGGAGCAAGAACGTAATATTTATATTCTTAATTCTTAGATATTTGCCTGCATTATAGCAAAATGACATTATACATGCATTTACTTTGAGTTCTCCAGTAGATAATTAGAATGACATTTATTTTGGCCCAGCTGGATTATAAACTCATTTTTTATATGATAAGACTAATAAAAAGAAGTAGCTAATAAAAGTTCCACGTTAGATGTTATAACTACTATAAAAGTGTGAATTGTAAAATTCTAATTTACTTACTATCATATTGAATGGTTTACCAGCATATTATGGATTAGTTGATTTCTGTAAGATTCAGAAAGGATAAAGAGTAGTAATATCAGCATCAGCAGGTGCTACAGGATTATTTTGTATTTAATTAGCATTAAATATGCAATGTGATGTTATAGGTTTCACAGGAGATATAGAAAAAATAAAGTTCTTATAAAATTAATTTCCTAATTTAAGAATCATAAATTATAAATCGGATGATTGGGATAAATAAATTGAAGATAATAGTGTTGATTGTTATTTTGATAATGTTGGTGAATATATGCTTGAGAAAATGATTCAAAAAATGAGGAAAAATGGAAAGATTGCCTTATGTGGATCTATGGGTAGTTCTTCAAATTATAGTGAAAGATAAGGATTAAGTAATATGAATTAAATCATTTATAAGAGATTAAAATTAAAGGGTATAACATTTAATTAGGAATTAAATAAGTAATAATTCAATTATATACTAGAATTTAAGCTGCATTTGATTATTTATTTTAATAATTTCAATAAAAAAAACTAAGAATCTTTTAGGAAGAATATAATTAATTAAGTGACACTCCAAAAGCACTAAAGAGATTATTCAAGGGTGAAAATATAGGAAAAATAATTATTAATTTAGATAATTAAACGAAGTTATGATTATTATTTTTATGATTTTAAGTTATGTAATTATTTTTATGATAATGCCATAATTAGAATAAAAAATAAATTAACCTAAAGCTTTGGTTTTATTGATCAATTTATTTAAGTTCTTTAAATATAATAAAGAATTTAAAAAATTAATTAATACAATAATTATGAGTTTAATAAGAAAGACTATGATACCCTTAACTTAATTAAGTGAATATATATTTTATGTTAATCCAAATAAACTAAATATAATATATAAATTATTAAACAAGATTAAATTATAATATTTTAGAATAAGTTAATTTAATTTACTTAATAAACTTATATTGCATAAATTTTATGATGAATCCTAATACTAATCAAGAAAATCAATAAATTGAATATTAATTTGATTATTAAAACAAAAGAGATCATATTCTACCATATTCCTAACAATAATAACCAATATTAATTACATAAATGATGCAAAGGAATAATGCAAATGGATGTGATTTTCCAGCTGATATTATTTGTCCATATTGCACAAAAATGATTTAAACACATGTTCAATATAAAATGGGAATACATTCATGGATAGTAGTATTGATATTATTAGTTGTTTTTTTCCCTTTATTCTTTTTACCATTTTGCTTTTTAGAATGCTAAGACAAAGAACATAAATGCCCACATTGCAATAAGAAAGTTGGCTATAAATAATATAAAATAGTGTGAAATTGCTAAGAATGAATTTACATCATAACCAACAATAATCACTTATTAATAATTTTATTTATTTTTACTCTAATTTTCTAGTAAATATATAATGTTATAAATTATGAACAAATTATGTTGAACATAATAAATAAACAAAAATTTAATATTGTAAAAAAGGATACCAAAATTTATTCTATAGTAATTATTATTCTAATATTTTCATTAGAGTAGATATTCCTCACAATCTCTACAATCCATCCAACCTATCTAATTCTTTTTCATAATAATATTATTATCTATTTCAATTAATATTTTCTCATTTAAATTTTCAATATATGGAAATTTCTGTTTAACATCATCGAAATTTAAAAGTCTATTTCTAATTTAGAGACATTCAGCTTTATCCTTATAATTAAGTATAATTTCTCCTTTTATTTCCTTAATTTTTACTGTTCTAATAATGACATAAGTGAGTGGTTTATCAACTTCTGGATTTGTTATTTCTTAATTTATTTATATTGATTCTTCAACTTTTGATTTTAATTAAGGCAAAGCTTTTTTTATTTATTTATTTCTTGATTATTTAGGCTTTTAACAGATTGTTTTCTTCTCTTCAATAATTGTTTCTTTTTCAATTTTTACCAATGATTATTACTTATTCTATTATAATTATGAGCTGAAATTATTTTATTATTTTTTAATAGGAACAAACTTTCTTTTCTCACATACTTCAGGTTTTGATGTATTTATTTTAGGTATTAGGGGTATGGGGATTTGAGTACCAAAGGCTTCAAAGTTTTATTGTTTTTTCTGATTGATCATATTCTAAAAAGTTATGATTTTTGATACAATTTATAACAAAGAGTAATAATATAATAATATTTAATGTTTACAATAATTTTTGATTTCGACTAGTATGAATTGAATTTTAATAAAAATTAATTAAAATGGCTTAAGTGAATAAAAGGAAGCAATCTAAATCTTTGGATGATAGTGAAGTAGCAATTATCAAATTAAGTGATAGTATAGAGTGAAGCAGTGTAAGGTAGGTGGATAAAGGAAGAGCATTAAAAATTTGTAGAAGCATTGAGTATACATGGAAAGAATTGGAAAAAAGTTGAAGAATATGTTGGTACAAGAAGTGGAGCATAAATAAGGTATTTTTATATATGATAATTATATCAGATCTCATGCTTAGAAATTTTTCAATCGTTTAGAGAAAGAATTTAATCAATAATTTAATGGACTGAAGAGTTCTGAAATTAAGGAAATCTTTGAAAATAAGAAGTTTCATTAATTTTCTGAAGAAGAATAAATACAAAGAAAATAAAAGAATAACTCTATTATAGGTATGACATCATATTTTAATAATTTTATTTTTAGATGTATCCGATGATGAAATCCAAATTAATGTAGAATCTATGTAAATGGAATCTAACCAATAATAATAATAAATTAAAGCCCAATTGTAATAAGGTATTTTAGACCTCAATTTACCTGATTCACAAATACATAATCCTACTAAAGAATAAGTCACAAAATATCAATAATAATAAAAGAAAATCTAAAACAAACTATAAGATGTTTAAGATATAAATTAATTATCAGATGAACTCCTTAAAGAAATATGTAATTTACATAATGAAAAAGGAAATATTATGGCTATTTAATAGATATAAAATGCTTATTAATCTATTTCTGAAGTTGATATTAATGAAGAATTATAGAATCAATAAATACAATTAGAGTAGAAAAAACCTTCTAAATTAGATCAAGATAATAATTTAGAATCTAGACCAGGAAATGATGAGTCCTTTTTTCATTTTATCATGTATTCAATATCTCATTAAAACCCAGAGCTAAAATATCAAAGTATTTAAATAATAGGAAATTGAGGTTATCTGATTTAATAAATGTACCAAAATCTGAAAAGGAAAGCTAATTAGATTCTCATCCACAAAAATGTGATCAATAATAAGAAATAGAAGGATAAAGAAGTAGAAAATAATCATTTACTTTTTATAACGATTAAGATGAAGAAAATGAAGCTAGATATTAGAATCTTAAGAAAACTAAAAAAGAATGAGATAAAACTATATAATATAGTTTATTTTATATTTTAATTAACAGAATCCCTTAAATGTAGAATTATCACTCTCCACAATAATTCAGCCCTTATTCTATTAACAAACAAACTTAATTAGGTTAAGTTTAAAAATCTACACCATTTGATGAAGATAATGATACATCCAATAGTGGATCTTAAATATTCAATTAAGTTTAATTAGGAGTATAAAATCGTATTAATTTGGATGATTTATTTGATGATAATAAAGTCAAATCTAATCAAGATATCCCATTTTGGGAATAAGACTCATAACAAGGAAAACCATAAAATAATAATAAGAATATTGAAAATTCTCTGTTTAATTTTGAACAAAATTCAAACAATTAAATTTTAGGAATAAATTCTTAGAATTAAACCCAAAGAGTATAAGGATTAGGATAAGTATAATAATAGAATATTAATCATTAAAATTAAATTCTAAACGAATTTGATGAAATTTTTGATTAAAATTCTAATGATATATTTCAATAAGGTGAATAGATATAAAAAATAAATGAAATTTAACAAAATAATAGATAGCAATTTCCTATTGATTTTCCATAATAATAATAAATAAATTCTAAAGGATAAAATATAAATTCAGATGATTTTTCTTTTCCATTTTTTGAAGACACTTAACCTCCATTCTAAATAAATAATTAATTTTAAGGAATTTAAACTACAAATTAATAAATAAAAGATATAAATATATTTAAAGTTGATGACTTATTTAATTAACCATCATATTCAGATTAATAATAGCAGATTGATAATAAAATGCATACTCCCCCAAATTAGTCTTAAATAATTTAATCATAGAAATCATTAAATGAAAAACATATTCCTAATTCAAATAATAGTTCATAAATTAAGTAATAACCTTAATAGATATAATAATTTCCATTCTAAAAAAATATACTATAATAGGATGTGAACAAACAATCTTCACAATTAAATTTTAGTTTAGATTTAGATTAAGGTACTAAATAATAGAAAAGCGTAAGTAATTCTTAAAGAGACGATTCAGATCTACCTTGGGATGAAGTTTAAAAATCTTAGACCTAACAAAAAGCTATTGACTTTTTTTAAGCAACTAATTTCTTTGATATGAATAAAGAATTTAATCCATAATAAACTGATTAAGTTTAACCAAAAAATCAAAATAAGGAAGAGTTTAACATATGGTAAACCGAAAATAATAATAACTAATTTAATAATAATATATTTTAATTAGGATTATTTAATGATGACACAAACTAATAATAATAAAATTAAGATTTTTTAAAAAAAGAAAATTTAACGATTCCTTCTTCCAGATCTTTTGATTAATTAAATTTTAATGAATAAGACAATAAAAACTAAAATCACTTATAAAATTAATAAGGTTCCAATTAATTTGATTTCTTTTAATGGAAGCAATAAAATACTGTTTAATCTGAAAGTGATGATGTAATAGGATAATTTTAATAAAACTTTGATGTAATTTAAAAATAAGATGATTCATAAACAAATATTCAGAATCAACATATAAATTAATTTGGTTTTCATGATTGGAATGAAAAATAAACTAAAGCAAAATCAGATAATTAATCTTCTGTAAAAGATACAGATGAAAAATTTGAGTTAGGATGGAATAATTTTTAATAAGTAAATTTTTAATAAGATAATCAATTTGAAAATTGGGATGGATTTGATATCAATTAATAAAAAAAGGAATAAAGATTAGAATATTTTCATAAAGATGAATTTGATCATATTAGGAAACCTTCAATGGAAGGATCATAAATAGAATAATCAATTCATAATTCTGAATCACCTACTTAATAGATTACACTTTATGGAAATTAAGATTAAGAGAATAAACTCAGATTTATTTAAGAAGAAGGATTTTATGATTAGAAAGATAATTAGAAAATAAATTTTGATTCTTTTGATTAAAGAGAGAATTATATAGATGAATCAAAAGTTATTCAATAATCTTAAAATAAAACATAATCATTTGAATTTCCATCATCTGTTTAAATGGGTTTTCATAGTGTTAGAGAAAGTAAAGAAGATAATAAGGTTTAAACTTATGCTGAATAAATTATGGATTTATTATTGCCTAAAATAGCAGAAATTACTTAAGCTTTGAGTAATGATTTTATTAATGATACTAGTAATATAAAATAAGAAGGATAAAATATATTATATTAAGGAATTTATAATATTTTATAAAATGAAAAGAGAAGAGTTGAATCAAAGAAAGAGAAATATTTGAATGAATAAGTATAGATAATTGAAGATATAATCATACAATATGATAATAAGACTCATTAATTTTAAGAGTAATTTATAAAAATAAAGGAGGAATAACAAAAAGAAAGATAAAAATCTAATAGTAATATGAGTTTTGACTCAATTGAATTAAAAAAATCTAAATAAATAAATGAATAAATTGAAGAATCACCAATTTAGAATATTTAATAAGAAGTTAATCCTAATCTATACACACCTTAAAATTCTTAGGAAAAAGCTCATAATCCATTTTAATTGATACATCAAACATAATCTAAGTTTTTAAATGAAAGTGTTATAAATGAAGATAATAGAGAAAAAGACTTAATTAAATTTTAAACTAATAAAGTCTTCTAAAGATAATGTTTAAAGGGATTGTAACTAAATGAAATATAGAATTTTAAAAAACAATGCTTAAGTGATTCTGTCATATTACTTGAAACAGAAGAATTAATTATTACATAAAATTCAGAAAAGAACGAAAGCATAAAGTAGGGATATAAAATGACTTTGAATTATAAAAATAAGGGAAGGAATGGAATTTAAAATTTAATTGTATGCTTTGATGGATAATAATGTATATGTTTACTTAATATTAGTAAAAAATGATTTTGAAGCGCATCCATAAAAAATAGCCCATCAATATTTATCTCCTGGAGAAACAATTAAATAAGTGATAATGTTTAGGAATTATGATTAATTTGGAGTATATTTGAATTGTTATTTAAAATATACGGTTATCAATAAAAGAGTTTATTGGAGTCAAGGATAATAAGGGATTTAAAATAATGATCCTTTTTACAGATCATAGATAAGTTATCAAGGTTACAATAATACATATTATAATCAATTTTAGTAAAGTTAAGGTAACACTGAATATGATAGGGATTCTTAAAGAACTCATAAATTTATAATAGGAAAACCAGCCAATAGATTCTTCAAATATAATTACTGGAAAGCATAGGATCTTGAAGAATATAATATGAGATACTAAGGAGAAGAATTTCCATTGAATTCATTGGAGGAATTAATAATATATCATCCATGGTTAGTAAAAATAGATTAATAAACTCTTTGTGGGAAGGTCTTTATTAGATTAGATGATAATGATTATGATTTTGTTGTGAAAATCATATTAAAAGATTAGAAAGGTGTAATAAAAATGAATTGGACAGATATTGATCAAAAATTATGTGAGCATTTGTTAAGTTTTTTAAGTTTTCTATTTTTTAAATTATATTGATTTATTTTTAATGAAAATATATCACAAGATCTTTCCTATATGGATTTTATATCCAAATTTGTTTAATTCTCTGTTAATAATTTTGGCTGCATAGGGTAATCTATAAAATGGGATTTGAGGGAATAAATGATGTTCTGTTTAGAATTACATACCTCCCATTAATAAATTGGATAACCAATCTATATAAAGATATATATTAAAAAAAATACCTGTCCAATCATAATTTCTAGAGGTGATGATTTAATGCTCAATAAATGGCTTATCAATTTTTTTATAAAATTTATATTCTCTTTCATGATTACCAATTAATATACATGCACTGAAGAATCCTGCAATATATTGTGCAACTAAATAGATCCAAATTTTTTATTAGAATACTATGATTTAATGTAGCAACACATAGATAATGTCAATTTTATTATAAGATGCAAGAATTGAATCAAATTTCCATCTATTAAAATATTTAAATAAATAGTTACTTTAAATATAGGAATCCATATTACCACATTTTATATGTGTGATCTATGTCATCATCTTTGCCAATACGATTTGTAAAGATATGATGATTGTTATGTTTAAATTACCACCAATCTGTAGAGAATCCATGGATAATACCATAAGGAATGGACAATTTATATAATAATGGATGTCGATTATGATTTGTTGAATGACCTTACCATCTAAATTTTATATAATATATCAAATACCCAGCAACTATCTATGTTAATGCAATTGTTGGTATTGCAATGTACCAATCAGTTGTGACACCTAAATATAATCCAAGACTCAATCCAATGAAAAGAAGGATTTCAATAGTCCAATCAGGTTAAAAGAGATCTTTGACTTGTTTTTTAATATGAGAATATCGTTTGCTATCTTCTGATTCATTAAGATCACTACGTACAATTTTTTAAGATTTCAATATTTTCAACGCTTTCTTTGAATGTAGACATCTAACATATGGAAATAGATATACCTAAAATATTCTGTGATATCTTATTTCTCATCCTTCATTTTATCAAAAAAGCTTTTTCCTGCAGGATGTTTAGGAATATATTCTGTACAATCATATTCTTTGTTCTTGTAAATGAATCTGAACACCTAAATTTAAATGCTAAACTTACTTCTCTATTTTCAGGTGTTTAAATATCATTATTGTTTGGTTCTGGTAATGGTGACATCTGATATTCTAATAAATTAATAATATCTTTATTAAATTTGATTAATTTTTTCACATTAAAATTAGCATAATTATATTTATATATATATATATTTTATGAATAGGAATAATAATAATAGAAACGAAGAATTCTTAAGAGAATAATATTGTAAAACATAAGCAGAAAGAATTCTAGACAAACAACTATTCAAAAAGACTAAAGTAATTTAATTTATAAAATAGGGATAACAATTACATTAAATGGAAAAATAGATTTATGGAGATTAAAATAAAAAAGTGAAAGTTGAAGAAACTTAATAAAAAGAATAAATGAGTTGTTAATAAGCAATGAGTTTAGTCCTCAAATATTTAAATAATGATAATAAAATATTGACTGCTCTGAATAAAATTAAGTTATTAATTAAGGAATTTAAAAACAAATTCTATGATTACCATTTATTGTAAATACTTTATTGCTTATCAATAACTAAGTATTAATTAAAGTAACACGAATGTGATTAATTGGTTATAGAAATCTTTGATCTCTGTTAAATGCCTTAATACACATAAGTTTTAGATATATTAAAAATTCAATTACATATCAAAATTAAACTTTAAACTGATGACACCTACTAATTTAATAATGTTTTGAAAGAATTAAAGAAAATAATAGATGATTAAAACATTCTTTAAGTAATAGAACCAGTGAATATTGTATAATAAAATTCACTATAATAAATTGAAAAATATGAATATGAAATCATACCTGATTTTGATCAATTTCTTGTAATATTTTTATTTTATAATAGAATAATAAAGAATTTTAAAGGAGATAATAATAATAATATATAGTTAATTGTTTAGAAGTATTAGTTGATCAATTCAAATATTAATGGGCCAAAACAAGTATACATACTTTCATTTAAAATTTGAATTTTAATCAAAAGTATTCATTTTATTTAACTTAATTAGATAATAATTTGATGAATCTTTTTAAAAGTAAATTGATATTATCATAAGTAAGATTTAGAATGCCAAAATACTTTATAATGCAAGTAATGATAGAGAGTAAGCTTAAAGTGCAAAACTTATGTAAGATTATTTGAAACCTATTCATGATGTTGTAGATAGTCGTTCTTTTGTTAATGCAGGAGATGGTTTAGATTAATGGGGTTTAAAATAGACTGGATTATGATTATTATTGAGACAAATATATTCTTAAGTTCGTTATAAAATAAAAATAAATTTCAGTCGGGAATTGTTATATCATTATATTCATGTCGAAGCGTTTAAAGTCATCATAATTATTATGATTGTATTGATTATAAATAATTATAGACTAAGAACTTCTTTCAAATAATATGGGTTTGATTCTAATTAATTTATGCTTTATAATAGTTTTTTTAAGACAAAGAATCAGAGTCCCTATTCTGGCAAACCAAAACAATAAATGCGTTAGAGTTCATTTGAAAAACCAAAAAAAGAACGATTAAGATTATAATTATCTAGCAAAATTGATTAATTTGAAAAGGAAGCCATATTGAGTGTTGTTAATTCTAAAAAGAAATCAGTAAGCAAAAGATTTGTACTAATATTGATTAAATTAGAAAACAGAACAAGGAATAGATATAATTGATGATTTCTTAACTTTAGATTAATACATTCCTAAATAACAATCTAAATCAAGATCATTTAGCAATGCATTTCCATCTAATAAAAGTGCTGATAGAAAATAAAACATATTGAATAGTACTAGTAAAAGGCAAAAAAGTAATAATTAGAAGTAGTCACTTGAAGAAGATTAACATCCAGATAATTTTCCATAATAATTTTAAAAGATCAAACTACTTGGTAAAGGAGGATTCTCATTAGTTTGGTTAGGAGAACACAAAACAACAAAAATGAGAGTTGCAATTAAATAAATAAAACAATCCAATTCAAATCAAGCTTATCTAAGAGAAATTTGGTTTGGATCACACTTTTTTGACAACGGAAATCCTAAACCTTAATTTAAATCATTTATAGGAATTAAAAGCTTATTATAATATTTAGGATATGAAATTGGAACTACTGATACATGGATTTTCACAGAAGTATGTGGAGAAAGTTTAAAAAATACACTCTATGATTTGAAAGGATAATAAATCAAAAATGAAATTGTATTCAAAGTAATTAATCATGTCAATATACAAGATGATCTAAAAACCCTTATATCTAAGTTTAAAATCCGATCTAAATATTCTAAAAAAGATTATTAAAGATGTTGCTCATGCCTTAATATTATTAAGTGAATAAAGGATTGTACATTGTGATCTTAAAACAGAAAATATACTCATTAAAAAATCTAAATGTCTCAATGGATCATACATTATTACATAAACAAAACTAATTGATTATGGAAGTAGTTTTTTATTTGATGATCTCTCATAATTCTCTATGGCTACTCCTGAGTATATGTGTCCAGAAATCTTGAATTATATTCTATATGAAAATGGCAAAGATTATGATGCTAAATTATTCAAAGTCTTATCAAATTATTATAAACCTTGGGTAATAGACATATGGTCATTGGGATGTGTAATTCTTGAAATAGTTTATGGAATTCCACTCTGGTTGGGCAATAAAATAATTGTTAAGCATCACGATAAGGAAGTGATTGAATAAGGCTTATTTGCTGTCAAAAATAGAGCTTTTGATCAAATTATATAAAAATAAGCTCATGTTGTTAAAAATTTAGATCATTACTTAGATAATAATTATTCAGGTATTTTAATAACATGATAATTTTAGGAATTAAAGTCGATTTAGAAATTAGGCTATTACTTCGAGAAATGCTTACTATTGATCCAGATAAAAGGATAGCTCCTCATACCATTATTGAATTTCTTTAACCCACTAAAGAAAGATTGAGAACTGAATGATTTATTATTATAATTATTAGATTGATATCTTTAAGTTAAGAACCAACTATTATTTCCTAATTTAGATTTAATGTATTAATCAATATTTTTTATTTTTTCTGTGATATATAAGACTTATCATTAATTTTTTATATAAATTTTGAAATGATTCCGAGTTTAAAATTAATTTATTCGAAATCCTATTTAAGAACATTATTAGAGAAAGAATTTTAAACAATTATAGTAATGTTCTAGTAAAATAATTAAGATAATAGATAGAATTTCTACACTTACATCATTCAAGGTAGTATTTAAAATTTTATTAAGTCTTCCAGACCTTATCAATAATTAATTGAATTTGATAAAATAATAAATTAATTTTCAAAAGAAAAGAACATTTTATTTTTGCAAAAATAATTAATCATATAAATAATTAAAAAACAATAAAAAAAAAATAACTAAATAATTATCAGAAAATTTAGGCGTTGATGAAAAAGCAATCATTATCTAAAATTGCAGCGCTACCAATACAATATTTGAATGTGTATTTCAAAATACATTATCATACTCAAACAGGAAAAGCTATTAATATTATAGGCGATTGTAATATTCTTGGTTATTGGTAGCTACAAAAGATTTACATTGTTTTTTTATTATGAGTCTTATGGAAAACTAAAAAAATTAGATTAGAACTTTTTTGTTTAATTCTCCATTACTCAAATAAATGAAAATATCATTATAGGCCCTTATCCATAAAATGAATAAGATATAGTCATCCTAAGAAATTATGGACTTAAAGCTGTTATGAATTTATAAAACAAAGTTTGATGTATATCATAGAGGAGTGGATTGGGATGAAATATTAAAAAGTAATAAGAAATACAATAATTAAATGAAGAATTTTGAAATTTCTGATATGGACCCATAAGATTTTGAAAAAAAGATATCCAAAGCAGTGTTAATACTAAAAAAACTAATTAATCAACAGGAATTTGTCTATATACATTGTACTTCAGGTATTGAAAGAGCACCATCTCTAAATGTAATATATTTATCATCAGTTTTGTTAATTCCACTAAATGAGGCAGTTTCAAATTAATTATTTTTACTTTTTTTAGTTAATATTCTATAATATATAATATCACTTCATTTAAGTATACTAATTATTAAATAATTTATCAGTCTAATTATAACTTATTTATCAATTTAACAAAAGAAGTACTAGAAAAGCTGTTTGAATTCATTCTAAAGTTGTTTTTTTTTAAACAGAATATTTATTTTCTTCTTAATTTAAAAAATCAAATAATTATAATTATTAATGAAATATTTGTCTAAGACTATCTTTCTTTTACTTATTATTATAAATGGAAAATCATCAGATGTATTCAAAGTTCAAAATAAGAGGATTCAAGAAGAAGTTATTGAAAATAAATGGGAACCAATTAGAGTTTAGTATTAGTTTGGATAAGAAAATTATGAAAGTGAGCACTAAAATTTCTTTTAAAATTTATTTTCAGTTGCAACTACATTTATAACAAGATACTTTTTAGTACAAAGATTGAATGAGATGATTACATTTGACATCCTTGATACTCAATATTTTGAGGAAAGAAGTATTTCAACTTAATTTGTTAGCCAACAGTTTGATGCAGACCTTGTAAACATAAAAATCATATAATATTTAGCTCATTTTTGTTTTATTAATAACAGACTCAAACCAAAAATTTGTTGCAAGTTCTGCTTATTTTAAAACTGATCCAAAAACAAAAAGACCTACAGTAGGTTATATAAAATGGAATACATTTTTTACGAATCTGACAGATGTGACTAACTCAAATTTCGAATCGTATACTCAACTTTTAATTACAGTATCTATGTATGTTATGGGTTTCCATTTTTAATCATTTACTAATTATTTCGATAGTTCAACTAATAAAACATATCCTGAAGTACTTATGACTCAGGATGGAAATAGTTATTTATCGACTCCTAGATTAACAAAAATAATGAAATTGCATTTTAATTGCAGTTCTATTAATGGAGCATAGTTAGAAAATGAAGGAGGACTTAATTATGAATTATTTCATTTAGAAAGAAGCTTATTTTATAATGAAATTTTAACAAGTTCAATTATGGAAGGAAATGCTATTATATCTGACTTTACTTTTTCACTATTTTAAGATACAGGGTAATTGTTTAATCAATATATAGTTTTTATAATTTAATGGAATATTCACCAGATAATGTGCTTTGGGGAAAAAATAAAGGATGCGATTTTTTTACTAAAAAATGTGAAGGGGAATTTGATGAATTTTGTAAAGTTGAAAAACAATAAGGATGCTCATTTTTAAATAATGGATAATCAGAATGTCAATCAGACAATTATAGTAGTTAATGCTAATATTTTAAAATCAAAGAGGGTTTTGATTGTAAAGATAAATCATCTACTGTAAGTGATTAAAATTTAGAAACATTTTAATATTTTGGACATGATAGCATGTGTATTTAAGGATCATTAAGTAAATCTGAAAGTGCTGCAAATTTATAAGAATTTAGTTGTTATCAATATTTATGTGATTCAAATTCTCAATTAGTGTTAATTATAGATTAAAAAGAATATAAATGTTCATCAAAAGCTGAAATATAAAATAAAGAATATTCTGGAAAGCTTATATGTCCCAAAGACCCTGAAGAATTTTGTAAATCCCAAAATGAATGCTAAGATTAATGTAATTAAAATGGATATTGTTTAAATAAATTAGTAAATACTTTATATTTAATTTTATAGTGCATATGCAAATAAGGTTATTCAGGTTCTAGTTGTTAAGATAATTGTTCAAATTATAGATACAAAACAGAATGTTTTGAAATTTGTCCTAAAGATACTTATGCAATTGAATCTATTAAATATTGTGTTGGTTGTCCTGGAGTAATTATTCAATGATTTTTATATAGAATTGTTAAGCTTGTTAGAGTTATAATAAATGTACTATTTGTCGTTCAGGATATAAATTAAATTCAATAGGATTTTGTGATATCATATATAATGATTCTGATTCAGAGGAACAAGACGAAGGTTCAGAAAACCCAGTGACATAAAATGATGAACAATACCTAGAATTAAATTTTGATTATGAATATGAAAATGGGTATATCTTGGGAGCAACAATCATCTATTTGATATTATTATGAAATTTAGAATTTTAAACAATATTCTATAATAAAATATAAATTATACTAATAAAATTAATCTATGAAGATAGATAAAAAAGAATTAATAGGATAATATTTTATTTTATTTAACATGAAATATTAATTTATTTTAAAAATTCTGATTAGAATAAATATAATATTTAAAATCATTCTCGAAGAATTCTATCATTATATGCTTCTAAACCCATATTGAAAATTTATGATAATTGTTTTTCATTAAATTAATTTTGATGTTAAAGAGGTTATTGATAAGGATATTACCAACAATATGGATTATAATATGGATACATCATAGATGGATATTAGTATTATTACCCTAATTTTGGATAGTATATGGGTTTCTATTCTTATTATACTTTATCTTCACCTTTGAAGGAAAAAGATGATTGATAAGATTCCTCTGATGTATCTACAGTAATTGTTTTAGTGACTTTTTTAACTTTCTTTTTAGGAAAATATTCTTCCTTTTATTGATTTCTTGCTATTTCTAATTTTAAATAATCATCTAATTATTTTTATTTTGTATGATTAATTTTTTATTTTTTATTAAGATTTGAATTGATTCCTTAATAGTTCATTTATTATTATTAAACTTATTGTTTCATATCTTTAGCCATTTTTCTCTTATCCCTTTATTATTTATTAAATTCAATACGATCAGTTAATATTCTCATTAATGGTTCATTATCATCAGGCATCAATTACTTTAAAATAGATGCAACTATTTCAAAAGTACTTTAATTAATTTAAGATTGTCTTCTTATATTTTCTAATAATGAAATAGCAAACATATGTGATTAAGCTAATAGTTGATTTTAAGAATAATTATGAAATCTTTTTATAACACCTGTGAGTGAGAAAGTAGCTTCATTATCATTTAATTCAATAGTTGCATTTATTTTCATCATCTATTTGAGTACTTAAAAAATAATAGAGAGAAATTCTAAAAATTGTTCATCAGCAGATTCTAATACATTTATATCTGTAAATTCAACATCTAAATCATTAAAATTAATCAATTCTAATAATCTTTAACATATCTATTCCATTTAAAATTTTGAAAAATCCATCTATCTATTTTATTAATTTGTTGAATTATTTTGATTTTAGAATTAAGATTTATTTTTTAAATCATATAATCTTTATACTAAAATTGGAGCTATTTCAATAAGTACATTTTCAGCTTCAGTTTCATTTTTTGATTAATTAATTCTTTTATAAAATTGATTCCACCAAGGATACTTAATACAAAATCCTTTTAAATTTTCAACTAAATTATTTATATTGATTCCTACAGATAAAGGTATATTCTTTTATAGATCTTCTGATAATTAAGGAATGTTTTATGTTTAAATATTATTTCTTATAAATCTCTGCTCTAATTCAGTAGAATCAATTTAATTTTTTTAATCATTTTCAAGTAATTACCTTTTTTCATTATTTTCTAATATCTAATGTAATATATTTTGAATTTCTTCTTATGAATACATTTCTTTAATAATATCTGTTTTACAACCTTATACTTCAAGTATCTAAAATATTTTAGGGATTTCTTATGGAAATCTAGTTAAAAGGAGTAATGAAATAGTTTTCATTTTTATCTACCATTAATCTTTTGGTATTGTTTTACTAAAAGAACCTAATATGACATTGATATCAAATTTGCATGATTTAATTAAACTATGAGTTCTGCAATCGTAAACAGAATTTGAATCAATGATGATTATTGGTTACATATATTTAAAAAAAAAGAAGGAAAAAGTAAAATAGAATTATTATTTTAACAAAATCCTGTTTATTTTTATTATTTTAAATATTTAAAAATAATAATTTCACATTCTAAATCCAGATTAATAACTTGCATTTGGTTATCCTTACCTAATAAATTGAGAATCTCCTTATTTTAATAAGAGACCTTTTGGAATGAATTCTCCTACTTATTGTAAATGTTCTTAAAGAATACGATTTTTTTCTTCTTCAATTACTTACTATTTGTAAGCTTCTTCTCTTCTTTATCTTTCTAATTATTCAAGTTCCTTTTGTTTTTCCATTTAATACATTTCTAATTTCTATTACCATAATTTTTCAACTTCTCTTTTATGTTCAATTTCCTTCATTCTTCTTTTTTATTATCCCAATTATTCTAATTTATCATCTTCAGCAAATTTTCTCATCATTTAATCTCTAAAATCTCTTTCCATTTATTATTCTTCCTCTTTTTATCTTTATTTTCTTAATCGTGCCTCTTGTTCAGCTTATTACATTTCTCTTTTTTAAAATTCCCTTTTATTAGCTTCATCAATATCTTTTTATCTCTATTATGCATCATATTATTCTTAATATAATTAAAATCTGAGTTCAGTTAATAATTCTGCTTCTTATCTTCTTCTTTCTTCTTCTTCCTTTAATTTTTAAAATATTTTATCCCTAATGAAATTTTTGAAATTAATGTTTACTTGGCTGCATTCTCTTCTTACTTCTTAACTTTAATTTCATGTGCTTATCTATCTTTTTCTTTCATAAAATCTAAATATTTCTAATTCTCTTCTCTCTCCCTTTATTTCATTCTATATATTAATTCAGCTTTCTCTCTCAAAGCATTTTACATATCTGAGAAAGCTATTTTCTTCTTTTTTGCTTGATCCTCTATAAATTTGCGATCTTCATTTATTAATTGTTAAATAACTCTATTAACTTATTCTTTTTCATAAATATATTATTCTTTGGCTTCATCTCTTAATTGTTCATGTTCTTTCATTTATTTTTATAATGTCTATTATACATGATTATGAATTCAAATACATATTTTCCCTCTAATCTTTAATGAAGTCTAAATTACTCTTTAGCCCTTTCTTCTTCTTATTCTCTTTTTAATTTTTCTAAAATAGCTGCTTCAATCTCACTTTCTTATTTCTATTTTTGAAAATATAACTGACTATATATACCAACTCTTAAATTCTTCTCAATTATTATTCAGCTAATTGTTAAGTTCTCTCTTTTGTCACATATGCAGTCTAAACTTTTTATTTAAGTAGTTTGATTTCTTCACTCTCAGCACAAATTCTTTCTATTTCCCTTCTTTTTTTTTCTTCCTCAACTTTACGTTTTTATAATTCTCTTGCTAATTAATCTTCTAAAGAATAGGGATCTGTTATTGGATTTCTATTTGAATTATGAATCATATGATAAATAATGTTAATTATAATATTTCATTTTAAAACACCTGCTTAAATAAGTGGGAGTAGATTAGTATTAGGCAAACTTTGATTCCTATGTTTGTTAGGTCTAATCTTGCGTTTAATTGGAGATTATTCTTCTAAAATAGGTAACTTTTAATTTTCTAATGAGATTTTTGATTATTATTAAGTAATAACATCTAATAAACTAACTTCTTCTTGACTTGAATGTCTATTCGGTCGAATCTTCATTATAGGTTTTCGAATTTACTAAATAAATATATATGTATTTCTCATACTTTATTTTGATATTCGAGTATCATAAGAACTTCAGGTTAGGGTTTTCTATTAACAATATTAACACCTCCCTTTTCAATAGATTTCTAACTAGTAACATCTTCATAACTACCATTTACACTCATTATAGATCTTGGATTTGGACTAGCTTATTATGAATGAAGTGATTTTATTTGTTTTCTATTAATAAAATCATAACAAGGTTTGGGTAACATAGATGTAAAATAATGGTAGTTTTTAGGAAATTTGATAGTTGATAACAAAGTATTAGGTTCATTATCTACTTATTCTGGTTATGGTATTTCCTCTTATCTTTTTAATATTGAAGGAAATTGTAAGAGTTTATCACAATTAGGTCTTAAATGTGGTTACACTTACAACATAGATCGTATAACATTATTGAGGTCTTGTGAATAATGCTAAGGTATTTTTGGATAGTATCCACGTATTACTCGTTTATATAAGCCTTCCATATCTTCAGCTTAAAATGGAGGCTTCAGTGCTGCCATCTCATATATTACACATCCTAAACTCCAAATATCTGATTTTTGATCATAAGGTTAATCTTTCCACACTTCTGGACTAGCATAAAAGGGAGTTCCAGTCTAAGTATAAAGTAATCCTTTTTTAGCCACCTTTGATACATTCATATCTCCTAACTTAACATCTCCATTTTGTGATAAAAATACATTGGCACTCTAAAGATCAATACTATTTATACTTTCAAATCTCTATGCAGTATTTTCAATTCATGCAATGCTTTCAAACCCCTTACAATTTAGATGAATATATTCCAAATTGTTTACTCTTCAATTGGTTTATTGTTCTTTTTACTATTTACAATCTTTTGATATAAGTCACTTCCATCAGCAAATTCCATCACTATACTAAATAACAAAATTTCATTTTAGAATACCATAATGAATTACTCTATAAATCAATAAAGGCTTCCTTATAACAAATTATATTTGGATGCTTTACTGATGCTAAAATGCGAACCTCGTTTATTGCATTTTACTTCTCTTTATCATTCAAGTTCTATAATTTTACTTTCTTTAAAGCATATTCATGACCATCTTCCAATCTTTTTACTTTGTAGACTGATGAGTATGCTCCTTCTCCTAAAAATGGTTAGTTATAATTTAAATACCTAATTTCGAGAGAACTTAAAAATCCTTCAAAGACATTTCAGATAATGCTTATATAATTTTTGTTAAAATAAATTCATATTATCAACTTAATAAACACAACATAAAATTATACTTATTTCTTTCTAATATTTATTTATAAAGGATATTATGACCATTGTTAAACTTGAAATTTATTTTGTTTCATTCTCTTAAGCATTATCTTATTAATTTCATTAAGATTTATATTTAAAAATCAAGTTTAATAATTTTTTCAATTTTAATAAGTTAAATTTGAATATATAAAATAAAAGAAGAGGACTTCTTCTATTATTGATCCATTAATATAAAATAATAAACTTAATTTTATATTGAATTAGTATTATTTTATTTATAAATTAATAAAAATTAACAAAATCTGAATTGGAATAAGAATTTAGATATTATTGATTTAATAATCTTTAGAAAAGATGTATTAGTGGAATTGGTGTGAAATATAATATAATTAATTAAATGTGGCAGCAGTTTTAGATATTTATTCATAAATAAATTTTTATTTTATACAAAATCCTTCAAATGTACAATCATTCAAATATATCATACACAAATTCAAATAGTTTAAACAGATAAGAATTACAAGAGTTTAGAAACTATGTACGTAAAGCTGCCTAAGCTAAGATGGATGGAACAGAAGACAAATCAAGATAAATAGCAAAAACTTTTCATTTAGATCATAAAAATTTAATGTCATTAAATTAGAGTCCTTTACAAAGTAAGAAATTACATGTAGATCATGACATATCATAACATCATCATCTAGCATCTTTATCAGATTGGAAGAAATTTGATAGATCTACATCTTAAAGTTTTGTCTCCTTTGATGCCAATACTTGGAAAGAAGATCAAAATAGTATGAGATAAAGAAAGCTGTAAACACCATCTTTGAATGCAGCTGATTTGATCAAAGTCAATAGAACACTTTCAGGATTGAGTACAAAAGAAATCTAAAGTTTAAGTGGACAATATTATCATTAGATTTAAGAATTAGAACACACTGTAAGTTCGATGTTGAGAAGAATAGATTATATATAAGCTTCCAAATCCAATTATTGAACATATTATAATGATTATATAATAATTTGAGAGATTAGTTGATCATAAGATTCTCTTTCTCTATTTATTGTAATATTTTATAGTATATAAAAGAGAATAATATCATCTTTAGATCTTATTAAAAAATGTTATTAATATTTTAGTATAAAAATTAGTTATTTAATTAAAATTCTTTAGATTATAAATATTATTTGATTTAAAATCATGGAAAGATTTTGCTTAAATCCAGAACATTAAAATAAACAAATTATAGGTTATTGTGTATAAGAATTGTGTCGAAAGTAAACAAGAGCACTTTGTATGAAATGTATAACTGGATAGGCACATTAAGGACATAAAATTATTGAATAAAATGAAGAAGAGGAATTTCTTCGTGAGCCCAATTTAATTTATACAGATTTAATAGCAAAGTTAAATCTAATTAAAAGATAATTCACATAAGGGATTTCTTTCTTAGAAAGAATTTTAGAAAAACATTACAGACCAATTCCATTAAATAATATTGGAAATCGAGATGTCGATAATAAAATAAATTGCATATTAAAACTTGATAAAGTTTAGAAATTAGTAAATGACAGAATAGACAATATTTTTGAACATACATTAAAATCAATAAAACTTACATATCAAGATTTAACCATAGGAACAGAAAATTAATGTATAATCATAAATATATTGTATTAGGTTATGAGTAGACTTAAAAATAAAATTATAAGGAAGCACTTCCATTAATTGAATAATGTTTGTTGTTGGATAGCAAAAATACAATTTTAAAGTTGGCTAAAGGTAATAGAATTATAATATATATAGCTGAAATTTATTCAAATACTAATAAAGTATAAGAAGCAAGATTAATTTATGAAAATATACTTTAAACAGAAGATGCTAATCCTTGGGCTTTCTTAGAATTTCGTATTAATTTATTTTAATTGAATTAGACAAACTTCTTAATTAATAAGAACGGAGATGATTAATCGAATTATTATCAAAATTTATCATTAACAATCTATATAAGTTTTTCAATGTCAGATTAGTAATATTTCCAGCAATCATCCCAAAATACTTAAACAAATCCTAATTTAGTTTTTAATTCAAATGAAGCTATATTTCCAATAATATGTTTTGTTTTCTTTTTATTCTTAATTGCAACTGATTAATCTTAATCAAATTATTTTTCTTTGCCTGCCAAACTATTTAATCTTGCAGAAGTATGTTTTGTATAAACAAATTATAAAGTGAATGAACATTTCATTTATTACATGGTAGCATAATCACGTCTAATCATATCCATTAATGAATATTTATCATTTTCATCCAATAAATAATCATTCATATTAAAAATAATATTATATTTACCATCTTTAACTTCTTAAGCCAAAAATCTTTTATTATAAATACCATTTTCAATTGTTATCCAACCTATTATATTTTATTTAATTAAACTATTTAAAACTACTTAATGAGACCATAATTATTCAAATAAAGGATATTTTAATCTCATTCTATTCAATTTAAAAACTATAGTATAATAATTTCCATTTAAATAATATGAATGTATTCCAAATATTACAGGTAAAAATATTCCAAGAGCACATGTAAATTCTTAATCTAATCTTTACCATAACAATTATACACCACCTCCTTTTGTTAATTATCTTTTTTATTCTTTCGTAATAAACTCAATTGAAATTAAATTATCATGAGTAATAAATAAAGTACCTTCTTATGGTAATTATTAAGATCTTAAATTATCTATATTATAAGACATATCCAAAGAATACTTAATTTGTTTTAGATTTATACCAAAGTATTCTCTTAATTTCAAACTCAATATATCTTAACCATAAGTAGTTACCAAAATATGATTATTCTAATTAATATAAATTTAACGTTATTAAATCTTATTAAATTAATAATAAGTCATCTCACTATTCTAACAATATTAATACTCTTCTAACATCTCATAACTTGCTTATAATAATAATATTAATTCATTATGTCCATTATGTTCTATAACATTCTATATTTCAATTTATTAACACTAAATAGATTCTTAAGGTAATAAAGGTCCGATATCATATTGTTCTAAAGAGAGTGTCAATGAATTATGTTTTTATTATTAATACAACTTAATTCCAATAATATCTTATCCTTAAGTTTATATCATAATATTCTGATAAGATTTATTCTATGAATCTTCACTTATTTGATTAGTTTTGTTTAGTAGTCTTTCCTAAAGAACACAAGCTTTTGGCATAAATAGATACTTAATATGTCTATGAATTATTGGTTCATGGAGTCGAAGTATAGTCATTATTAATGTCAATGTTGCTTAGATGAATGATAAAATATTTATCAATTATTCTTAATTCTGATTATAATTCAGAATTATTGGCTATATTAGAAACAATTAAATACAATTAACAATCTTGAAATTATAAATAGCCAAGCATAACTTACATTCACTTTTATATAAGTATGTAAGTATTTTCTTATAAACTTATCCATTGATGTCTTGTATATTTCAGTTTACAATATTTCAGGTGAATGTCTTTACAATTTTATCAATATTATTGATAATATTATCATCAATACACCTCTAAGGTAGACTAAAAATACAGCAAACACATTCTAAGATTCTAAATTGCAATCTCCTAAAATGCTTGTCACTTTATAAAAAATACCTAACACCTAAATCTTGACTTAGCAAAACTAATAAAATGGAGATAATTATTATTAAGGCAACACCCAACATAACCTCTTCTTTCAAATTAAAACTCTTATAATTCTTTACATAAATCTGACAATATAGATTGGCAATTAATAAAATGTTTAATATTGCATATAACATTGAAGCTATTAAAGAAGGTACAGCTATCAATTTACAACTTCTTTCAGTTATAGTCATTGTAAATTTGTATTGCTTTGACTCATCAACAACATAAAATTGACTATAAATCATAAACATACACATAATCTAAATAATAATATTTTCATTTACAGTTTGTGATAATAGTATACTAAACAATATTTATCCAGGATTATGCCTTAATCGTTAAACTTTCTTTTAAACAATCATGATTATCACACTTAACAATAAAATAACTCCATATATTAAGCTCAAAGATATAATTTTTAACATTTAATATTAAATCTATTTCTAACATATTTTTTTTTTCAATTTTCAACAGATATTTTGTAGCATCAATACAATGAGTAATAACTTTTACAAACAAAAATGAATTTGGAATTTATATATATTAAGAAAACAGATTAGGATTAAAATATTAAATATAGAACAATACCTCATCATAAAGTGATATTAAATATATTTCATCTTTACTGTTAAGAATATGGAATTTTCTATTATATTCTCAAGAATTATATTATTAGAATCTAAAAAAATGATATCATTTATAATTATCTAATTGACTTTATTATTCTATTCTATATTAATTCAATAATGATATTTAATAATAATATTAATAAGAAAATATTTTATATCATATAATATGACGGTTTTATTAAATATATATTATATATTTCATTGATTTAAAATCTATATTATGCATATGTATATATTTTGAGTAATATTAATGTTTTTCCATTAATTATATATTATTTGATAATACACAATAAATTATTAAAATAGTAATATACAAATTTCTTATAAATATAATTAACAATCATTCCAATAGAATAGAACTTACACTTTTTACAGGATGCATTCTTTTATATAGATAAAAGAAAACAGCAATCAATATTGCTCCTCCACAAACACTAACCAAAACTATCCACCATGTATTTGATCTAATATTTGATAAAATATAAATTACAATTCTTCTTCAATATGATAATTTATAATATAATTCAATTAATTTGAATTAAAGTCATTTTTGGCAGTTATATTTATATGTTGTCGATCTTAAGCTCCTTTAACTATAAAATATATATAGTCATTTATCTTGTATTCTTAAAAAATCTAATTTTATGTATCAACAATTAGATAATTATCCTTTAAAAAAAAGAATATAGGATCTTATTATGTTTAATCAATTTATAATCCTGATTCTATTTTAAATTATTCAAATTCAATATATTATTGATTAAAATTAATTTTATATACTCCTATTAAGACTTTATTTTCATTCTTATAAGAAATAGATATTGTGTTATTTCCTATATCAAATCGCTATGTTTCCCAAAATCCATATTAAACAATCATGAAATCTAAAAAGGGATTACCATCATCATCATATATTATTCTAATTGCATAAGAACCAGCATTGTTAGTTAAAATAAGAAAACTTAAGTTTTGAATAAAACTTTTTGAGTAATACAAATTTTTAATAAAGATGAATGAAGTATCACTTAGAATTGAATAATTGTTTTTTTTGATGAGTTCTTTTGTATCAAATGTCTTAATATTAAATACTACATAATTATTTTCTTTATAGATTCCCCTTAATACTGCAACAATCCCACTTATATCTAGAACTTATATTATATATTCATCTCCTTCACTTTATATAATGTCAAAATCAATTGCATGAAATATAGTTTTTAACTTTAAATAATTTTCATTTATTTAAATAATATTCTTAATAGAAAATTAACCATTTTCAAATAAAATATCTCCTATTTTTAATGTATTTCCACTTAAAAATGCAATTTTTTTATTTATACTTCCAATTTTTTTAGTAAAACCTTCAAATTAATAAAGAAATCCTAAAGGAAAACCATCATCAATTTTAGTAATGTGTAGGTATGAATCTGTCAAACTATTGCACAATGTATAATAGAAAACTTTATCTTATATAGTTGAGATGCAAGTATATTAAGGTTAAACATCTAAATTGATAAGTGAAGTTAATTAGAATTATGAATTTAGTAATAAAAGTGATTAGGCACCTTATAGTATTTTTGTTACATTGTTAAGTGATATAAAATTATTAAATTAAAGTCTATTTAATAATAAATCATCTGTCTTTTCTATAAGATTTTCGATTGTTACTACATCTTTTATTTCACTTTCAGCTATGAAATCTATTACTTAACCTTCATACCATTTATGAACCATTGGTATTTTCTATTGATATTTCTAAAGATGTAATTTATTTTTATCTTTCAATTCCTTTTCAAGTAATTATATTGATGTAAATGTATTAATTTATTTTATAGATTGATGTATTTCTAAACTTTGTTTTCTATTATAAACTTTTATTACAGCTGTCATTTCTTATATATAGTTATTATTTTAATATTCTAATTAATATGATATAATTGGATTTAAATGAATCTTTTTTAGTATCAATTCACTTGAATATAACAAAACAAATAAATGTTAATCTTATGTGAAGGGAGAAATTAAAATTTTTTATTTTTAAATATTTAGATTTTTGATGTTTAATTGTATTTGTATTTTGAGAGAATTATGAGCTTCAGTATTAAATTTATATATGAATATTTCTTGCTGTTCAGTTTAAATTAATAAATAATTATTTATTTATTTGGCATTTATTGGCTAAAATAATTATTAAGAATAAGTAGGTAATTTATGAATTAAATAAACTTCTTAATAATAGTTATATTCATATAAGATATTATCTTTAATTAAAATAAATGTTTAATCTGATATTGCTATAAAGTCAGTTTCTCTTATTTCAAGATTTAGATAAAATTTAATAAAGAAGTTATTAAATAAATTAGTAATCAATAAACTATCTTAATTATTAATAATTAATGTATCTCTCTTTGAATTTATGTATAATTTTTGAGGTTGCAATTTGATATTGTAAGAACACTTATTTAAAAATGATTCATCAATCAAAATATAATCATTACTTTATATTATATTTTGATAGAAATGAATTTAATTATCAAATATTAGATATAATGATGAATTATCAAATAGTAATTATTTAACAGATTTCTCAAGAACAATTTATTTTATAGTAGAATTAGTAGTCTATAAAGAAATAGTTTATGAATTCTCTAAAATCACAAAATAAAGATTTTTATCTATTAATTAAGATTAAAAATTATCTTCATTAAGATCAATTTTGATTTATATTATCGATTAAAGTGAGCAGACAAATTAAGATTATATTTCACACTTATTAATATTTAATTGATTACTATTTTTTAATTATTATAATAAATAATAATAAGTATTATTTATTTTTAAAATATCTTGATAGATTATTTAATCCTTAAATTATAAATTAAAAGGATAGTTTATAATTTGTTAAATTGAACAATTAGATATACACAAATAATTTTAATCTGGCCCTGAAATTCTTAAATACAATTCTTATTAATGAAAAGGAGATCCAATTATAATTGATTTATTATCATAATCTGATATCAATATTTCATAATTATCTTAAATACTTTACAAAATAATAGAAGCATTACATGAACCATGACCATCTTTTCCTTAAATTGTAAATTATAATGGATTTTTTGTTTCTAAATCATCAGTGTTTAATAATAGATATCCATTATTAAGTAAATAAAAATGTGAATACTCATTTGATAGTGTAAGCAAATAATGTTATGAGGTTAAATAAGTTATAATACCTTCACTATTGATTTTTTAAAGTAAATATCCAGAATAAATACTAAAACTTGAAAAGTATCCTGTATTATGCAAAATTACATATTATCCTGAAATATGAACTTTTGCTTTCTCATCAATATTACTATCTAAAGATATTGTTTTAATGTAATGTTAATATTGATATACAATAATTTTTTAAGTTTGAAGATAAATTAAAAAACCATTTTCATCATCTATATCAAATGATATAATTTTATCAGTTTTAATTACAGTAGTTTAATTATTTTCATATTTAAACAAACCTAAAGTTTAATCAAGAACATAAATTATGTTTTTATTTAATATTTTGTATTGATTTATCTTTAAGGAAATAAATTCTAATTATGGAAATAAAAAATGAATAGTTTAATTATTTATGATTGATTCTAATTGTAAAATAGTTTAATTTACATTCCACTTATAAATAGCTAGAACAGATTAAAATTAATTAGTTTCTAATTTGTAAAAATATTCCTATGTATTTGTAATTTAAATAGATTTTACATTAAGAAAATTTTCAAGTTCTATCTAATTTATTAATTCTCCATTTTTATGATAAATGTAAACTAAGTTTTGAGTCTCTTTTTAACATACAATAATAAAACTATCATCCCTAAAATAATCAAAATCAAAACAATTCAAAGTTAAATCTAGTTTTTCTATATATAAAATTGTCCTAAATTCAGGAGTATTTAAGTTAATTTATGGATTGGAATATGTAATATTTACAGAAATGAAATTTTCAGCTAAATATGCAAACTAATTCATCCATTTATTATTGATATTAAGTTATGGTTTAAAACTAATTGGATAAGTTTATTCAGGTAATTCTAATTTATTATATTCATTGAATGGTTAGATTATTTTTAAATTTGTTTATGATGTTGAATATATGATATTATTTCCAATAAACACTTATGAGAAATTTAATCTAATTGTTTCATTCTCTGTAATTACATATAAAAGGTTATCATTCATAGAAAAGCATGCTAAAGAGATGAAAATTGGAAAAATTAAAATTTTTGTAAACATATTTTATTTTATACAATATTATAAATGAGATTTAAACAAGTTTGTATATTATAAAGATATGAAATCTATTAATTCATCTATTCCTTTAAATATAGTTTCTTAATTAAATGAATATTTATTTTTTAACATATTGCGCAAAAATCTTATTAATTTATTCATTATCTAATATAGCTTTTAATATTTGATTTAGAATGCAGAATTTCGATCATTTAATACCAGTATCAATATAATTAGTGGATGGATGTAATAAAAAAATAGTTCTATATCAAAAATTCGACCTTAGTACTCAATTTAATGCAATTGAAAATTAAATGAGGCAATACCTAAAATTAAAGTAAAATTTCTTATAGAAATAGTCCTGAATATGGAATATAATTCACTGTTGATGGATAAAAAAAAGCAGATAATGCAAAGTTGAGCTAAATAGTAAATTAAACTTATATAATTATGAATAGTCTAATATAAATTTAAGAAGGGAAATAGAAATATCAATGAAAATTTTATATTGAATCTAATAAAGCAATCAATTGGTTAAAAATAATTAAATTGAAATATTATTGTAATATTAGAATACCTCAATCAATAGAAACTATCTTTTTATCTTTTGTCCATCTTATATATTTCTTAACAAAATTATTAGTCAGATATATTATATATTTCTTATCAGTTGTTTATGAATTCAAATTATAAATTAGCTATCCATTAATTAAAATTATACAATCCTTTTTTATTATTTATTTGGCTATAAAACCTTTCACTCCTAGATCAGATTCTTTATACATTAAAAAAATGATAAAATTATTAATTGAAGATAAGAGAGATAATATATTATGATATCTAATTAATAATAATTAGTTTCTTCAATTTATTTTAACTATATGAATAAATTGAAATCAAATTTTGAAAAATAAATAGAAAATTATAATTATCATGTCATAATCAAATTATATATGATAATCATTTAAAAGGGTAAATCAAATGATATAATTAAATTAGCCAAGGATGTTTTAATACTTATTCAGCTTTTAATCTTTGATCTGATTGGATTAACATTTTTGATATTAAATCTTTACAATCATTAGAAATTTCTTTAAATTTAGGAATTTCCATATTATAAATACCAGACTTAACTACTTTTAAAATCTCTTATTCAGATGTTCCATTAAAAGGGACATCTCCAGTCAATAAAATATACAAAATCACTCCAGCTGACCATATATCACAAACTTCATCATATTTTCCCCCTAAAACTTCTGGTGCTATATAATAAGGCTATTTTAAATATTATTATCATACTGTTCCTATCTTTTTTGTTATCTGTGTCTTACCATCTTTTGTTTTGTATGCATTATCATGGAAAAATACACTATCCTCAAAACCTATAACCTTTATTGGTGAATTAGGTGTTTTATCTAGGAATAATATGTGTTCTGGTTTAAGGTCTCGATGACATATTCCATGAAAATGGCAATAATTAATAGCTTAAATGATTTATAAAAATATTTCTTAAGCTTCTTTTTCTGTGTAATTATCTTTATCAATTAATTTGTCAAACAATCCTCCTCCAGTACATAGTCTAAATAATAATAAATGATATATTTTTACTCCATAACTAAATAGATATTCTTGGTATCTTCAAAACTTTCAAATAATTTTATTACATTAGGATGATCCTACATTAAATCTAAAATTTATTACAAAATTTTGTAGTTGTTCAATAGATTTCTTGAAATTATCTGTGTCAATAATAAAATTTTTTGGAATGATCTTTAAAGCCCTTTCATATCCTAAAACTTTGTGTTTTGTCCTATAAACCTATCCATGAGATCCCGAACTCACTTCCTAAGTTTAAATTTGAATACTCTACCTTCTTATCAAGTTCATAAAAATCTTCAAATTTTTCTTCTCTCGAAATCTTTAGCCATTTTTTATTCATCAACTATTAATTATCCATTTTATTATTATTTTAAAGATATTTAATTTTTTTAAATAAAAATGCTCGATTCAATTATAATGTTATATAAACTCAATGATATATGGCAATTTAATATTTAATTATAAATGAAAAAAAATCTTATAGATATATTATTAATAATAAATATAAAGTTGCGACCATTTGAAAGGATCAATATATTATTTTATACAAAATGCCTATCAGAAAATATATATCAAAATTGGGCTTTGAAATAAAATACCATTGTTATATTAAGCCAAGTTAATGATTAATAAGCAAAACCTTCTATCACACATTTATAATAGACTTTAATTATAAATATTTGGTTGCAAATTCTATTAGAAATAAATTAAAATTTTTAAAGTAACGATGTTTATGATTCTTTTGAAAGGACAAAGCAAGCACAAAAATCATAAATCAATAATAGGTATATATTTGAAATAATATATGAGAACTAGTAAGTTAAAGATGAATGAAACAAAAAAAATTAAGAAAACTAATAAATCTTCTTATCATATTTTATAATTCTTCAAATTAAATGAATCATATAGAATCATTTTTCTTATTCATGAACTTGAATAATGAATATTGTATCATTATGTTGAAAAACATCCTTAATTAATCTTTCATCAAAATCTTAAGCAGGGAACTTGCCATTAATAATTATTTTGAAATTTACTAGGTTGGGTCGTATTAACTCTTTTAAATCTAATAAAGTTTTATTTCTGTTAATTTCAATATCTTTACGATTATCACTACTATCAAGTAATCCTAATGTCAAAATTTCATGAACTAATCTAAATTAAATTTAAATATCAGTATCTTTGAAGATTTCTCCAATAATAGAGTTTCTATTTTATTCATATTAAATTTCAGTCATTTGCTAGTTTGGTTTAATTTAATATAATTCATATGTGTCATATTGTTCTTTACAAATTTATTTTAGAAATTCATCAAACTAATCAAGTAAATCTTATAACAAATCATACTCTTCCAAATTGCACTCAAAGTATTTACCTCCCTCATTAACAATTAAAAATTTATATTATTTGAGTTCTGGTATTACATTAACTTAATAGAATTCCAAAGAATTAATTATTTCATTTTCATTTTCTAAGACCTTTTCATTTTGATAAATGGTAAGTAAATGAGGCTTTACTCTGATATCTTCACTAATTGCCCTTTTTAAATCTTTTAATTTGTTTTTTCCAGTTGGAAGTGTTGTTTCAAATTCTTTTCCTCTTAATCCACATTAATATTTTACATTTAGCATTTTTAAATAATAAAATTATTATAGATTCATTTAGAGCTTTCTATTTAGGTCTCATCAGATTTCTACATTTAAAGAACTCTATCGTTTATTCTAAAGTGAAAATTAATCATTAATTAATGATGAGAATATTTTTCTCATGTATTTGCTACCATAATTTTATGATACCATTTAATCCTCTTACTTAAATTTGGAACTTGAATTCCCTAATAAATCCCCTTGTTGAGATAATTTTCCTCTGTATTAATCAAACTCTTAAGTCACTCTTTACAAGATGTTTTAAGATTACTTCTATTAAAATTTCTTAATAGCTTAATCAATTTCATTTTTTAATTCATTTGTACTCTAGTTTTTAAGTAAATGACTACAGGGCAATTTCACAAGTCTGATATAAAATATAATGTTAACATATAAATTCTTGTACTATTTTTCAAACAAATCACTCAATAAGAAAGATTCTCCTTTATTGTTTATAATATTCTCTACATTCTTGAGTATTTGTATAGGATTATAGATCTCATATAATTCGGCCTCAATTATATTTTCTTCCTTCTAGAATGTAATTTGAATTTTTGGAATAAATTCTTATCCACAACCTTAATTTGTTTTCAAACATTCTATAACATTCTCGTACTAACTCTTTCGATAAGAATCTAGAATCTCTTCAAAATGTAATTCACGTTTACAAATAGAACAAGTAGATTGTAAAGTATAGAAATAATTACATTAAGTATTTTATGAATCCTTTTTTTATAATAAGGATACATCTTTTTAAAGTATTTATGACTATTATAGTTGATTACTAGGTAATCCTCTTCTATTCATTGCTTATGCTACAGCTAAGAAATAAATCCCATGAGTTGCTGGTGAGGCATCAATCTTGATTTTTTTCATTAATTTTACCAAATACAAGGCCTTCTAATCCATTTGAAAATAACCACATGATTCTAAAACATATCTGAATAACTTTTCAGATAAATTTAAATGTTTATTTTGCATATATTCCAATACTAAGATTGCTAATTCAGTCATATATTGGTATATATTATTTTCTTGATTATTTCTTACATAAATAATAAAAATTAAGAACCAAATTTTGTAAATGGTTTCAAGCATATATTTTGACCATTTCTTCTAATCCAATTAAGGAATAGTTTCTTATATAATCTCTTATTTTATTTCTTATTCATCTGTTAAATCGTACTTCATAAGATTATGATTCAATATAGGAAATTGATCATATTTGTGAATTTAATTAGTAAGTATGTTATCATCTGAAACTTTAATTTCAATTTTTTATTTTGGGTGAATGAAATTTAATTTTTGATCTTTGCTACATATATAATTATCAAAAAACTAATATTATGATTCATTCTCACTGAATGTTATACGTTCTTAAATAAAATATTGGAATATTCTAGTATCCATAAATTATTATATAAATGTATCTTTCTTCCAATAATCTTAATATCCTTGAACATTGAATATTTCATTAAAATTACCTTCATTATTTTAATTTGGTATTATATATTTTTTATATTGTTTCATTAAAATACTATTACATTTTAAAAATGCATTTCTAATTTAATACCAATCTATATTTTTATTGAATTCAGGATCATAATTTTCATCATCCATATAAATATGATATGCTTAATCTATTCTTTTTAAGTATTATTTTGAATAGTTATCATTATATAAATTATTAAATGGCTTTAATTTAGATTTAAGTTTCTTTAAGGCTTTTTCAGGTATTAAAGTTTAATTTTCATAATTTACAATAAAGTTTGTATCCATATAAACATATAAACTATCAACTTAAATTTGTTAATTTTGCTCTATTATATTTTTTTAGCTATATCCAATTAAAAATGGAACTGGAGCTTCAATGTAGCCTCTTAAACTATCAGGTAAGACTGGAATCAAAATAGAAGTAAATTTAAATGGAAATAATAATTGTAAAAATGCATCAATAACTAATCCAGGCACTGACAAATGATTAGAAATAAAATGAATCTTCTACTCTAATAAAATTGCACTATAAATATTAATAATTTTATTTATATCCAATAATCTAAATAAACATTCTAAAGATTCTTTATAACCAATAGGGTATTTGTAATTAATATGAAAACTAATATCCTATGAAGGCAATACATATTTTAAGCATATATTTTCTTGCTCAAAGATTTATTAAGGTAATTTAATCTTATTTATGATATTACAGATCTTACTCTCAATTGGGATGTTACTTTTAGTGAGTGAACATCTATATATATATTTAATTAATTCTTTCATTTATTCAAAATGATTATAAGAACTCAATAAACATAATGCTTTAGGATAACAAATTAATTATTGTTTATCTATATATTCCAACTATTCTAATATAATTTAAGGGATTATTTCATGAAATATTAAACAAATACAATAAGTTCTCTCTCCAGTTTCTGATGTCAATACAAAATTAAAGATTTATTAACCCTTAGAAATAGGATCTATTTCACTTTTTTCTAGTTATATGCCTTATGGAAAGCAAAACTAAAATTAAAATTTCTAAATTACCATAGGAATCATAGTTGTCATGTGAGACAATGGACTTTCATGATGATCTACAAGAGGATATCTATCAATGATTTTAGGCATGTAAGCTACTTTAAATGGGGATTATTCTTAAATAAATTTTATAGATTACTTAATTTGAAAATGATAAAACGAAAATTTCTTAATGGAAATTGTAATATATTAAAATCCTTTGGAATTACTAAACTCATATCACTAAATGAAGATGTATATTTCTTTTTATCAGTTTTATTTGCTAATATTATTCGTATATCACAAATAGGTTAATAATAATTCTATGTCTGATAGCATAAAACAACATGATAATCAATTGTTTATTTTTGTTAATCAATATATTAGGATATATCATAAGATCCTTAATATAGAGAGTATCCATTTTTGATTCCTTTTAATTGATGTATGATCTTATCGGATTTATATTTAATTGGCACAGGATAGATGTCTTCTGTTAATGGTATTTTCTGCATTATTATAAAACTCAAATACTAATTCATTTTCTTCAAATTTAAACTCTTTGATAGATAGGGATGTTATTGGTTAAGAATTTTAATCATAAATGCATTTCAACCAGACTTGTTTATTACCACAAAGATCTATCCAGATTTCGTTATCTTTAATCTAAATATCCTCTTCTAATTGTTCTATATATATTTCTAAAGATGTTAATATATGCTCTATGTTTGAGAATGATAATTGTACACTACTAACATTCAGTATTTTGGGGAATTAGATTATTTCCTGTTCCTACTACACAAAAATAATTTATTATTCTTTTAGAAATATTCATATTTATATTTTTTATTTATTTATAATTATAAATATATTTATAAACTTATATTTCATTTTATGTTTAGATTATTAATAATAATGAATATTAAAATAGTATATAACACAAAAACACACAAAATATCACAAAAACATCAAACTCTTTAAGAAATAAAAAATGCAATATTAACACTCTATCCATAACAATTAGAAGGTGGATTTGATTTATATGTTACATTACATCCTTGTAATTCTTTTAAATATTTAATAGAAATGGATCCATTTAAAATTTTAGATGATACATGCTTTTAAAGAATTAAAGAACTTTATAATTAATTGAAATGGGCATCAATTAAATTTTTAGTTAAAGATTTAATAAATCCTAATCTAACAAATGATGATATATCAATACTAAATTAGAGTATGATTGCTCAATCAACTGTTTAATTATCTAAATTTAATGATCTTTTTTAATAAAAACCTGAACCTAAACAAGAAGAAATCTAAAAAAAGAAAGAAAACATTGTAAATGAAGAGAATAAACCTGAAACCAATTTTGTATAATAGTATTTTTTATTTTATTATATTAATTAGAATTGTCAATGAAATATAGAAATAAGAAATACAAGAGTTAGATTATCATTCAGAAGAATTTAAATAATTTATTATATAACAAATTGATGAAAGATTAAAATATCATGGAATATTTAAGAATGAGATTTCAAATCCTAAAATTCCAGAATATAGAATGTAATTATTGACTAGAGATTTTTAAATATCTAAATTTGCTAATCAAAAATTTGAAATATAAGTTGAAATTATCAATACTTGCGATTTCATTTGGAGAAAAACAAATGTAGTACTTATGGGAGTTAGTGGATATTATAAAAATTTTTTAATTTAAGTATATTAATAATCTATTTAATAGTTAGAACATGATATCAATCCAGGAGAAGTAGCTAAATTCATTTGCTATTGTTAAATGCCTAATTATGCAGTTTATGATTTAGGTAGTGAGTTTTAAGTAATAATACATTATTTATTAGTATAGTTGGCTTATAATGATTAAAATTAACGTAAGTTCTTTGGAGATAAAGTATCACTTAGAATCACAACTCAAATAAATAATGCAAATATACCAAATTAACCAAAAATAGATTAGAAGAAAGTAAAATTATTGATGGACAATGCAGAAATTTCAAAAGAATAAGCTGTTGAATTTATATAGATATATGGAGTAGATAATCCAATAGAGGAAATTATTATTGCTTATTTTGAATAACCAAAATGAAAGTTTTAAGTTTACATTTAAATAATCAAATATATATATATATATATCAATTTGATATAGTTTAGTTTCAAAAATTAAAATTATATAAATAACTCATAAAATCAGGTAAATCATATCTAATATTTTCAAATAAGTTTTTTAAGTCATCTATGGACATACATAAGATTATTTAATTATTTTCTAAATTCTTACTTTATTATTGAAGGGATATGAATTTTTATTTAATTAAATTATCTAATGCTTTATTCAATACTAAAGGTGTAAATTCACTTGCTGTTTTGTGATGTTATAATTTATATGTTTACATAGTCTTTTTTGAATGCTAAATTATATCATCAAACATAATTTATGGTTTTTAATGCATTATCAAATTATAGAAGGAGAATAAAATTACATACTCTGGTTAAGAGAGAACTAAAATTATCAATATAAATAATTTATACGTTTTCCATTTTCTAATTTAACATTTGGGTATATCCATTTTAAACTTTATTACATTAACTCTTAAAGACTAATTGGTTCTGCTTATACATTCCTTTCAAATTTAAATGAATCAATAATTTTTTTATCAGGTCTATTAAAACGAGATCCTGCCAAAAAAAAGGATGATCGAAATAAATAGATAAGTTTACTAATTGATACTTATAAAGATTATAATTTAGCAAAATATTCTTCAAATGATTTTGATAAAATGTAATTTTCATATATGTTAATTACTTAATTTCTATCAATTTATTCAAGTCTAGTTAATAATACCTTTTAAACAAATTAGAAATCTAATTCCATAAAAAAATAAGGAATATTTTAAAATCTACTTTTGACTCTTTTTTCTAATTTTTCTTAAAATAATAAATCTGAAGTAATTCCAACAAAAATAATTGGATATTTTGATTCTCTTATCCATTCAAGTATTGAATATAAAAAGAATTATTTTTTAACAGTTGCTAAAATTTCAACTCTTTCAATTACAAGCACTATGCCATGAAAAGAATTTTCATATTATTTGAAATGTTTCATCAATTCATCAACAGAGAGCTTGTTAATTTTGGATTTGATTTAGGCTGTTTATAATAATTAATTATTAATGGCAGATAGAATATTACCCTCAGATTTATGAAGCTATTATGTTTTAAATTTAAATACATATGCATTAACAAATATTTTTATGATTTTTTTAGATTTCATCTACAAATCTTATTCACAATTATCAATAGCTTTTCTAATTGCAGATTTCCTACCAAATCCTTCTTAGCCATAAAGTAGAATGGTATTATTGGTTTTACTCTTCAAAGAATCTTTAAGTCGATCAGTCAAATCTTTGATTTTGTCAGAATCATCTATAAGGACATTGTTCATAACATCTTCAGAGAAGTATTAAGAAAATTAAGCATAAGAATCTATTTGTCTATTTAATTCAGCTCTTATTACCTGTTAAATCCTGACTCATATATTAAGTCAATATGAAATTTTGCATATTTAAATAATAATTATTCAATCTATTTAATACTAATCAATTATCAGGGTTAATCAAGCTCTTCTGAGACCATATTTATAATTTATTGTATTCCCATTTGCGGATATTTTTACATAAATTCCTCAACTTTGTTTCGTATTTCTTTTTTCCCTCTATTTTAGAAAATCCTGTTAGAAATCATATCAACACATTTTTATGCTTTTTGAGCTCTATTAAATTCTTTGACTTTGAATTCAGTGATACATCTAGAACCAATCCTCTTCTCTTAGTCAGTTTCATCTTTATAAAATAAAACCCAAGTAAAAGTATATGCCCCAGCATTCTAAATAGTTTAAAGAAGACAAATACAATAGGTGTTTAAAATTAAAGACTTAAACTTCTTCTATCATTTGGATTTAAAGATGGAACATATTAATAGTTTTATGGATAATGTCCAACTTATTTAATATAAACACCATCAGGCCAACGTTTCATTCCATTATTTATAATACTAATTTCTATTTTCACATAAACATCAGCATTGAACTCTTATATTTTATCTTCTTTTTTTTCATACCTAACTGAATATTCTGGAATAGTGCCTTATATCATAGATGATTTAATATATGAGCTTCCTTAATGTAGAACTTATGATTTAGGATTCTATTATTATAATTCAGATAAACGATGAAGATTGATTGATTTATTCATAATTTACTGTTTATAAAATTGGGATTAAACAGGAGTATTGGCTTATCTGATAGCTGAAATTTATTGATTTTGATAATTCTGTAATTATTATTATTATGAAGGTTAGATGGTAATAATTTATTTTATTGGTTTACTCAATTTGCTGAATAATTCTAAGAATAAATCAACATCTTAAATAGTTCTTTTAAATTATTTTTTGCAACTACTTACACATATTATATATACAATGCTTAGAAATCTTCTTTATTTATTAATTCATTAAGACATTCTTTGACTAATTGATTAAATTCTTCAGTCTTCACTTATTTCTTTTCTTGACAAATCACACAACCAGACTAATCATTCTCACAACACACATTATTTGTAAATAACTATTACATGAAGAAATCGAAATAATTTTTATCCTTTTGATTGTCTTCTACTAAAAATAATTCTTGAACATCTCCACTATTAACCATATCCATATATTATTTCTCACTCTCAATATATACCTCTGTATCCTTCTCTTTATAACTATATAATCATTCATATGATATGCCTTACTATAATCTGAATTTAGCTAATTTAAAAACTTGGCTTAAGTACTCCTTCAAGACATAAAGCTTATCATATTCTTTGAACTCTATAAAACATGATTTCTAACCATGATTCAATTTTATTTATTGAGATGCCATTTTATATATATATATATATATATTATATATATAAATAATTATCAACATTTTAAATACTGTATATAAGAAATATCTAAATCTTAAAACATTTTTAATCTTAAATTATTTATATCCACATCCCAAAATAATTCATTTTACAAATTTTACATGAATTTATTTTAACTTATCCAGAATATTAAAGATTATTTAGCCATTTGACTTAAACATATTACAAATTCAATATAACAATCTATTTTTACAATAATTATTTAAATTTATTCTCTTCTATTAATCTAAATAGCCAAATTTACAATTTATAACCAAAAACTTATGAATTTATATTTGTATCCTTGAATCTCTATATCTTAGTCACAAATTATTTAAATATTGCATTATCTACTTTTGTTATTAATTAATTTGATAATTTTAAGTAGAATAGATTTAGGTATATATCTTTTAATTGTTTGATCTTATTAATATAGAAGACAAATGTAATTAATATTAAGATTTACTATTTTGGTGAATGAATTTCTATGATTAAAGATTTTCATTAAATTTTTTATGTATTTAAAAAGATATACTTGAAACGCTTACTTTTATTTTATAAGAACTTTATTGCTATTTTTAGATTACTAAATTATAGTTATGATATAAATATGAGCATCGCTAAATATCTCTGTATATTCAATAAATAAAATGCCTTTTTTCTTATTCTGACAACTCATTTCAAATCCCTAAATTAGAGGTACTCTACTTTTTGCTCTTTTCAAAATATAAGACTCTAAAGTCTAATTTTAATAAGAGTATTCTCTCAAAAGATTTCTAAGATTACATCCTTCACATAATTCATCTTTATAAATTGGTATGTCTTTTTGTCTATGAATCTTTTTAATTAGAAATTGAGTGTGATCGTATTCAAAATAAAAAAACGGTTTTCCTATCATACTAGGCAAATATTCATCTTATATTAAATCAAATAAGTACCCCAATGATTATTTTTTAGAGTTAACAAGAATTGTTATCTTCTATTTTTATCACTTCTAAATTAAACAAAGGCCAAAAAAATTGATATTGATATTGTTGTAAAAATTGTTAAATAGTCAATTTCTTCAAGAAGAATCAAGAGGGTTATTCTTGTAAAAGCAATAATAAATATTTAAATAACGGATAAGATGAAATCTGATCTTTGTAAGAGTATCATTTAACTTGCCATAAGATTTGCACCAAATATGAATATTTTTTACCCTGATTAGTAATTTAATAGTTAGAATTGCATCATACATCCAACTACATTTAAAACACAAAAGTAATAACTAAAATTATTGTCCATGTAACAATATATTAAATAAAGAAGGACAAGGAAACAACTCAATAGAAGTTCTAATTAAATTAGGAATTCATTGCTTTTTTCAATGATATTTTGAACATAGGACATTGTATTCATAATAAGGTAACTAAACAGTATTGTGTAAAGGATTCTTTTCCTCATAAAAATTCTTGTTGTTTGATATTGCATTTCAAGATCTTTATGATAGAATGTGAGTGTGAATTTATTCATTTAGTTTGAAATATATTAATGAAATTAAGCCTTTAAATGACAATTTTAATGGTGAGTTAGAAACATATGTGAAGAAATTTCAATAAATATTAATTATAATTTATATAAACAATGGATGGGGGCGGTTCTACATTTGATCTCACTGCACCAGTATAATTGATGTAGCCAAAAATAAACGTTTAGAAATAATAAGAACAAACAATAAATAAAGGACAGAAGGAAGTAAGAAAGCATTGAATAAATCAGTTACAACCATAAAAGACTTAAAATTCTAATTCGAAACTTCCATAATTGAGTAATAATAATCAGAATGCTTCAAAAAGTGTAAATTAAAAGGCTATGCAATCAGGACATTAAAATTCAACAAAGTCACTTTAGAAAGTAAAAAAGATTGAATTGTTCAGAGATGCTTTATAATAGGCAACAACTAAATTACTACGTATTAATATTATATTATATATATATAGCCCCAGGGAAAAAGGATAAGGATAAAACATAGAAACCTAAACCTTTATAGGAATCTCAATAGTAACAGATTGAAGAGATAAAAAAGGAATATGAAGATTTAGTGTAAAATCATTATAAAGATTTATATGCTCATATTGGAAATGAGTAATAAAAAAGTTTGCATGATTTATATAATAAAAGAATATTTTCAGCATTACATGATTTAGAATCAAGACCAAAAATATAGAATGCCTTAGAAAGAAAGGAAGAATAATTGAATAAATAGAGATTGTATAAAGATAGATTATTGTATGAAATTAAATAGATGATAATTAAGAGTAGAAAATTGGATGAATTATTAAATGATTTAGCAATTCAAAATGATGATACAGAAATCAAAGAATCAATTGAAGAATTAATTTAAAAGGAATAGATTTAAGAAGAAAAGATGGCCAAATAGACATATGAAATAGCTAAACTTAGAGATATGTATGGAAAGAGAAGTAATTAGAATAATTAAATTAAGGAAAATTATTATTAGAAGTTTAAAAATAATGTTAAATTACTTATGATGGATTGAAAATTAAATATTAATAATATGAGGCTTCTTCATAGAGTATGATGAGTCGTAAAAAACAATTAGAATCTTTATCAAAGATAATTAATAAATATAGAAATGAATATTAAAATTAATAGAACTTTTTTGGAGCAAGTTTAAAAAGAGGATTTGATCCTATGCTTGAAGAGATTTTGGAAGATGAATTATCAAATTGTGGTGATTTATAAGCTTTAGAAATTGTTTAATAAGGAGAAAAGAAGATAATAGCAATTAAAGAAGAGAATGAAAAGAAAAAGAAAGGAGAATAAAAAGTTAAAGCTAAATTAGCTATTGAAAATGCTACTCAAAATATTAATAAATAAAAAAATGATATTCAATAAGAATTAGAAAAGAAAGTAAGTAAATTAATAATTTTAGAAATAAATGTTTTAAAAATTGAGAGTAATAACTAGTATTGCTAATTAAGAAGATATGCAAAAATATAAACTCAATATGGATTTAGATTAATAAGAATTGAAAAATATTTAAGAATATATAGGAAAGGAAATTGAAAGATATGAAAGATAAAATGAAGAATTGAGAACTGAAATTAAGAAATTAAAATATGAATAAGAAAATTCTATTTTAGATGCTTAAATTAATTTAGATGAATAAGAAAGAGAAGTCACTAAATAATAAGATTTACTTTAAGAAAAAGAAAAGTAAGTTAAAAAAGTTGAAAAGTCTATTGATGAAGTTACTATGTCATTGTCAAGAATCATGTATTAATTAAGTGGGAAAGGATTGAAACCTAAAAATATTGAAATTAAAAGACATGCCTTAGTTGCTACTGCATCTACTATTCAATTGAGATTAGAAAGAATGTTAACTGTCTTATCTAAAACCTAAGAATTTCTCAATGAAGAGTCTATTAATACAAACCCAAGATATAACAAAGTTGAAGACTTTATATGTCTTAATCCAAAAGTAATCATGGTCTCTATATCAGAGTTACATATCCCAAGAAATCAATGAAAATGCCGAAACTAATATCAAGTTTGTATATAAAGAAGAGGACAGTTCTGATGAAGATTGTAAAGACATGGATGAAGTAAGATAATAAGTAAAATCCAGAGCATAAGAAGATAAACCTTAAGTTTTAGTCCAACCTAAAAAGGATAAAAAATCTAAATGATATATATTATAAATTAATAATTTTTATAAAATAATCATGGAAATAAAGGAAACATTTAGTAACTAAGTTCATTATGGAAATTCAATAATAACAATTTGATGTTGAATTTGTTCATGGTAAAAGAAATGTAAATAGCATTGAATACTATATTAAATGGGTTGGATATTCTAAAGCAGAATCCACTTGGGAACCAGAAACTGCCTTTGAAGGAATTTCGAATTAATTGATTACCAGATTTGAAAGATGCCAAAATTATAAAAATTATCATACCAAAATTTATAAAGCAAATACTCATATCAAAATTAGAGTCCATATTATGCAAAAAGGATGTTAAGTATATAAGAAATATACATCTGAAAATAAATATGCTTTATTAGCTTAAATCAATAAAACAGAACTTAATGGACAAAATAACAAAACTTAATATGAACAAAATAATTATAAAAATTATGAAAGTATGTCAATTCAAAAACATTTTATAGATAGAAATGATGATAAAGAAGATTATGATTTTTATATAAGAAGAGGCAGGGGTAGACCAAGAAAGAGTGAAACTGACAGAGAATTTCTTTCTTATAAAAATGACTATAAAATAGAAGCACAAAAATATTAATATAAGCAGTATCCTTTACAAACAACTGAAAGTAGCTTTAAGTATGGGCATTATAAAACTGAAAAAGAATTTATTTAAGAAATCTTAATGGTTATTAAAAAGAAAGAGTAAAAGAAAAAAAGAGAAGAAGAAGTCATTATTTATAAACCATAAGCTAGTTTACCTCCTGGTTATAAATGTCAATTTACTGATTTACCAAAGTTTAATCTCCTTAATCAAAAATATTATGATAAGAATTCTAAATGTTAGGTAAGTGATGGTAAAATTCCATTAGAATGTATTATTTCTCATCATCTTATGCAAAATAAGCTACTTGTATTTAAATGCAAAGACAATGATGAATAAGTTTGCTATTTTGATTTTGATACTCTAAAATCTTATTATCCTACACTACTCCTTGATTACTTATTCATATCCTCGATTTGGAAAAAATGAATTCAATTATTTATAATATTTTACATTTATTTTGATTTGATAGCTCCTTATTTATAAAATGGGTTGTAAAGAATCAAAATAGAATTAAATAATTTCCAGTCTCTAACTAAATGAACCAACAAACTCCCTTATTTTACTAACTTAAGGAGATGAGTAAAATTTAGCGAACGTCTTTTAAGATCAAAATAAGTCAAGTAATTAATTAAGAATTTCATAAAATACAATCCTATAGAGAAGAACCTAATCACATAAATGATAATACTTTCATATTATCTATCATAAGNATAACTAAGTTCATTATGGAAATTCAATAATAACAATTTGATGTTGAATTTGTTCATGGTAAAAGAAATGTAAATAGCATTGAATACTATATTAAATGGGTTGGATATTCTAAAGCAGAATCCACTTGGGAACCAGAAACTGCCTTTGAAGGAATTTCGAATTAATTGATTACCAGATTTGAAAGATGCCAAAATTATAAAAATTATCATACCAAAATTTATAAAGCAAATACTCATATCAAAATTAGAGTCCATATTATGCAAAAAGGATGTTAAGTATATAAGAAATATACATCTGAAAATAAATATGCTTTATTAGCTTAAATCAATAAAACAGAACTTAATGGACAAAATAACAAAACTTAATATGAACAAAATAATTATAAAAATTATGAAAGTATGTCAATTCAAAAACATTTTATAGATAGAAATGATGATAAAGAAGATTATGATTTTTATATAAGAAGAGGCAGGGGTAGACCAAGAAAGAGTGAAACTGACAGAGAATTTCTTTCTTATAAAAATGACTATAAAATAGAAGCACAAAAATATTAATATAAGCAGTATCCTTTACAAACAACTGAAAGTAGCTTTAAGTATGGGCATTATAAAACTGAAAAAGAATTTATTTAAGAAATCTTAATGGTTATTAAAAAGAAAGAGTAAAAGAAAAAAAGAGAAGAAGAAGTCATTATTTATAAACCATAAGCTAGTTTACCTCCTGGTTATAAATGTCAATTTACTGATTTACCAAAGTTTAATCTCCTTAATCAAAAATATTATGATAAGAATTCTAAATGTTAGGTAAGTGATGGTAAAATTCCATTAGAATGTATTATTTCTCATCATCTTATGCAAAATAAGCTACTTGTATTTAAATGCAAAGACAATGATGAATAAGTTTGCTATTTTGATTTTGATACTCTAAAATCTTATTATCCTACACTACTCCTTGATTACTTATTCATATCCTCGATTTGGAAAAAATGAATTCAATTATTTATAATATTTTACATTTATTTTGATTTGATAGCTCCTTATTTATAAAATGGGTTGTAAAGAATCAAAATAGAATTAAATAATTTCCAGTCTCTAACTAAATGAACCAACAAACTCCCTTATTTTACTAACTTAAGGAGATGAGTAAAATTTAGCGAACGTCTTTTAAGATCAAAATAAGTCAAGTAATTAATTAAGAATTTCATAAAATACAATCCTATAGAGAAGAACCTAATCACATAAATGATAATACTTTCATATTATCTATCATAAGTTTATTTTTATTTGAATTCTTTTTTAAAAATAAAATGGAGTTAAATAATTCATTTAAATAGATATATTGATCATCATTACTACCATATAATTGCACATTTCTTAATGATTTTAAATGTTTTATATTATTTCTAAAATTATTATTAAGATGCTAAAGAAATTCCCTTAAGACATTAATCTATTTTTAGATTATCTTAAGACACTTCCCTTTTTCTGGTTAGACTTCTTTAATATTTCAGGTAATTTTTTCTAATTTTTAAGATTACCATTGAAGTATCTGATTTTACAATTTTATCTCTTATTACATAGGTTTTCTGGAAAACTGTTATTTAGTTTATTATTATTCATATTTATTCTAAATTATACCTAATTTGGTTAATTTTAATATAATCATAGAATGATTTCGATGTTCTTTGTAAGTTTTCTTTCTTATATCTATTGGTTAGACAAAGTTAGATATTTGAGAACTACCCTTAAGTGTAATTCAAATCTAAAAAGTATGAATTTCATAATATTATATGTCAGAAATGAATTGATATTTACTAACGTATTAAATTAAGAATCTGGTATTCTGCTACATGAATTTAAATAATTTATATCAATAAATACTATAATAATGGTTTCACCAACCTACTCATAATCATTTATTGTGTATAAGTATGCCTCATTAGTCGTAGCATGTTATTATATTCTTAAAGCACACTATTTCATCAATTTATTCATTTCAAAAGCTGTAATAGATGTCTAGAATGAGTATACTAACAAGACTCTCTTCACAATCCCCCCTTTATTCTTTAATTGATCAATCTCTTTTCTTAGCTAAATACATATATTTTCAGTAAAATTGCATCTATAATATTTGATAATTTATGCAACAGTTTATGGATATGTTAATTCTATGATTGAATATGTTAATTTGACAATTGATTTCCATATATAAAGATTCCCTTATGATCTCCATAGAATCAATAGGTATTGTGTAGTTTTAGTAATTCATTGTATGGTTGGATGATCTTTCAAACATGAATTCAAATAATAAATATTTAGAGTTTAACTCATTGAATCAATTCTGTAATGCCTCAAAATACTAAAATTAACACTTTAACCCTGGTGTAGTAATCTTTGTATATAGATTAAAAATTTAAGGAATCCAATCAATTGCTTAATCTTAAATCACTAACTGTATCTTTGACTTATCAAGATTATTAATTAACTCCATAATTCATTTATTACTATATGATAAATTATATATAAATTATCAAGGATATATGAAAATATATTTGAACTTATTAATATTATTAACTTAATAAAAATAGAGTTATCAACTATTTATATGATTTAGATGAATAATACTAAAATTTGAGTGATTAATAAGGTTGCAAATATAATTAATCAAAATATAACAGAAAAAAAGGATTAATTTATAAATATCTCTGATTATAAGAAACTCAAAATCTATCCAAAAAATTATACTATAAAAAATAATATAATTATTCTGAGATTTAAAGTATTTAATATTAAAATAATTTTATTAAAATAATGTTTATTAAAATTGTATAAATATTGTGGATCATAATTGAAATATTGGATTACTCTTTAAAATATTAATTATTTTAAAAGGAATTTAATAAGTACTATGATTTTAGAATATAGTTTTGATCTTCATTTGAATTGAAAAGTCTAAAAAAATAAACATCCCTAACTCTTAAAAAGTGAAATTTATAAAATTTAATCTTTAAATTATTTGAAATTTAATGGATTCCAAAATAGGAAAGACGTTTAAATTAACAAAAAAATTAGGAAGTGGAGCATTTGGAGAAATATTTCATGGAATAAATGTATATGAACTTAACTTAAAGTCTATATTAGCTTAAAAATAATATAGAAGTAGCTATAAAATTAGAGCCTATTAGTGCCAAGCATCCTTAATTATACTATGAAGCAAAACTATATTAACATCTTAGTTAGGATAATGCTTCTGTAGAAAAAGGGATTCCTTAAGTCTATTATTGTTCGACTGAAGGAGATTATAATATTATGGTAATGGATTTATTGGGACCATCCCTTGAAGAGTTACTCACATAATGTCAACGAAAATTCTCATTGAAAACTGTTTTAATGCTGGTTGATTAAATGATTACTAGAGTAGAATTTATTCATTCAAAGGATTTTCTTCATAGAGATATAAAACCTGATAATTTCTTAATGGGTTTAGGGAAAAAAGCTCAAATATTATTTATGATAGATTTTGGATTGGCAAAGAGATTTATTACAAGAGATGGATCTCATATTCCATATAGAGAGAAAAAGAATTTAACAGGTACTGCAAGATATGCATCAATAAACACTCATCTTGGATTAGAACAAAGTAGAAGAGATGATTTAGAAAGTATTGGATATGTTTTAATATATTTTTTGAAAGGGACATTACCTTGGCAAAATTTAAAAAATAATAATAAAAAAGACAAATATGAAAGAATTATGGAATCTAAAATATCAACAAGCATTGAATTATTATGTGTAGGAACACCAATAGAATTTTAATAATATTTGAAATATTGTAGAAATTTATAATTTACAGAGAAACCAGATTATGATTATTGTAGACAACTCTTTCGAGATTTATTTTAAAAGTAAAGATATTTTATGGATTATTAATATGATTGGACTTAGAAAAGAGTAGAATAAACTAATTCATAATAATAGACAATCTAATAATGATAATAGTGAGTATATTATAATATTTATATTACAATTTGTAATTAAATGGCAAGTTTAACTTAAATGACAGGGTTTTTTACGAAACAAAGAAAAAACAATAAGACTTTTAAAATATCATATTTCTTTGTTGACTCTTATGGGACTATGTATTACTTATCAAATCTTGCACAATTAAACTATTATATAAAAAATAGTAATAGTGAATTGGATGTATATTAAATGAATTTTATATAGATAATCTCTAAATTAGAAAGTTCAAATGCTATCTCAAAAATGTCTATATAAAATTGTAGAATCTCAGGAATTAAAACTTTATAAGCTTATGATAATGTACCATTTTATCATCGATAACATTTTGAACTCTAAATTTCATAAAAAAATGTTATTAAGGTACTTCAAGTATATTCAACAATTGAAGATGATATTGAAATATTATAAGAAATAATTAAATAAGGATCTTAAAAACAAAGACCAGTTTAATAATTGCAAAATAATTCAGAAATCGAAAAGAAAAATGCTTTTATTGAAGAAATTTTATAATTGCTAAAAAAATATGAAGGTGAAGTCATAAATGTTAATACAAATGAAATATAATAAGATAGCAAATTATATTATACAGGTTAAATAGTAAATGGTAAACCAGAAGGTTAAGGAACATTATTTTATAATTTGGAAGGCATTCATTATAAAGGTAGCTTTAAAAATGGAAAGAAACATGGTGTAGGTTACATAGCAAATAGTAATTTAGATTAAATAGATTGTGAATTCGAAGATGATATTTTAACTGGTATTTGATAGTTATTATTTTTTCAAATATATTTTAAATCAAACTATAATCTCATCTTATTAAGTTTAGCTTTAAGATAACATGACAAGATTTGCCATTCCAGCATTCATTAAATTTATAGATAATTTAGCTTTCTCTTTCCTTACCATTTTTAATGATTAATTTAATCTTTCTATTTCTTAATCTTTATTAATTAAATCAGATTTTAATTCTTCATTTTCTTTATCTCTTTATATCAAAACTTCTTAAAGATTTTTAAGAGAAATCTAATATTCTTATGTTTAAGCTAATTGTTATTATATCATCTTGTTTTTAATTTTTAAAGTTTCAATTTAATTATCTTTTTCAGTTATTGTAACACATTTGCTATCTAATTCCAAAATTAATTATTTGTATTCAAATGTTTCTTTAACATTATTCTAATATAAATAAATTATATATTTTACTTTTAACTATTATTTATTTCTTTCTGATTGTTCAATAACTACTAATTTATTCTATTATTCTTTCAATGTTTTTTATTATAATTAATCATTTTATAGTAATTATGTAATTTTTAACTCAAGATCTTAGATTGTTTATTTATACATAGTAATCTAAGTAAAATAAGCATTTATTTCTTTTTCCTTTTATTCTAAAATAGTATTAATTTATTATGATAATTCATTATTTTTTTCTTATGTTTACTAATTAATAGATAGAATTTCATTCATTTTCTCTATTAATTGATTTAATTCTTCCTTTTTTTATTCTAATTGATATTCTAATAATTAAACTGTCTTTTATGTATTTTGATTTATTGATTAATTTTATAATGATATTTGTTTTGATTTAAGTTAGGTTACTTCTTCATTTAATTATAAATTTTATTCCAAGAATAATTTATTTTATTCAACTAAATTATTATTCTCTTATGAAAGCTCTTTCATTTTATTTTCAAATATATTGACTTAATCATTATATTATTAAACTAAAAATTCTTATTCTTTCATTAATATTTCTATCATTTCTTCATAATTCTTTTTTTGAGGAAGTGTTTTACTTAATTATTAACTTTAAGTAACATTCTTATTACAAACTTTATAAGGTTCTACACAACTAGAACAAGCAACTTGTAATAATTATTATGATTTTGATGGATTATTTTATTTCAATACTATTACACTCTATTATGTAGAAGGTATAGGAGAAACATGACTGGTTATTGGGCTATCTGTTGATTTGATTTCTCTTAGGGAATCTAATTTAGCCATTAAATTAGTGGCATCTCTAATTTAATATTTTAATGATTGAATACTTTGTACAAGAATATAATTCACACTAATTTTATTTAAATATTGGAGTATCTCTTGTTGGTAATACACGGTTTACTTATTAAAGAGGAATTAATGGAATATTTTATTAAACTGATTTCTAAATTAATTGAGTTGGATGTTATTGAATGATTACATTTGGTTCTATTAGATATTTTACTCTTTATTACATTAGATTTATTTAGTAGATTATTTAGAATTTAAGGAAGAGGTAGATTTAAGACTTTTAGTTATCCGTTGATTTTCCATTTTATAATTAATATTAATGACTGTCTGTTAGTAAACTTAACTCATTTAAATTACTATCTTTACTTAATTTATCATAATTATAATTGTCAACATTCCACATCCTGATCAATTAATAAAAACAAAATATGACTGTTATTTTCTGATAAGAAAGTTTTTAATTATATAAGCAATCCTAATGATATCAAAGAAATTATTCCAAAAAAAAATTTAATAATTAAAATGAATAAAAACATAATTTAAAAACCTCCTGTTCCTAAATTCAATTGGAGCATTTATGATCACACTTCATCTGATGATTGTAAAACTCAAATTTCATTATAAAAATCAGACAAAAGGAGATTAAAATAAGTTAATCTCTTAATTGATGAAATGATGGCTAAATTAACTCATAACAATATATTAAATAGTATGAATTTTGAAAACATAAGACATTAATGTATTGATCTATTAGATAATTCCGTGATTGAAAAAGTAAAATCAAAAAAATATTAATCAATAGCTTGTGCATTGATTATTCAATCTTTGAGAATTCTTTTAATCCCATTGAGAATTAAAGAAATAACTTAAGTATTAGATTGTGATGAAAAACAAGTGCGCAAGATATTGATTTAACTTAATTAAATTAAACCTTTTGATTAGGATGCCTTTACTTTGTAATACATGACCAGAATTTGTGTTGCCATAGGATTTAACCAGAAATTTTAAACCCTTTGTAGATTCTTCTATTCATATTTAAGAAATTAAAATTTAGTTTAAGGAGAACATGAACACGTCATCGCTTCAGCTTTAGTAAAATTAACTGGAGATTTTGTATTTAGAGAGAAAGGTGGAATAAATTTAAATATTATTTCTATAAATGCTGGATGTTGTGAAATCTCTTTGAAAAATTTTCTATAAAAGATACAGCCTCATAATCAAATAATGAGTGAATAAGCATACGAGTTTTACAAAAGAACCATGTGAATAATAAAATTTTCTATTTTCTAATTAAATATACAGAACTTAACTTATAATTACCATTGAGAAAGAATTATTAATTACATAACCTGAATGATATTAATATTATTCACATAATAATAATTTAAGAATTCATACTAAAAAAATTCTCTTTTAAGTTCTTTAATACTAATTCTAATTTAAATGAATTCTATAAAATTCTGATATTAATATTTAATTATTTTTTCAATATTAATAATATATAATATAATTGTATGGAAAATTGAGAATACACATATTTATATAAAAGAATCATTTTTTAGTAAATTTAAGTTTTACAATTTATGATCCAACTTAAGTTTAATTTAAATAAGAAATATGTTTAAATTACTTTAATCCTAATCCTTTAATTAATGGTTCTATAGTTCTGTCTTCACCAACCTTTTCTATTTAATAGAGTGATATCTCATCATCTGCATTTTCTTCTTTGATTGATTCTGAGCTCATTTTTTGATGTTACATTTTCTTAAATTTACTAGTTTAACTGTGAAATTGTGATTATTGAGTCTTTTCTTAAAAATTCATATGAAATAAAGGATATGAGAGTTCTTTTTCAGTATATCCATTAGACAAAATGATTTTTCTAAATAATTGCTTAAATTTCTCATAATCTTATGGATAATCGTTAGCATTACTAGTCTTTACAAGATGTAAAAAATGAATAAATTCAAGAGGAGCTTATTTAAAAGCGATTTCAGGAATAATTGATAATTTAATACTCTCTAATTTTTTAAGTTTAAGTGTTTTATTTTCAGCCTTAATTTAGAATATATTGGAATTGGAAGCATATATAAGTAATATATAAGCTAAGGATTCTAAGTCGTCTTTTGGTGTAGGGACTATAAAAATTAATTTATTGATTACCTTAATTGAGATGTTAACTAACACTTGAATATTTATTTAGAAATAATTTGTTTGAATTTAATTTATAGACTTCGTTTATCATAATGGATCCATGTTATTTTTTAAATTTGCAAGCATATTTGAAATCACTTAATAAAATTTAATTTCCATTTGTTGATAGCAACAATTTTTTAGGTCGTAGATTTCTATGAACAATTTAATGTTTATGAACAATTTCTAGACAAGTCAGCTAAGAATATAACATAGTAGTTACTGCTTAAATTGCAATCAAACATATAATTGGTAATGGTATATTTCTAGATAAATAATTGTATATAAGTTTAATTGAAGGACCATGTCGTTCCATTATTTAGTAATGATATTTGGATCCTTTAATCACTTACTCTCCATAATTAATGAGAATAGGAACACAATTAGCTAAATAAATGTGATTTCGTTACAATCTTTTAATCTAATTAGAAACTATAGTTCTGGAATAGCCTCATTCTACTAAGTTTATCTAGATTATTATGATATGATATACTTTTTCATTTTAATAAGATAATATTTGTCTTAGTGTTCAAATGAATCAATATCATCTGACTATTCTTGTTTAATCGCTAACTATCTTTTAACTTCATCATATATTACCTAAGTATAGGTTATATTATTTTCCTTTGTAAATATTCTTCACTATCACATAGTTTTTATCAACAATAACACGACTAATAGTTTCAGTGGTACTTCTAGTTTACGATGTACTCAACATTTAATTATAATTTAATATTCAAAATGAAATGTTTTTATAGATTTAATATATATTATCTGATTAAGAATTGTAAAATTATTTAAGTATGCCTTCCACTTTATTTATTTGATATTAATAATTAAAAATTATAATTTATATATTTTATTAACAAGAGAATAAAATAGATATTCATATATAAAATGTGATTAACAAATATATGATTAAACACTATATATAAATAAACCAGCTATTTTAATATATATTTATTTATATTTTATATCAAGAGATAATATATATAAAATAATTCAATAATATTTTATTGAAAATTTTACAATCAATTTATGAAGTGTCATATATATTAATATATACATAAGTTTTAAATTGTTAAAATATGTATCTCAATTTTATTTAGTTTTCAAATCTAATAAGTTTATACACTTTAATTAAATAATTTAATTATGAGAAGATACTTTATAGGTGGTAATTGGAAATGCAATAACACAATTGCTCAAACTTAAAGTTTGATCAATTCAGTTATTAACAAACTTGCCTTTGATGCAACAAAAGTTGGTAATATGGCAATTTATACTTTTTAGAGGTTGCTGTAGCTCCAATCTTCTTACATGTTCCATGGGTTCAAGCTAACATTTAAAAGAATGTTTAAGTGGCTGTCTAAAACACATCTTTGACTAAAATGGGTGCCTATACTGGAGAAATCAGTGTTGAGTAAGTCAAAGATCTTGGAATTCCTTGGGTTATTTTGGGACATTCTGAAAGAAGATAATACTATGGAGAAACCAATGAAATTGTTGGAAAAAAGACTAGATTGGCTTTGGATCATCAACTAAAAGTTATGGCATGTGTTGGTGAAAAATTAGCTGATAGAGAATCTGGTTAAACAACTTAAGTGATCTAAGCATAATTAGATTCAATTAAAAGTAATTTTCATATATTATTTTTAGAGGAATTGACAACTGAATAATGGGCTAATGTTGTTGTTGCATATGAGCCAGTTTGGGCTATTGGAACAGGAAAAACAGCTTCTCCAGAATAAGCTTAAGATGTTCATGCTTTCATTAGAGGTTGGCTTAAATCTTAAATTGGAGCATAAGTAAGAGTGATTAGCATAATTTTAGGCTGAATAATAAACAAGAATTATTTATGGAGGATCAGTCACAGAAAAGAATGCACTTGATCTCATTAAATAGAAAGATCTTGATGGATTTTTAGTTGGAGGTGCTGCCTTAAAGTCAGCCTTCACTGACATTGTTGCTGCAGCTAGCAGTAGTAGATGAATATTTTGATAATAATAATACATTAAAATATATACAAAATATTCATTAATATTAGGAATTAATGGAAGATATTTATTAATTATGAGTTAACATAATAAAAAGAATAGAGTATATTAATATATATATAGATAATTATATGAGTGAAATAACAACAATTAATCAACAACATAGAGATTTTTTTTATTTTTCTTCTGGTCCTTAAACTTAGAGAGTAATGATTGTCTTTTAATCAAGACTTTCCATCTTTTTAATTTTAGTCTTTGCTAATGTTCTAGCAACTCTTCTAAATAATTTATCTACATTATATCCTGTCTTTGCTGATGTTTGAATGTATTTCATATGATTATTTTCTAGAAAAGTCTAATCAACTTCAAAATCACCTTAATCTTATTTATTTCCAACTAAAAATTTAACACAATCAGAACTCAAATATTTATCTATTTCTTCCAACCATCTTTTAGCTCCTTCTAAAGTATCACTTTTTGATACATCAAAACAAATTAAGACTGCTTAAGCATTTCGATAATATATTGGTGCAATCTTTTTGAATTTCTCTTATCCAGCTGTATCCCAAATCTCAAGCGTTATTTTAATATTTTTTCTTTCAACTACCTTTTTATAAAATGCCAACCCAATAGTAGGAGGCTATTGTTCTGTAAATGTGTTTTCTGAATATCTTTTGAGTATGCTAGTTTTTCCAACATTAGAATCTCCTAAAAGAATTATCTTGAAAGTAAGAGACATTTCTTTCATTAATTAAATTATGCAATAAGAAGAAAAAGAAACTAAAAAAAAAGTAGCTTAAAAAATTGAGTTTCTATTTGTACTATTCATATCATTAATAAGCCTGGTATGTATAATGATGAATATTTGGCAATTTATTAAGCTAAAAAGAATAAGTATAAGAAGATATAACATAAAATACCGTCAACAGTGATAGATGATTATGATAGAAAAATTTGTAGATTCGAAGATAAGTTAACTAAAGTAGCTATGGAGAGACAAAGTTTGATAAGGTATTATTGTTAATACTTCGAGAGAATAATCGAGGACCCCTAATAAAAAGGAGATTTTGAATAAAATAATCAATTAGATATAGACACATTTATAATAAAAAGAGAAAGAACTTTTTGAAAAAAATCATTGTGATACTCCTGTGGCTTAACTTGAAAAGAAAAAATCTTAATTTTTTTAAGCAAAATAACATTTATAATTATTGGAAACTATGGGATTTAAATTTGTAGAATAGGGAATCAATAAAATGAATATGATTAATCCTAAATAAGTACATTCTTAACCTTGTACACCAAAAAAATCATAAACAAGATCTTAATCTATTCAAAATTTTAATATTGAATCTCAAATTAAAGAAGATAATAAAAATTAATTAAGTGAAAGAATTGAAAGAATTTAAAGTAAAGTAAATCAATAAATGGCACGGTTAGGATTAAAAAGTGTAAATATATCTCCTGATTCTATTCTAATTCAAAAGAAATCATAAAAATAAAATAAAAGAACAAAAAGTTAATCTCCTATAAAATCAGAGATGAGTTAACCTTTTAATTTGAATTATGATTAAATTCCTAAAAAACCTTAGTTTTCTTTATTTAAGAAATTTCAATTGAAATTAGATTAAGAATTATAAAAGCCATAAGATATTAAAGGATTGATTAATTACTGTAATACTGAAAGATTGGATTTAAAAAACTTAACAAAAGATATTTAAAAAAAGAAAAGAGTTTAATTTAGAAAATTTAGAATTATTTAAAAAGAATTATCAACAGTTGGAGAATTAGGATTTGAAGGACTTAAAAGTAAATATTTTTAATGATGAATAAAGTAATATAAATTTTATATTTATCTTAATCTAGTTTATTATTGATTTATATTTACATTATTTAATAAATAAGTATAAAATCAATAGTAGAATGAATGGTTAAATTCTTTTTATTTTTAACTTAAACTACGTAAACCTCCAAGATTCATAAAATATTATTTTGTTTTATTCCATTCTTTATCAAAATTGTTTTTAGAATAATATGATTTTTTATTACTTATTTTTGATAATAACATTTGATTTTCTTTTCTGATTTGTTATTATTCACTTTTCTTTCTACATTCAAAACTAGAAACACGTTTTGGTCTACCAATTCGAGTAGTTTCACTCTTCATTATATTTGTAATTTTCTCCAATAATAATCTATTATCTTTTTCTATTTATGTGTATCTGTCTTCTAAAAGTCGAATTTTTTTCATATTAGGAATTTTATCTACTGTAGGATTTATCTAAATTAGAGGCTAGACTTATTATAATCTACTGAATCCATCCAAAATGTCTTTCTCTTATTAAACTCTAATATGGGGTTTGGGTCGATGCATTATAATATTTAGTGATTTAATATAAATTAATCAGTTAATCATTATATGATTATTACAAGTCATTTTAGAAATTGTTAAGTAAATAGTAAAATGTATAATGAATTACATTTAGATTTGTAATTAATATATTTTTAAAGAATTAAGTACTATCCACATATAAAAGAGAGAAAATTAATAATAAAATGCTTTTGGTATTTTAATAATATCACAATGTTTAGGAATGTTTGAGAGTCGTCTCACTGCATTCTGCTTACTGGAACTTCCTCCTATCTTTTATAAATTGAATATCATTTACAGCAACTCTAATTCGTCATTACTCTCTTCCATCTGATAAAACTAACTTGACAAATAGGATAGATTTTGAATCAATAATTTGTGATTTGTTAATATTGACAATGCAGGAGCCCACATAAGGGATTTTCTTATTTAACACTATAACATAGGTTATCTAATCAATGTTGCTGCAATTCTTTAAAACATAATTATTAATAATGGTTTAATTTATTAACGAATTTATAGTATATTGGAGAAAGATTCAATTTTATATATGACTTCAGATGACTATATTATATCATTAATCATTAAAAATTTATCGAAAAAGGCTTATGCAATAAAATTATACTAAATCCATTTATCAAAATCGAGCTATATAATTCATTACTAGTGGCTAGCATAGACAATCCACTTCTTAAAATTCTAAATCATTATAATACTAAAAGATGATTTGAAATCAATTAATAGAATGCATGCATAGTCTGACCTTAAATTTCAAAATGAGCTTCCCTTGTTTATAATATATTATCTAAATTTTGAATTTTATCAAAGGAAGTACTAAAATTAGTATGAAAATAAATATCAAAAGAAATTTATCAAATCCTCTATTTAGATCTTAAGAAAACTACAGTTTAAATAGACTTTTAAAATGGGATACATACTCTCTATTGAACTAGAATTAAACTAGTTATCAATATAATTATAACAAGTAATCCTAAAGAAGATTTACTCTTGAAGCCATATTTGATTAATTAACTAATGAACAACTATATCACTTATCAAGTTTGGTTTAAGAAAATCTATGAAATGACTTTTTTTGATTATTAATAATAACTGATTAATAGAAAAAATGATAGTTAATATAAATTAGATGTATACGTCATTCCCTCCATAAATCAATATATTTTTCATTAAATAAGGTTCTAAGATAGTACTTTAGAGACTTTATAATAAATCATTAGATATTTAATGTTATTCAGAATTAATTTTCAATATCAATAGCAATCAATAAGATAAAGAAAATTACAATTCCAAAGGTATACAATTAAAATCTTAAATAAAAATAATAAGAAATGAATATTTATTTATTATTCTTTTTCTTTTATTATTAATTTAAAGATATATATATGTAAAAAAGAACAGAGTTACTGCTATTATACTCATATCCAAAATGGAATCAATTGAATTATTTTATACCATTTTGGCGACTTTAAAATTGTTTTTTTGCATTCTTAAGATTGGATTAATTATTCATCATTAATATTTGAATACTTATCAATACTAAAATCATATGATTAGTATGGTAAGTTTGAATATGATGTATGTAGATTTATGCTTTAAGGGAAATAGATCTAGGTCACAGAACAAAGATGACTAAAGCTTATTATGGCAGATTCATAATGATTACTGAAATTAAATTTAATAATTCTATATATATAATATATTCTTATATTGAACTCTAATTAGCAAATATGATTTCATCTATACCAATAACACTTGATTAAATATATGGAGTGAATTTTAAGAGAGTACCCATATTATATGGTGAAATGGAAGGAACCAATCCATTACCAATCAATGAAACAGATGAAGATTAATATTCAGAAAAAAATTCTAGAAAGTAACAAAAGCGTTCATTACCACCTTTATAAAAAGTAGATATCAGAGTTGTAGGAGAGAAATAGAAGAAAAAATAGAATATGCATCGGTCACCAGTTATATCTTCCTAATTTGAATAACATATTGGTTTTAGGAATACTTTTTATAGATATAATAAAGTAAATTTAGAATCTAGATGGAGAATGGAAGATATTAAAAATAAAGAGTAAGGGCTATTCACAAAATATGCCTAACGATTCAATGTTCCTAAATCATAAATTTGGAATTGATTATATTTGAAAGTCTACTTTTGATTATTTATCATTCATTTTTGTTATTTATTACTAATTAGTTTTATATACTAAATGAGTTGTATAAAATATTAAGAATTCATTTGTATACTAATATAATATTTTTGTGCAATTAATTAGATGTAATTAAACTAGCAAAATTTAAATTATAAATCTTATATATAAATTATAAAATGGATGAAGCTATCTATATCAAATAATTTATTATTAATGAGGGACTTGATGAGTATAATAAAGAATATCATATTAGATTGTCATAACACCATGTTGAAGAGGAATCTTTAGAACATTTATACTATTCCATAATGTAATGCTAATCAACTTATGATTAGAATGATTCTAATCAAAATTTATAGTAGAAAAGAATGATCAATGATATGAGGTATTATTAACTTTATGTTAATATCTTATCTAGATTCTCCTATCTGGAAGATAAGAGAATTTTAGAGTTGGTCATATAACTTGGTCCCAACTTCAATAAAATAGTAAAATATTTTCCAGGAAAAACAATGAATATGATTAAAAATAGATATTATAAAAAGTTAAGATTCAATAAGGAATACTATTTAGGTGACAATGAGAAAACAAAACAAAAAAAGAATAAATGAAGAGCCTTATACATACTCACTCAAACAATACTTTAATTATATATTTATATTTTATTAAAAATTATAAATTTTAATATGTAATAATAAAGATAGTATAGAAAACAATGAAAAATTCCAATGAATGGAACCCTTAAAATTAACTAATTAAAATTATTAAAAGATAATTATCAATTTAATAAATTAACTTAAGTTAGGTTATTTTCTTTTAAGTATTTATGAAATTAAAAATGATTACTATTCCTTTTTTAAAGAATTTAATTGATTTCTACATCCATATTAGAATTTTTAGGTTTTTTTCTTCATTTTAATATATAATATAATTATTGATGTGAAATAATCTTTATAATAGTATATTATATATGTATATCTTATATAAGTTGTCATAGATATAAATTTTAAATAAATATTGATTAGATTATTTATTGGATAATTATTTTAGAATATTTATTTATAAATTATGTCATCGGATTAAAAGAAATAGAAAAAAGAGAAAATAAAAATATAACCAAACTAAAATGCGAATATTGAGGATTATATTGTGAATAATACTCATAGTAATTTTTAAGAGTTTTTTGATTATAAGAAAGAATTATGTGGATTGCCAACGTACATGACAATGAATAATGATTTAGTGTTCGTTGGAATGGAATATTCTTACATTTATGTTTTCTAATAAGTAATTATTGAGTGAACATTTAGGATAATGATTTTAAATAAGGTTATAAAATACTTGGAAAGGATACTCAAATTTATAGAGGTTAAGTAAAAATGATATAAATATCTAATGATAACTAATTATTATTGGTGACATATTCAAACAATGAATTTGTGATCTTTAGTTTGAAAGTAAAAATCTTTATCAAATATAAATAAGTCATTCAAAGAAGTGTTACAGCATAGATACCAACATCTTAAATATGCCTATATGGTGCCTTTATCGATTAATTCTGACCATTTACTTTAATTAAGGAAGGAATAATACTATGAAATTATGATTCATTTGGAAAACAATTATTTATTAAAGGTTCCCTTAGAAATAAATATTAATACATTAGAATAAAAAATAGGGATTCCTATTTATAAATTTGGTGAACCTTGTGAAAGATAGAAAATTAAAGAGAATAGACATGCTGTAAAATTTTAGATTTATTTTATTAGAAAGTAATTGAAAATGATTATATAATGCCTCAATCATCAATAATTTAAGATGTATCTATAATGGATTCATGTTATGAAGAGTTTATATAATGTATGGATGATAGAGAGAGTACTGCTTCATATGGCAGTCTATTAGATTTATCTCCAACCAAAAAAAGAAAAAACAATTTTTTAAAATAAATATTTTCAAATAGTACTAATTAAAAATAAGAATAACCAGAAGAGACAAATGAATATGTAATTAGTACATAATTTGTAATATATTTAATTATATTATTTAAGTATTTAATGGCTGTAGGATTTATAAATAAAATACAAGTTGTAAAAATATTTTTTGGTAATAAATTAAATGAAGAACAATAAAAAATTTAATTATTATTGAATTTTTAAAGACCTGATGCTTAGATCTATAATATAGTTTTTAATTAACCATAAGCAATTGAAGAATAAAAAACAAGATGTTCATGTGCTTGGGGATTAGGTAGTTTTAAAGAGACAAATAAAAGATATGTATTATTAATTATAAATTGGGGATGCAGAGAATATTATGCATTTAAAGTGATGTCAAGTGATTATAAAATACAAGTTATTTAAGGAGGTCATTTTTATAATCCTGTAGATTTAACTTAATTAAGAGAATTTCCATTGGTATGTAATTTCATAACTAATTCTGTATTTTTTTCAGTTCTTCATAATAAATAAAATTAGACAGTAATGAAATTATTGACAACTTCTTAATTTGAATTTGGTGTACCATTTACATTAAATTAAATTGAGAAACATTTTAATTAGGAGAAACATATATAAACATTATAAAGTGGTTAATATAATCCAAAGTTTTATACTTTTGCCATAGATAATAAGTAGGATGTATTTATTAGTCAAAATGTTATGGATTCAATTAATGATGGTTATCAAAAATCAAATGATATTGTTTTGAATTATAAGTAATTGCATCCTAATTGTAAGATTTCTGCTTAAATTTAGTATAAATTATATATAAAAATGAACAATGCTATATATTAAATGGAACAGAATTATAATCTATTCGTCTAAAGAAATGGGATGAATTATTATATGAACAAAGTGATAATAATGAATGGGATAAGTGTTTTTAAACTGCTGTTGATATACATAGAGGTTATTTGACTTTATTATGTAATATTCCAGAAAATGATGTTCAAAGACATTTCTGTATTAAAGAAACATGTTGTAAATTAGGATTGTAATATATGTTATCATAATTACCAAATAAATAATTGAAGAATAGTTAATCAGTCTTAACTATAATGCATTTTCTTATAAAAACTTAAAATGAAGAATATTTATTTGAATCAATTGAAGATTTAATGGTTGGATGTGGTTATAGAAATGTATTCTATGATTATCTAAGAGAATTACTCTAATAACATTAAGTTAATATACCATATTAGCATTAATTAAAAGTTTTGAAAATGTTTACTGAAATGGATGATAAGGAAACATGTACTAAATTAATAATGTCAATTTAAAATATATAAAGATATGATCCAAAAGGATTAATAGATTTCTGTTTAGAAAAAGATCTAATTGAACCCATGATGCATATATGCTCTTAAATCAATGACTTTCTAACTCCTTATTTAAGAATTATTACACTACTCAGTATACTATCAAACAAAAATAGTTTGACTGAAGAAGAAAATAAAAGCATTACTACTTTAAGTTTAGATTAATGTAAAGTCTGTCTATTTAGGTAATCTTATTAAATATATAAGTTTCTTATCTTTCTGTTTTACTGGATAAAACCAAGCTAATCCTGAATCATTTTTTACTGATCGTTAGTTTAAAGCAATGTTTAAGGATTTATTTGAATATTTATTTGATCTAGAAAATATCTTAAAACTATTTGAAATAGATTACATTAAAACATTGGAAGTATTTTTGTAAGTCTTTTCAGAAAGAATTCAAGAAAACTTTAAATAATTCATAAATGAAGGTAAGGAAATTAATATTGAATTATCTAACAGTACAATTAATGGATTCATGCCTGAAATATTAAGTATGATATAAATTTACAATAGATATTGAATAAACTGATAATCATTTAAAGATTTTGTCAAAAATTTATGTATTGATTAAAATGGGTGAATAAAAATATTATGTTAGATTGAATAATGCTAAAGTCATTGATGAATATATGCATTATTCTTGTGCATTTTCTACAAATGTTTTTGCAATCTGTCCATTTCACTTCAATATTAATCATATTATGCTTAATCTTATAAATTATATGGATGCCCTTAGATAATAGTAAAGTACATTATTTGATATAACTTGGATTTTAAGAGGTAGAGTATAAAAAGATTTACCTGCTGAATTAGTAAAGAATGAATTTTTGCATAAAGTTATGTTGAAAGTAGAAAAACTATTTGATGGATAATATAAATTATTGGAAGAATTACGTTTAAAAGCATAAGAAAATAATTGGTATTGTTAGAATATATATATTTAATAGGATTTGGATGGAAGCATTGTGTTTAATCAAAATGAAAAGAATACCTGAAGCATTATATTTATATATGAGAAATCCTGATCCATTATTATCTGAACGTGTATTTACAGCCTTAGCAGTTCAATTAAGATAAAAATAACAAGATGAATTCATTCAAGATTGGATTTATAAAAATTTAGCTTTGCTTGCTGCTGAAAACTCTCATAAATTGTTTTAGTTACTTTATACATATAAAAAAGATGATTTATAAGAAGTGTTCAAAGAACTGAAATAAGTAGGAGTTATTTAAGTAGATTTAAAAATAAAAAATTAACATTAAATGGATCTCTTAGGTGGATTTATAGAATATCTGAAACCAAGAATGTAGATAGATGAAAATCTTCTTAAGATTTGAAAGATAAATTATTTGTATATGCATTCCGATAAATAATTATATATTTATTTGATCATTCTTATTCCCCTTCTTTTTAACCATCTCCTTCATCTCCTTCTTTTTAGCCATCTCCTTCATCTCCTTCTTTTTAACCATCTCCATCATCTCCTCCTTATTATTAACCATCATCCCCTTTTTATTAATCATCATTTCCTTATTATTAACCATCATCTCCATCTTATTATTATCCACCATCTTTATCTCCTTCACCTTATCCCTAATCTTATTGATCTTGTTATTATCCTCCATCTCCTTATTGTTATTGTTTATCATCATCTTTTGGAGACTGTTACTTCTTATCATCTCTAAAAAAAATTTATATAAATTTATATACTTTTTTTGAGCTTTGGGACTGAACTCTGATAAATCATTTAATTTAGCCTCTTCATCTTTTTTTACAATTTGGCTAAACTATTATTCTGCTTCAGCAATTAATTCAGCTTTTCTTTATTCCCATTTTTATTGGGCAGCCTTATTATCTTTTGGAACAACCTTCTTCATTAAATCTTGTTGTTTTTTAATTGCTTCCAAATTCTTTTCCTTTCTTGATTCTCTATCAAACATTTCATTCATCACATCTTTTTCTCTAAATTGTAATTAATATAATGAATCACATAATTCTAATAAAGTAACTGTACCATCTTAATCACCTATTGCTACTAATTTTCCAGCATTATGATGAGCACCACCATTAGAATTTATTTTAATACAAGTAAGAGCTGTCTCACTTACTTTATGACTGAATGCAATTTCATTCTATCTATAATAATAATCCCAAACATCCATCCAACCATCTTTTCTTGTTAAAAAGAACACACCATTTCTAGTTGGAGACCAACAACCATCTGTTAAATAACTACCATGATATTTTGTTCTCATTATTGGTGTCTTAATATCTTCAACCCAAATTTTAGCACTCCAATCTCCAACTGTTAAGAAGAATTTTGGATTTGGAGGACTTCTATTGATAGACATAACTGGACCTAAATGACGTCCACTCTCCAATCCATATCTAGCTGTAATTTCGACAGCTTTCTTAGGTTTTTTGTTAGCAACCATTAAAGAACCCATTTCTGTACCAATTAAATATTTGGTTGGACCTGCTTCTGTATTATATTCCAATACTGTAGCACCAATCAAAGGATCATTTGGATTTGATCCCTCAGTAACATTTAATGATTCAATAGGACCTTCATTCAATTTTCTAGTATCCCACCATAAGACACGACCATCAGTTGATGTTGTTACACATTCTGTACCAGTCTTACTAAACAACCATTGAAAATGAGTAATTGGATCATGATGAGATTTTTCAACAGGTGATGTCAATACAGGTTATTTACCTCTTTTTACATCCCAAACAGCAACTAGACCATTATAACATCCACCTCCAATTTAGTCAGACAACTTTGGATTGTACATCAAATTAGTTATTGGGGAATTAGATTCTAAGTGGAATTCAGGACTATTAGGATTTTATAAATCCCAAACATATGATGATTTCATCATTCCTTCTGGCATTTATTAAAATCTGCTTATTGCATAAGAAACTGCTGCCTTTATAGGACCTTCTGGATGCCAAGATATTTCTGATACAGATCTTTTAACTCCTTCTGATTAATCCCTACTATTATATCAACTAATACTTAAATAACATCAAAGTTTTAGTGCTCAGATTCTCAACCTGATGTTCACTTTCTTCATCTAAGAAATACTCTTCAAACAAATCTATCTAATTATTCTAAAGAATGCATTTCTCCACTGTGTTGCTCAGCTCTTTAACAGCAACTGCAAATGCTGCATCTTTCTCGAACCTTCTTCTGTATTTATTTTGGTCTTGCTACTCCAAAGGGTCTATGCCTGCAGGCCACTAAAAACTGTTGCATAAATAAAAATACCCCTCCTTCTTTATGATACATCACTTTGTCTCCTGTTGATACTCTCTCTGTGTTTACCTATATTATTAAAACCAAATGCTTACAGAATGCTCTGAGTATTCTGCTATATTATCCAAATCTATATGATTGGGATTTCTTTTCACATAGTTAGGAATGACTGCAACCGTCTTTGTATAACCTGCTATTTTTATTTCGCTGTCTTAAAAATTGCAAGGCTTTCCGAGATCTCTTCGTTTCCTTTGATATGTATAATAATCTGCCATTTAATTATTAATATTAAGTAAAAGTAATTCAAAATTGCATTATATACCTAATTAATTCAAAACACTTTTGATCCTCCCATTCTCCCTTTCAAAAATATATTAGAGTATTTTACGCAATTCGGATCGTGATCTATTTAATTATAGTACTTACTTTCATCATTCTCTTCCTTTATTAATTCTTTCCTAAAAAATGATTTCAATTCCTCGTTAGGTTAGAATAGCGAAAATGCACTTGAATTTGAACTCATTGAATCTAAATATAACTCTTAATTGTACCTTATTCTTCAAACTATGAAACTTAAACTTCTTTCCCTGGAGATGAAACATTTTCAGCTGACTTCAAAGAAACTTATTAAATAATTGGAGAATTTATCAACTTATCTGCCATCTACTTCAAACCTCCACTATGTTTTTCATAATTAATAGATTATTGAGTATTGATTTGATTTCCTTAAGTCTTTTATCTTTAGAAGAATGAAAATGTGTTATCTGTTTATAAACCTGATTATTGTTATTGTTATTACTATTATTATTATTATTATTATTATTACTACTATTACTATTATTGTTATTACTATTATTACTATTATTATTGTTATTATTATTATTATTATTATTGTTATTATTATTAATATTCATATCTATTTGGAGATTTTCTTTCTTTTTATTATGGTGTGGATTAAACTTTCTTTGTTGCCATTTAAGTTTAGATTTAATTTTGTTCTGACTTATAATTTATCATACCCTAATTAGTCTTTTTCTCCTAAATTTGCCAAGATTTTTCTAATTTTTAATCAGGCTATGTTTCAATTCTCCTTCTCAAATTTAGTAGATCTTTTTAAGATTAATTATAGTCTTAAGATTGTTATTTTATTTATTGCTGTTATTTTTCAATTTCTAATTTTTGCTACTATAATTGTACCTACTATTGCATCTTTATATAGTCCTTTATTTATTATTCCTAAAGGCTTGTTTCTGGAGTATCCAGATATTTTGTTGGGTTTTGTTTGATATCCTCCAAAACACCCTAATAATCTGCTATTAATTCTCTAGTTAAATTATTTTGCAATTCCTTTAATTTATTTTCTGGTCCCCTTTTCGATTTCTAACTCTTCATCTCAATAAAATATTGAATAGATTATTTAGGTGTTCTCATATTAGAGATTTCTGATTTAGGGGATCTAAATTATTCTGTTTCCTCATATTATTAACTAAGTGCCATCCTCATCGCCTGATCATCTAAATGGTGTCTAGACACAGTATTTCTTTGGTTGCTTAATGGAGTTGGAGCTGAAGATTCTGTAATCTTAGGAGTTAGAGCTCTTTCCTTTGATTTTACTCCTCTTAATGTGTGTTCTTCTTCTTTAGTTTAAATATTCTCTATTTGTCGTCTGATTTAGGTAATTTCTTCTCTGACTAATTTATTGTCGTTATCTTAAAGAACACTTTCAATTCCTATAAGAGCCAATAAAGTTATAGTCTATTAAGGGTTCTAACTAGGTAGGGTGTGCATAAATTGTTGAATGAGACTTTGCCGAATACTCATTTTGAAATAAATATATTTAAATTATCTGTTAATTATTAACAAGATGACAAACAAAAAAGGACACTATTCGAGAGAATTGAACTATACTCTTTTTCTTTAACTTTAAATCATTTCTGAGCCATACTATTTCTAATTAGGTTTTGAACTTTATATATAGAAAATCTCTAAATCAGATCTTTGGATTATATTTGCAATAATCAATTAATAAATTAAATATTCTAGTTATAAGTAATTTATTAATTATCAATGAATAATTTCTTAAAAAAATAAAGAAATCTCTATTGTTATCTATATCAAAATGATTATCATAAAATCATAAATGATCTATATATAAGTATGAAATTTTGATTTGCTATTTATATTATTTTATAAATACATAAACAAACGATAACTAATCAAATTATTGAAAATCTTATTCTTTTTGTTTGTCGAGGATCAGATTAAATAGTAAGAACATTTTTTGTAATAGATTTTGGTTAATTTCTCTAAGTAGATATTTCACCAACATCGATTGATGGATCCTCTTAATCATAATTGTTTTTTTCAACATTAAATGTATTTAGGTGTTTATTTTTTCTATTTTATGTAGTTTGTTATTCTCCAAATAATTTAGATTTACGAAAGGATTACTTGATATCTGAGATTAAAATATTTTTATTAAGAATTGATTTTTTCATTGGTTTATATTCTATCAATCTCCAATTTAATATTTTTTCTACAATTAACAACCCTTTGATAATCATTGCTATTAACCACAATAATACTAAAATTGTTATGATTGCAAAGACTATAAATATTATAAAGAAAGATTGGGAGTCTAGAAAGTTCTTCCTATCAGTAATTTAATTAGCCTCTTTTCTAAATTACAATAAAGTTTATACAATCGAATTCCTAGTAAGATTACAACAACTATCATTACAATCAAAAAAACCAATAAACAAAATAAAGGTAATTTATCTTTGCTTTGAGACCATGCTGTTTACTAAAAAGTAAAATTTTTAATTACAGGATCAAATATCTTTTCAATTTTGAGTTCCATTTAATAAGTATCAGAACATATTTCACATTTTGCTTTATCTAGTTTATTACGATATTTTTTTATAATTTGTTTTTTCAAACAATATTCATGAACATATTTTTAAGATCTTATACATTTACATACACGTATAAGGGGATTATCTTTGTATTCTGGGAATTCACATATTCTACAAATGCAACCTACACTCTTAAATGAATCTAAATTTATATTTATACAAACTTCTAGCATAAATGTCTTTGTGAAATATTAATTATTGTTTACTATCTTATTTTTGAAGAGTAGAATCAATAATTTTTGATGACTCAGGAATTTCATTGATGATTATCTCTAATATTGTGTTTAATTATACACTCTTGATATTTATTTGATTTTCTTGAGTACTTTTCCTAAATAATTTAAATAATATCTATTGGAGCAACTTGAGATTTAGAAATTTCATGTTTTTCTTCTTTGAAATTTTCAACTTTATTCATAATTATGAACTTTATAATATAATAATACATAAATTAAATATATTAAAACCGTACCGTATAATGATAATAATACTTAAAAAATATCAATTTTTCAACAACAAATATTTGATTTTTTCTTTTCTTCATAAGTTTAATATTCTTGTTGTTATTTTAAATTAGTAATATTCTAATTCCCATCAGAATATGTGGTTTATTCAATACCTAATTTAATTCCAAAATTTTCATTTTAGGGTCAATTTATCCTAAATTGATTTTTTCTAATATAATTTATGCCATCTTTATATATATTTCTTTAACATTTTTTGCTGTTTTAGCACTGGTTTCAAAAAATTCTATTCCACATTCTGTTGCAAATTACTGTGCCTCATTAGATGATATTTAGTGTCTTGATATTTAATACTATAATTACTCTGACTCTAAATCTCCTTTATTACTAACTAAGAGTATAGATAATTTAGGATTTCCATTTTATTTCACTTCTTCCATTCATTCAAACATATTTTTATAACTTTTCCTTTTTGTTATATCATAAACAACAATAACACCTGCTGTAGATCTATAATATGATCGAGTTATTGATCGAAAGGATTCTTGGCCAGCCTAATTTTTACTCAATATTAATACAGATCCCATATTTGTAATTATATATTTAAACCATCTAATTCGATAAGTTTTGCTCTAAATTCAACAACAATAGTTACCTCATGTTTTTGTCTAAATCGTTTATTGATGAACTAAAGTACCGACTCCTTAAGAATTTAAGCATTTTCAATACCTGTTTCACCAATTAGAATGAATTTGAATAGATAACTATATGACATTCTCTGTTATTTATTATTTATATAAAATAAAGAGAAATAAAGTAGTAAAATTAAATTTAAGCTTTAAGAACTAATAATATTAAATTATCACATTCAAGATTTGATTGCATTTAGATTTAATAAAATTTAAGATTAATATTGTAAAATAAATAATATTCTTACTAAATTAGTATTTTAATTCTTATTCAAAAATAATATACTTTGATCCATCAGAAATTTAATTTTCAGATCACAAAATAAAACCTCTTAATTTTTAATTGTGAATACTTGATAAAGTGAATTTTGAAAAAATAAGTTAGACAAATTAAATTTTTGGTATAAGAAAATTTAGGATAAAACCAATTAAAATATGATTTATAATATTCTTTATCTTTGATTAGATAATGAATAATTAGTAAGATAAGCAGACAAAAAAAAACTTATAAGAAGAGAGCTATTTAATTCCATTCAAGAGACTGGCTAAAACAAATTAACTATATACGTATTAATCTTAATAATAATAATTGTAATAATTTACATTATGACTTCCATTTTGGAGAAAAATACAATAAAATTTTAAAAGCACTTTTTATTTTATTCAAAAATAGAATACATATTTTTGATTGAAAAAGGTTGATTGTTTCAGGAAGAATAGCAAAAAACAAAATTTGATTTTGAGAAAACTCAGTATATATAAATCTGTATTTAAGCCATCTTTATTTTTTTTTGATTACCCACTCAATAAGAAGATTATATTATCTCTTATTTCAAAATTAATATACCAAAAAATATCATTCTGGATATGTAAATAGTTAGTATATACTTAGATAATTTTTTATTGGAAAGAAAAACTCGAATAATTTATTCATTATTACTATTTAGCATAATATTATATAAAAAATAATACAATGAAGATTAAGATAAATCATATTAATACTTAAACTATAATAATATAATTTATAAAACCATTAATAAAAATGAAAATAAATTCCATTAATTATAAGAGTTTATAAAAGTATGCGTTGTTTAAAAAATAGAAAATAAAGGTTATAATTAGAAAGATTATAAATATGATATAAATTAATGCAAATTATGATCATTTAAATTTAAGGATTATGATATAATTAAGTTCTAAAATTTTTTTTGTCATCTTATAATAAAAATATAATTCAATAATGGAAGACCTTAAGAAACAATACAGCAAAATAAATAATGAGTTAAGAGAACAGATCATTCACTAGATCTTGAATGAAAAGAAATCAATAGCAGATGTAATTAACCTCATTAATCATAGGTTTCCTAAGAACATAATATATTATAATCTACTTGTAAATCAATTATCAACACTTATATGAAAGAGGGAAGAGTTGGAAAAAAAGAGAGTCGAGTTAGGAAACTTAAGAAAATAATTCGAGTATATGATATTGTATTAAATCCTATCCAACCATAAATGTCAACCTATCTCTATTCTCAAAAGACAGAGAGCTGCATAGAAAAATCTATTAAAAGTTAGAAGGAAGAAAATGAATAAAAAGAAATTTAGGAAAATCAAAATAATAATAATTTTATGATGCTTTCTTTATGGTGTGAATAAATCAAGAATTAACTCACATCTTTTGGGCCATCCAATTATGTTTTTCAACCATACATGTAACCTTATTAGAAATGACTTATATAAAATTATTTTATTCAAAATTCATATCTTATTAATTAAATACAATTTCAAATATTTTAATTATAAAATAATATTAATATTATTAATAATATATCTATTTTAAAATCAAAAGAATTATTTATGCATCCATTATGTTGGAATTAATGTTATCTTATATATTAAAAACCTTTTACATTAATGATTTTTACAAAATATTCTTAAAATATTATTAATTTTGAATACAAGTCTATTATTATAAATAGGATTAAATAATTATTAAAATGAATTACAAAATTTTTGTTTATTTTTTTAGTTATAAAGTAGAATCTTGAATAATAGCTTTAATTTCTTTTCTAATTTTCATAAATAAAACTTTATGCCTCATACAAAGCTATAATTAAGAAATTTTAAAAGATTTAAATAAAAAAATATTATAATTGAATAAAAAATAATTTTTTCTTAATATTATAGAATCTCCTAGTTTATTGGGAAACAATTTTATAATATATTTATCTAATATTATTAATTTAAAAATCATATTTGCATCAGATATTATCCATTTTTAATTTATAATGATTATATATAATTAAACATAAGTAAAATGCTTTGAAACATTAATAAAATGAAAAAAGCTTTTAAAATTCAATAAAAATAAATAATCCAAATTGATTAGATATAGAAGAGACAATTTTTCTTAATACTTTGAAAAATATCTTAAACAAACCTCCTCATAAATCTTTGGTAAAATTTAATCAAAATTTTCAATATCTAATTAAAGATGCTAAATTAATTTAGGAAAGTTATTAATCATGACTTGATTCATACTTGTAAAGTAAAGGTCAATGAATTTATGATACTTGTTCTTCATATGAGATTTTTACAATTAAATTTTCTATAAAACATACTAAAATCATGTGGTTTTAGATGAAAATTTTTAAGAAAATGCTTTTAAAATATAATTCAAATAAGGCATGATCAATTTTCATTTTTCTTTTTCAATCTTTTTTTCTCCATTTTGCAAGGTTTACTGTTAAATTTATCTCAAAATTGGAAGTGTTACATAATTGGCAAACTATATTTTTTTGTTCTACACAGTTCTTTGAGGAAGCATAATTGGACTAAAAGTTTGGTTATTTTTATTAATATTATTTGAAAATAATTTTTGAGTATATTATTTATAGATGATTATAATAATAATTAGATGGTGGTTCTGATTTTGAAATTTGAGAAATTATAATTATTATGATGCTTCAAAAGACAATTAATTAATTAATATATATACTCAAAAAAATAACTGAAGGATGGCTACAGCATTAGTTTCTGCAGGACAATCTATAAGTAATATGGTCTTATTCAAATGATTAGTTGGAACTTATGTATAACAAGATATAGAGACAAGATTACAATAAGATGTGTATAAAAAACAAATTAGAGTCAGAGAATTCTTTACTGATTTTGATCGATTAAGAAAGGGTTGGGTGACAGAAGACAAGGTATTGCTTTATGATAGATCTATAGTTTCGTTCTGCTCTTTCAATGATAAATTTTCATTTTACAAAGGATGATATTGAGGAAATCATTAGAAGATATAAATTAAATGATGGCCTAGTCTAATATACAACATTTTGTAATAAACTTGAAGAGCAATTTCTTAATAATGAAGCAAAGGCTCAGGTATTCTAAGCACCTCAAGTATAAATTTATTATATTTAGATTTTCAATTAAGATGAGGAGGATACTGTAAAAAGATTAATGTAGGCCATAAAAAGAAAGATTGCTACTAAAAGAATATTCTTAAAATAGCCATTTTAAGACTTTGATAGAACTGCATGTTCACATATTACTATTGATTAATTTTCAAGAGTTTTAAATTAATTAGGATTATTGCCAAAAGATCAATATTTACAATTACTTATAAGATAATATATTGACAATGGAAATCCTAAAGAAGTTAATTATGTTAAGTTTTGTGATGATGTTGATAATGTGTAAGAAATGCTAAGTGGAGTGATAACAGGAATCAAATAAAATCCAAAAGATGTATAATTAAAAATATAATCTTTTAGGTTCACCCAGATGATGATTTTATAGAAGATAAAGAGGGTTTAGACTTAATTTCTACTTTATTTACATCAAAAAAATTAACAGATAATATTAATACTTTGAATTAAGTATTAAAAAAAATATAAGGAGATGTTGTTATGAAAAGAATCAGAATAAGAGAGTTTTTTAAAGATTTCGATCCTTTAAGAAAAGGTTTGGTGACTGAATCTTAAGTATTAAATCAATATATTAATATAGTTTGCTAGAATTTTACATATACAAAATATTCCTGTTTCTGAAAAAGAAATTTAATTGCTGTTAAATCAATATAAGATTGATAAGATTCCAAATGGTTAAGTTGATTATAATTAATTTTGTGAGGATGTTGATAAAATATTTACAATAAAGGGTATTGATAAGGAACCATAAGCTTAGGTTCCTTAAATAGATGATTCTACTACTTTACCTGCCAGAAGAAGATATTTATAAATGACAGAATAGGAAGCTATTTAATTAGATGAATTACTTATGAAATATAAATAAGCCATATAAAATAAGAGAGTTTTATTAAAACCCGTTTTTGAAGATTTTGATAAGACTAAATAAGGTTATATTACAACTAATCAATTTTTAAGAATTCTTAATCAATTTAATTTATTTCCTGATCCAATTTCATTGAATTTATTATTAAAAAGATTTGTTGATAAAGCAAATCTAAATGAAGTGAATTATTATGATTTTTGCAGAATTGTAGATTAATCAGATGAAGGTGTTGCAATTAGTAGATCACATGCAGATGCATTTAAAAATTATGTTAAATCAGATAATTAGAGTTAAGCATTTATTAGAAATGATTAACCAAATGATTTTGAAGATTTAATGGCTAAATTAAGAAGAATTGTAAAAGAATAAAGATAAAGAATTGCAGAATTCCTTAGAGATTTTGATAAATTAAGAAGTGGAACTATAACAATTACTTAATTAAGAAAAGGATTAAGTATGGCAAAGATCCTTTTATCAGATGCAGAATTCTAATTGATATTAAATAATTTTGGATGTAAGGATAAATAAGGATTTGTATTTTGGAAAGAATTTACTGATTAAGTAGATTAAGTATTCACTACTAAAAATTTGGAGAAAGTAAGTCCATCAGAAGATGTTCCATAGATGTCTACTCAATACAATTATGGTAGAGTATCTATTACTGAAAGAGATAGATAGGTAGCTGAAGTTGTGAAAAAGAAATTCTAATATTTTTGTAAAGCAACTAGACTAGATATTAAATAATTCTTTTAAGATTGGGATAAATTGGGAAGAAATAAAGTGTCTCCAAAACAATTTAGATAGACATTGGCTACTGTTAATTTTATATTATCAGATGAAGAATTCTAAGCAGTTGTAAAAATATATGCTGCAGAAGATGATGGTGATATTAGATATGTTCAATTTATAAATGATACATAACCACCATTAGAAATCTTAACAGAGTCTGGAGCATCTTAGGCTTATGTTGGTGTTAAGCCAAAAGAGAAGGAAAAAGTATATATTTTTATATTATTTAGTTATAACCTTCTGTATTATTAGAATAGATAAAAGTAGCTGTTAAAGTAAAGAGATTAAGATTAGGTGATTATTTCAAGGATTTTGATCCTCTAAGAAAAGGAATGATGCCAACAAATAAATTTAGAGGTGTTCTTAGTCAAATGAAAATTGATTTAGATTAAGAAAGTTTAGATCTATTAGAAACTATGTATGTTGTACCTGAAGATCCAATAAGAGTAAATTATGCTAAGTTTATTGAGGATGTAGAAATCGTATTTACTAAAACAGTAATATAATTTATTGAAAATTTAATTAGGGATTAGATAAAGATCCATTAATGAAACCACCTGTTCATATCATTCCAACATTCCTTGATCCAAGAGATGCTTTAACTCAAGATGAAGAAGAAGCTTTACATGCAATTATGTTAAGACTTGGTGAAGTTGTAAGAAAACATAGGATTTTACTTAAACCTCACTTTCAAGATAAAGTATATAAATAATATTTAATATTTAGGATAAAACTAAATCAGGCAAAATAACTTTCACTAGATTTAGATCTATTATGGACTTTCATAAATTACCATTAACTGATGATCAATTTAGAGTAATTTGCAAAAGGTTTTATTAATTATTTATATTATTGTAGATTTGCATATTAGGGCATTGAATTTAATTATGTTGAATTTGATGAAATCTTAAAAAAGTATGAGAACTTTTATCAATGAATTATAATCAAATTAAATATTTTAATATAACAATTCTATCATCAATCTTCAGACTTTAAACTTCAATCAATTTGAAAATTAAAAAAAATGATTGGCCAACTTAATAAATTAAACTAAATATTAATTATAATTATTTTTCTATGAGTATAGGCATAATTAGAGCCAAATGTGCACTTTCCATACCTTAAACTAATAATCTACCAGGTGCTATGCCCACTTTAATGACTCTTTAGAATCATGAAAATGATAGTATAACTATAAAAATTTTATATTTATTTAGAATATTAGAATGAACCAAAGTAAGGAGATTCAATATTTATTCCATTCATTAATGAAAGAGATAAAATGAATAGACTTGTTTAAGGAGATAAATACTCAACACCTAAAAAATAAAATATATAATAAGTTCCTGAGATTGTAAATGAAAAATGGATTTAACATGATCCTATGAAATTGAAATTGCCACCAAAAAGACATTCTTTAGAAGATCGACATTAGAGTAATCAATTTTTAATTTATTTAGATAAATAAAGAAGTAGATCTAATGCTGAATTGAGAATGAAAGTCATTTAGACAACTACAGAAAGATAAAGTCTATTACTCTCCTAAGATTAATCAATCTAACCTTAATTTGAAGAATATAAAAAGGCTGCTTATGAAAATATATTAAATAAAAAGAAACAAATTCTTTAATCTCCACCTCAACAGACAATACTCAAGAATTAAAGCTCTGAAAATTTATAACTATTTCCAATATCTACATTTGAAAAATTAAAATAATCAAGATCTCCTTCACTTATTTTTGTGAAAAAATAAATCTAACAAACTACATCTAAACATTAACATTTTCTAAATTTTAAATTACCATCTCTTATTCAAAAGGAGTATATCAAATAATTTTTAGACAGTAATAAAAAAATCAAAGATTTAATAAAGGAACAAAATGATGAGAAATTTAAATTTCCTTCAGATTTTGAACCAAAAATAGTAGAAATGAAAAAACAATTAAAAAAAATGAAAAGCAGACTTAAAAATTGGGAAACTGATAGAGAAGTTACAGATAATAAAGGATTTTTAAAAGAAATTGCTTCTGGCATATTAAATAAATGATATATTTATTTTTTGTTAAATAAAATTACCATTTAGTTTATTTTAGTTAATTATAAAAATTAAAAAAAAGAAAAACAAAATAATTAAATATTATCATACCATTTGTTTTTGAAAATTAAATCTATGTTTGGAATTTTTCTATAATAAATCTAATAATTATGAAGCAGATGATTAATCATCCTCATATGATAAAGAAGAATCTAGTGAAGTTGTATTACTCTCAAACTAAAAATATAAAAATATAAATTTTATTACTCTCTCATCTGTTAATGAAGATATAGTCTCTTAAACTGGTGAAATTTGATTAAAAAGATGTTGAAATTTTTGATTGCTAAATTAACGATTTTTAGGCTAATTATTTAATCTTTCTTTTAAAATTAAACCTTGTAAAGCATCATATCTCTTAACAAGCATTTATTTAGTTTTATTTAAATCCTTTATTTCCTTTATTAAATAAGCATTCTCTTAATTACATTTTTGGAGTTCAACCTACAATTTTTTCTTTTCTTCCTATACAGCCTTATTAGTAATTCGAAATGATGAATAATTTTACTAAGTTTATTAATTATATTAAGTACAGGAGTATTTTGACAAAAATATTACATCTATCGATCAAGGAAAACTAAAAATTCATTTTAATTTGCTTATTTCTCTAAACATTAATCAAATAATTATATTTATGCCATTTCATTAATATTATGTTAAGAAGTACTTCTATGTTTAATACCTCCAAATTATTATGTCTAATTAATATCCATTTTTATATTAGTTGACATTGATTTTGGTAAAGTGTCTTAGTTTGATCGTTGTTTTCTTAATTCTACCATCATTTTATAACTAAATAATACTTGCGTAATTGATTCCACTTGATTTAGGAGTTGTTGAATTCATAATTTAAATTTTGTTTTAACTATATAATTAAAATTTATTATTGTATTTCATCAAATGTCTTTTGTTAATATCCTTAATTTTGTTAACATATTTCAAAAAATCTTAAATAATTATTGTATTTTGATTACAAAAATGTTTTTTAATATGAAAAGTTTCATAATTAAATAAATTGAAGTAAAACAACAAAGATTAATATATTAATAAATAAGAATTTAAATGAAATGAATAATTATAATTCATATTACCAATTAGAAACTTGAGTAATTAGATTTTTATCTGTAATATTCTATTATTTTTTGTTAAACTAACTTTATCCATTAAAATTAGTAATTTATGATTTTTTAACTTAAATTTAGATATGTTTAAGGGTAGATTGAATAAAGATCTTAAAATTTTAATTTACAGCACTTAATTCTAAACATTAACATTTATTATTTAAAATGCTGCAATTATAGTTAGAGGTGAGGACAATCTAATTTTATATTAATTCAATGACAGAATTCTGTTCGATTTAATTTATTCATAGTATAAGATATTTATAATAGACTTATCCTCAACTCCATTGAAGTCAATATTGAAATGTAGATGTAGAGATATTCAAGAGATTAGAGAAAGAATTGATTTAAATATATAATACTTTGAAAAAGGAAATGTAAGTATAATTATTTATATGATTGTAGTTGAGACTATAGATTTATGATGGCTAAATTATTTTCGGAGAAGCCACTATTAATTTAGGATTTTACATTGAAAATAGTCTTCCTGTTATTATAGACAATATTACAATATAGAGTAAGTATGATCAGGAAGCTTATGTTGAGATGAGTTTAGGTTGGAACTAATTGGAATAAATACAAACTAAAGAAATTCAATAGATTAATCCCATAAGAGAATAACCATTATTTATAAAATTATCTTAATAAACAGCAAATAGAGTACCAATAGAGATATATCATAAAATTGAAAATAGAACAATGAATAAAATCTGTTCTGAATAGAACTATTTTATAGAAAATAAATAAGAATAGATTGATAATAAGTCCATAGAATAAAAGAAATAATTGGAAGATGAAAAAATAGAAGAAAATCCAAAAGCAAATCTCGAAACAGTAAATTCTCAAAGATTCTAAACACCTAAGGATAATAAATTTGCAAAAAAGTAAAAAATTTAAAAGTCTTCTGGATTATTAGAACATTATAAAAAATAAATTAATACAAGATAAACTTACAGTGATTCTAAAACAGTTGTAAAAGAATAAAGATTAAGAATTCTATAGAAAAGTCCTAATGATTAAGGAGTAAAAATTAGAATTCATAGTCATTAAAATGAAGAATATGATGTAAATAAAGGAATAACAAAATAAAAAGTTATTTGTAAAAAAGCAATAATAACAGAAGATTATGGGAAAGATGGTTAAAAAAATTTAGAACCTGGATTCTTTACTAGTAGATAATTAGAAATAGATTAATAAATAGAAAAAGAGTGTTAATAAATATCAATTTAGTAATTATTAAATGAAAATCAATAAATGAAAAATTAGATATAAAAATTATCATAAGAGAATTAAGAATTGAAAGATCAATTAATAAAAAGTGAAGCAACATTTAATTTATTATCAGAAACATATACAACACTTAGAAATGAATATAAAAAAGTCTAGATTAAAAATTATGATAGTTCCAATAATACATTTATTATGAATAAAGAATATGAATTTATTAAAAAAGAATTAGAATAGAAGTAAAAAGAGATTGAATTTAGTAAAAAGGAAACTGAATTATAGAAAATAGAATTAGAAATAACAAAAAGAGAAAATATTTAATTATAAATAGATCTAGAATAAATTAAAAAAGAAGTTATTAATAAAAATATTGAAAATAGTAATCTCTTAAAGGATATTTAAGATAAATAATATAAAATTAATACTTTAGAATAAGATTTATTTCATTAATAAAATAATTAAACAATATCTTAAGATATAAATCTATAGAATCATTTAAATGAATAAAATGAATATAATAATCATAATTTAGATTAAATGAAGAATATCATCAAAAATTAAAAAATTGAAATTGATAATTATTAATAGGAATTGAAATAAACAAAATAAAATCTATTATTTTAAGAAAAAGGAGGAAAATAATAATTCAAATGTTAAGAGGAATTACAATAAATTAATTTAAAATTAGAATTGGAAATTAATTAGTTAAAATAAAAATTAATTGAAAGTAATTAAGAAATAAAGTCAAAGTAAATAATGAATGTAGTAGTAGGGCCTTAGAAATTGAAAAATTAAAAACTTAAATCGATTTATACTTATAATCACCAGATAAGTAGAATTTTGATTTGACATATCTTATCAATGAATATTCTACTCTAAATGCAAGTCTTAAATAAGAAAATTAAACTTTGGGTATTTTATAAATTTAATTTACATTTAGTCCATTAAAATAGAAAGGATTAAGTCAAGCTTGAGAGTTTATAGAAATAATTAGGCATCAATAAAGTAATCAATATGATATTAAGAGAAAGAACATTGTTGAATTGAGCGAATAAAGATAATAATCTCTTGAAAAAGAAATCTTATAACTTGAAAAAGCTGTTTTAAATGGTAAATAGAATATGGCTGATGTTATTAATGCAGTACTTGAATGTGGTGGACCAGACTTAGCTGAAGCTGTTGAAAGGTTCTTAGTAATAAGAAGGAGTATGAAAATAAGTTGATAATAATTTATTAAATAATTAAATTAATTTCATTCAAAAATTAAAAAAATAAAATTATTATTACTTTTTTTGTATAAACAAATATTTTAAAAATTCCACTTCAAACTTTGTTTAAAGATTTGAAATGGATTAATTTTAGTAGATTAACTTAAGATTACTCTTATGTTAAGGTCTTTCATAATGATTTCATGCTTTAAATTGACAAATTAAGGAAAATAATTTACATTTTGAGGTGCTCTGGTAGGGGAAATTTTGAAATTAAATGATGTTTAAAATAAACTACCAGGATGAGGATGTACAGAATTGGATATTTGTAAATTAAAGATATGCAATATCATTATCCAAAAATATCACAAATAAACCAATGAAATTAACGAAATTTTAATAATTCGAATTTAAAGCTTATAACAAAAAAATTAATAATAAAAAAAGAAAAAAATAATAAAAATGGCAAAAGGAGCAACAAAGGGAAATAAAGGAGCTAAGAAAGCTGGAACACCAAGTCAATTATTTAATTTATTGTAGAAGCTACAAAGAATGTTAAGAAAGTAACTAAAAAGACCACTGATGCTACTCCAGCACCAGCCCCAGTGACAACTACACCACCTGCACCTACCACTGCAACACCAGTTGCTGCAACAACACCCAAAAAATAAGGAAAGCAAGCAACTAAACCAAAGAAAGCTACTAAAAAAGCCACAAAGAAGGCTCCCAAGAAATAAGCCAAGAAATGATTAGTTATTCAAGAATTAATCTATTAATTAGATATCAATATTTCTTTTTTTTCATATGCATATTTGCATTTAATCTATTTCTTTAATTTTATCAATTTCATATAGATTAATAATCACTGATTTAAACACTTTCTCTGGTTTAATTACCTAATAAAATCAATAATAGATAACATATCAATAAGAATATTAATTAATGTGTATCGATTATATCAATATCGTTTTTGTTTTCATTTCAATATCTTTTTCTATTAATTGTTATTATGTACACTTCAAAAATACTGTAGACTATGTTATGATAATTCATATAAGTTAATCCTTTATATTTTTTATTGCCAAAATATCATATTTAGAGTTGTCCCAAGTTATATCTAAATAAAATTTATTTTTGAAATCTGAATTCTTAATTAATTGATGGGTCTTCTTTAGAGAATCAATCAATATTATAGCCTGAAAAATAGATAGAAATATACTAATTGATAATTTAAAGATGGGATACTTTAATGAAGATGAATTTATAATTAATAAGTAGGATGAATATAACGCATTTTAATGTTATCAAATATATTCAAAAAAAGAAAAAATAAGGAAAAATTAAGTTTTAAGTTGATATAATATCTATAAATAGGAAAAACAATTCACATTTACCTATATAATCAATAATTATATCTAATAGGCAAAATAGTTATTTTTATGTTTATAAACTAATTATCCCAAATAAACTATTCTTAAATTATAAGATGAATACCTTATTTAAATTCTAACACAATAATAAATGATGAAATTTATAACATATTTAAATTAAGAATTGAAAATTTATTAATATTTTTAAATATATATATTATTATGAATAATGTTTTTTTGTATCATTAAATATTACATTATTCTTAATTTTCTTTTTTAGGTTTGTTTTATTTTGATTAAGTTTTTGTTTAATCTTTTTGTTTTTTATTGCTCTTCTCAGATATATTTTATTTAATAGCATCCAAAAATACTTCTCTTAATTTTTTATTTTGATCCTCTTTTATAATCTTCTGATTAAACTTCTCTAAATATTTTAATATAATCAAAGTATCTTCAATACCCTTTTTCCAATAGATGTCTTTACTACTCTCCTCTGAAATACTTTCTTCCTCAGATAATTTTTTAATAAATTCAATAAATTTAGAATTTTGTATCTCTTTCAATCCAGGTTATTAAGTTCTGCCTAATTCAATAGCAGTAAATTAGACTTCTCTTTCTAATTCTGAAGGAGTAATTGCAAATAATTTCAATATGTTAGTTAAAAGCATTAATCTTTTTTTAAACTTTTCCTCTCTTTTATGATCTACTACAATATTCAATGCTTCATTAATAATATGGAATGCATGTTCAGCAATATGTACTTTTTCTAATACTTTTGTTCCAACATTAAATGCTTTTTTGACAATATTTAATACTTTTTCAGATGTACTTTCTATCATAGCATTTGTATTAACTTAAAACAAATTTGTAGATATCTCAGACATAGCATGTAAATAATAATATAAATGCCAAAATAAAGATCTGAAATAAGTTAATTGATGTTTATTTTAAGGTTATTTTATCTGATTCATTTCCTATTCAATTTTAAATGAATCTTATTAGACTAATTGATTAATAACTTTATCTTATGCGCTTACTTTGTTTTAAAGTTCTTTCAATTATTTTTCCATTTATTAAAAATATGAAATCATCACTTATTGTGCATCAGATTGTGAATCCTGATTTATAGGTTAAACAGAATATGATACAGACCTTTCAATACATGTTACTTTTTCTAAATATTCTTAAATCTATTAAGTATTTGTATTTGTTTTAGGTAATTCTGCTATTTATTTTTTCATTTTTTGAATTTCATTTTCAATCTTTGTAATTAATTTAACTTTTGTTTAAATAAAATTTAAATTTCCCTAATTCAATCTTAATTCATTTTTCCTTTAATCGGTTAAATTTTCTATTTAATATTATGCTTATTTATAATATTGAGTAGCTAATTCAAATTGTTAATCTGAATAATATCGATCTCCTGTGTTTACCAAAAATAATGGATTATCAGGACATATTCTAATTGCATTTAAAAAATCTTATAAAGCTTCATCTTTCTTACCAATACTCTAAAGTAAAAGGCCTACTTTAAAATAATAAATATACCTCTGTTATTATAAGCTAAACTGTAATTAGGATCTATTTCGAGAGTTTTATTGTAATCTTGAAGTGACAATTCCTTCTTTTAATTACCATTATAAAAGATAGCTTTAATTATATTTAATTCTACCTCGATTATAATATAGGGTTGCATTTTTTGGATTTAATTATATTGCTTTATTATAATCCTATAAAGCTGCTTCCTTTTAATCCATACTCAGCAATAAATTGGCTAAAATTTTATAAATTCAATAACCTCTACTAGAATAAGCAAATGATTCATTTGGACTTATTTCTATAGCCTTTGTGAAATCATTTAAAGCTAATTATTAATTTTTCATTAAATTATAGACATCTCCTTAATTTGTTGTAATATATTTGATACCTCTCTTTATAATTGTATTTTAATTATTTGGATTTATCTATAAAGCTGTATTGTATTCTATAATTGCCAATTCTGGTTTATTCATTTCTTTCAATATTAAACCTTATATAAGCATATCTATAATACCCTTAAGAATATAAGGAAGTTCGCTTTTTGGATTTATTTCAATACATTTGTTACAATCATCAATTGCAAGGTCATTTTTGTCAATACATCTGTAACACAATGCTTCATTAAGAATGGATAATACCTCTCTAATACAATCCATTAAAATAATTTGGATCAATTTCAATTGCTTTATTATAATCTTATAATGCCTTTTCATAGTCCTTCACTGGATCTTGTAAAATGTTACCTAAACATCAAAATGATAATTACCTCTAGATAAATAATAATCAGTTTTATTAGGATTAATCAGAATAGCATCTGAATAATCTTAAATAGCTTATGAAATTAATTTTTTTTCTTTAAGTAAATTTCCTTTTTATTATATATTTTGCTTACCTCGAATTATTAGAATATCACCTTATTTTGGATTGATTTGTAAAGATTTATTATAGTCTTCTAGAGCTCTATCTTTATCATTCATTTATTATTATAACAATTAGCCTCTTGAGGAATATGTAGTTTCACTTTTAGGATTGGATAGAATAGCTTTATCATAATCAGCAAGTGCTTTTTCTTTTTCATTCATTTTAGTCCACAGTAAAGCTTAATATAATTGGATAACAATAATATACCTCTATTATGATAAGCAACAAAATTATTTTGATTAATTTCTAAAGCTTTATTGAAATTCTCAAGAGCTTATTCGTATTAATCTAAAGATTTCAATAAATTGCCTAAGTATGAATATCATAATTAATTACCTTTGTTAATATAGGCGTCAATACATTTTGGGTTTATTTCAAGAGCCTTATTATAATCATTTAATGCCAAGTCCTTTTAGTTCATATTAATAAAATGGTTGCCTATAATAGATTATAAGTATACCTCTTTCATTAAGAGTAAATGTGACTTCTAGGTTTAATTCTATTGATTTATTTAAATCTTGAAGTGCCAAATCATTCTTTTAATATCTTTAATAAATTTTAGCTTTTAAAAATATGTTTACATTTTACCACGATTATAATAGGCAATATAAATGTTTGGATCAATTTCTATTATTTTATTAAAATCTTAAAAAGCTAAATCATTCTAATTTAAATCTTTATACAAATTTCCTAAATTTAATGATGATATTTACCTCTAATATTAATGGTATTAATATGATTTGGATGAATTTCTAAGATTCTATTTAAATCTTATAATGCTTTTTCAAATTCATTCATTTACTTAAAAAGTAAGGCTACAGAAATATATATAAGACTTGAAACCTCTATTCTTTAAAGCAATTATATTGGTTGGATTTATTTCTATAATTTTAGATTAATCATTTAAAGCCTAATCAAGTTTATCGATCAATTTATAAAGATCAGCTAATTTTATATACTATAAAATATCTACATCTTTTCATATAAGCATTCTCATCTAATGGATTTAATTCTATATATTAATTCAATACTGTAATGGCAAGTTCATTTTACTTCAATTCTTCTAAAAAGATAGCTTCCATAATGAATATTTATACCTTTCTTCCAATAACCATTTGAATTTTTTGGTGCAATCTCTATAATTTTATCATAATCTTTCATTGCTAAATCATTCTAGCCTAACTCTTTATACATATTAGCTTTTCTATTTTATAAATATATACCTCTTTTGTAATAATTCTCAGTTTCATTTGGATTAATTTCAATAGCTTTTGTATAATCTTAAAGAGCTTACTCATTCTATCCAAGATATTTTAGTAGATTTCCTTTAATAAAAAATTAATCTTCTACCTCTATAAATATAAACATTGACATCTTTAGGGTTTAATTCTAAGATTTTATTGTAATCATTCAAAGCCTTTTCATTTTGATTAATTTCTTTATAAAGAATGGCTTCAAATAGAAATTCAAATTACCTCTATTTTTATATGCCTTGACAAATTTAGGGTTAATCTCTATAGCTAAATTAAATTCTTCAAGGGCCTTTTCTTTTTCATTCGTATCTTTAAATAAGATTCCTTTCTTTAAAAAAAACTTAATACCTCTATTAACATAATTATTTGCTACTTTTGGATTTAATAAAATGGCTTAATTATAATCTAAAAGGGCCTCTTAAAATTTTTCCATTTATTTTAAAAGTATTCCTTTCATTACTATAATAAAATACCTCTACATTAATAAGAATAAGCTCTTTTAGGATCAATTTCAATTGATTTATTAAAATCTTCCAAAGCATCTGATTTCCTTTTCATATCTTAAAACAATTCTCCTCTTTCAAGAAAAGCCTCACTAGAAGATGGCCTTGTTTCAATTGCCTAATTAAGTTCTAATAAAGCTTCTTCATGCTTTCCTAATGTTCGAAGGATCAAACCTAATTATAAATGATTTCTCTAATACCTCTTTAATAGTGGGCAGGATAATTCATTTTGTCTAACTCCAAAGTTTTCTAAAATACAACAAGAGCTTCTTATAAACTGCCTTGTTCTTTCATAATTAAACCTATAATGGCTCAAAATAATTATACCCTTTAAGTTAATACTTTTAACAAATTATGGATCTAATTGAAAACACATTTCAGCATCATTGATAGCCAAATTGTAAATTTTGTTTTATCTATGAATAAGAGCTAAAATGACATGGTAAGATACATCTGTTATAATAAGCCTCTATTAGTTGAGGATTTAGTTAAATAGCCTTATTTAATTCATCTTATGCCTATTTCAGATCTCCTTTTTTTATTAATAACTCACCTAATATAATTTATTTAGTTATTGTTACCTTTTAAATTTAAGGCTTATGAATAGTTAGGATTTAATTTTAAGGTTTCATTAACTTCATTAAGAGCTTCATCAATCTTTTGATTTTATTGTAAGGTCTGGATACATAATATTTAACTACCCGAGATTTTTCAAAATGATCTTTTGCTTTCTATAAGCATTCTTCTTATGATTCCTAATTTTATGGATTGCTATCTTGATTCATCAATTTATTTTTTTTAATATCATTTTTTTCTCAATTCCATATTTAAAAAATCCATATATTTGGGTCATTCTGATCAATTTAATTTTTCAGTCTTATATTAATTAAAAATTACAATTAGGAATTGTGGAATATAAAAAATTCTGCATAAAATTAATAATAAATTAACATGGAAGAAATAATTATTTTTGACTAAGATCAAGACATGGAGAATGTTTAAATATTATAATTTATTATTTAGATATAGTTTTCAAGAATAATTATTAAGTATGATTTTCATCAATCTTATTATTATGAAATAGTCTTATAGGATGAATTATAATAATTGATGATTTTGAAATTTATTTATTTTTATTAAAGTTTCTTTTGTATCATTTAAAAAGCAAAATAATTATTAAAGCAAAAGAAATCTAATATATTTAATTATGTCTCAGGGACTAAAAAAGATAAATAAGATTATTAATTTAAATCATTTATAAATTAATCTTAGCCATACTGGTTTTAATATTTTAGACATTGCAGTATTTCTATAAATGCTTATATCTAATAAGACAGAATATTTTAAATTTTATAATTCTGCTTGTTAATATTATTTTATTCAAAATTTTTGCAATTTTAATATGTGGATCAAGAAAGAACTCAAAATTTCAAATTTTGAAAAAATTATAATATATATTAATAAAAATTGTTGAAATTAAAATAATATTTTATTAACAATAAACTTATATATTATTAAATAAAATTAGTCTATAAACCCTTTTCTATTTTTATGTATATATGGAAACAAAAGAATTTTAGGGTTTGAAGATTTATCATTATCATTTAATTATATTTAAAATTAATGAATAATGTATAATGAATTTTCCTTAATAAATTTAATGAATCATTTCAACTCTTCTTCTATTTCTCAATACAATAAGTATCCTATCAATACTGTTAAACTTAAAACATAACCTGAATCATCAGTTTAATTTAAATCATTTCCTATTGTAGAATTGTTAGGAGTCATAACAATTTAACATTAAGTACATGAATTAGTTTTGGAATTCCATGAATACATGTAAGCTGATAAATTGTAACATTCTGTATCAAGTAAGGCTTTTGGATCAGTGGCTGTACATTTACCATTCACATTACGGCAAATATTTAACTTGGATGAATCCCAATTAGGGAAATATAAACATCTACCAGATTAAGCACCAAAAGATTCACAAGTATGATCAACACAAGAACTACTTGTATTTGCAGTAGCAGCAGTCCATTTACATCTATCTGATGCTTATTAACATGCATCTTAATCTTTAGTAGCACTTGCACAATTTCTCATTAATGAACATTTTCCTGTCGTTGTATTTCCAATTTTAGTTTCAGTCCAAATACAAAATCCATCAGTTCCTTTAGAATAACATCCAATTTTGGTTGTATATTTATCGCAGGTACTTCTAGGGATACATTTAGTTCCATCAGTAATACAATTATTAACAATACTACAAGCCATTAAAGTAGTACCACCAGTAATATCATCACAAGTCCTAACCCGACAAGTATTTGTACCTTAAACCCCAGTACACAAACCTTCAGTACCTAATGCATTGGTACATGTATTGTTTTTTGTGTATTAAGTACATGAATCCTTAACAATACATTTTGTACCATCAGTTGTACATGTAATTAATTAAGAAGAACAAGCCTAATGAGTTGATCCTTAGAAATCAATACAGTTTTCATCTCTACAAGAATTAATTGTTTGATCCCATTTACATTTGCCTGTTGAAGTTATTTATTTCATTGAATTAGTTACTCTACCAACTTTATTAAAATGGCAAGCATCTTTAACATAAATTGCACATTAACCTAATTCAATACAAGATGTTGTTCCATTTGTAGTACAGTTAGGATTAGCAGCTTAGCATTCTGAATGAGTTTTAAATAAGGCTAAAGTACAACTGACATATTTAGTACAAGATTTATTGGCAGATCCTAGGGATTAGACTAATGTAATACAAGTACCATCAGTACCAGTCACACATCCTCCATTTACATTTGTTTTATCACATGATGTAATACCGATACATGATGTTCCATCAGTAGTACATTTATCTGATATATATTTACATAATGAATCTTAAGTCCAATAAAGACTTTTACATGAATCATAACGGAAACATGCACCTTTAGTATTGTCATCATTAGGATAATCAGGCAACCAAATACATGGTCCATCAGTTCCTACAACACAAGCTGCTTGAACAGTAGTTGATGTACAATTTTAAATTGGAGCACATCTACTACTTTTACCAGCTGTACATTTACCTTTTAAGTTTTTATCACTTGGGTTTTAACAAGTTTAATGAGTAGAACCAGAAATATCCTTACATTCCTAATTTCTACAAATAAATGTTTCTGAATCCTAAGCACAAATTAATCCATTTGCATCAGTATTACAAGCAGCTTCACCTTTAGCAGCAGAGCAAGTACTTCTTTCAATACAACCTCCACCTTATTGAGTATTGCAAGTAACTCCTGATTTTGGAGTGAAGTATTGTAAGCATTAACTCTCAGATACCAATGTTTTTGGAGCTGTATTACATGTCTTCAAAACACAATAAGCTATTTTATTTGGATCTTCAGGAACAATCCATTCACAAAGATTGCCACTGGAATCTGATGTACATCCATTTTAATTTTACACTATTGTACATGATCCTCTATTAACACAAAATTTACCATTTGTTGTACACTTAGAATTTTTAAAGAGTACAGCACAAGCTGAATCTTCAGTGTAATAATAATCTTCACAACTTTTAGTTTTGCATTTATTTTCTGTATCTATCATTGTACAATAATAAAGGTGTGATGAACAATCAGAAGAACTTGTTGGATTAACAGCATTTTAACAAGTTCTTTGAACACATTATCCAGATCCATTACTTTCCAACCAAATGCATTTATTCTATTTAGCATCTTCATCAACACATTGTACTTTTGACATTTCTTCACATGTATTAGGAATAGGAACACATCCTTTTTCATCCTTATCAATTGTACATTTTATATTGGCAGCATTACCATATGATACACAAGCATCATGTGTAGTGAATGTATCATCAGCTTATGCACAACTTGCATCTCCACATTTTTTAGTTGTTTCATTCCAATAGCAATTTACAAAATTATCATCATCATCCTTATTCTTACTTATTTTACATTATCCAGAAGTATAATATTCTGTACATAATCCAATTGGCATACATCCAAATTCTTTGTATGTTCCATCATCTTCCTTTTTAGCTCCTAATGTACATTCTCCAATTTTATAATAATTTTAGCATTATTCAAAATTAGTGTATTAATTAGGATCAGCAGATCTACAAGATTTATCAACACATTTATTGGGTGTTTCAGCTAAACTCCATACACATTCTTTCTTTTAGGCATTTATCTTACATTATTCTTCTACTTTATAATTTATGCAAGCATCCAAATTTATGCATCCTTCCAAAGTTGTTCCATTCGTCCCTACTTTAACTGTACAGTTTCCTACCTCTTAACATTTAATATGATTAACATAAGTAGAATCAGCATTAGCACAGGTTCTATCAAAACATAATTTGGATATAGAATTCCAAATACATTTTTATCCAATATTACTCACAATGCATGAAGTTGATTCTGTGTAACTTGAGCAAGGTCCTCTCTTTGCGCATATCTCTTTAACAGCTGGAAGATTACAACTTAATTATTTTGCTTAGCATTATTCTGCACTTGGACTCGTAAGATCAGTTATCCAACTGCAAGATTTTTAAATACATTTTTGGATTTCATCCCAAACACATGGTCCTTCTATATATGCATATGCACAATTTTCTTTTAAACTATAATCTTTACAATAGTCTTATTTTTCTATGCAAGCAGTGTTATCAAAATTTACTGAACATTTTATATCAAATTGGAAACAATTAAAAAATGTATAAATTCCTTTGTAATTTTTACATATTAAATAATCTGTGCATGAATTACTGGGTGGGTTTGTAGCTGTACAGTTAACATTATACAATTAGCACATTTCATGAGTTTAGTTAATTTAACCACCTAAAATAATATCTGAACATTTATGTTGCTATTCGTTATATCTTATACAAGTATCTTTAGTTGCATTTAAAATGCACCACATTCCTTAAGTAGACTACATAAAATAACATTCGTCAAGGTTTTAATTATTAGTGTTATAATCGGAACAATGTTCACTGGCTTATCTGCACTTTGATTATGTGATGTTCGCTGAACATTTTCCATTGCTGACATCAAAACAATATTAAGGAGTTATTTTTCCAGTTCCATTTGCTTAATTTGTAACCTACCCACAATGAACTACTGGACCTTTCACACAAATAGAATTGAAGGCATAGCATGGTCCATCAATTCCTCTTGTGCACATAGTTGGTAGTAAAATAGAACAAGGACTACCAGCTACAAAATAGCATCCACTTCCATCATTTTTAACACTCAATTCTTAATCTATATTTTGGCACATATCATAAGTATATGTCCCCTAAAAAAGTCCTTGATTAGGAATACACTTAAAATGCCAACTGCATTTGCTTAAATGTTTTTGACATTCATTATGATCTCTTCCTTTAATATTTATGCATGACTAATCCATCTCTTCACAAATATTATCTGGCATATAACATCTTTAAAAAGGCCAATCTATTGACTAAAAAGGCTAATATAAGGACCATGCACATTCACTATGCGAAGTATATTCAGCACAATATTCTTTTCCTAAAATGCAAGAATCACCAGTTTTATTGACTACACACCTTTTATTCAAACTATTACAATAATGAACAGTTAGACCGGAACCCTTTACTTTAGTACAATCAAATATAGCATCTTCACAAACTAAATCTTACAAAAAAGGATTAGGTCTCAAAACACATTATTATACTCCATCAACAATTGTTGCTTTACAAGCTTCAAATGTCAATATTTCAGAACAATTTACTGATGCATTTACACAACTTTTAGTAGCTTCATTCCATTTACATTATTATTTATCACCAAGGATTCCTCCCAAACATGCTTCTCTATATTTATACTCAGCACAAGTGTTTTTTTTAATTTCACATTATGACAATGATAAATCCTAACATTCTTAATTAATACATTTATTAGTGTCATTATCATTCCCATCCCATTTGCATGGAAAATCATATTTATCTTTTACACATTAGATTTTTTTAGAATATTAATTACAAACTTATCTATCAACACATTTGGTTCCATCAGCACTGATTGTGCATTTATTATTGGATGCATTTGAACAACCATCATGAGTAGATTTATCCAAATTTGCACATACATCTCCATCTACACATAATTGTTATATAGTATTCCAATAGCAATTTAAATATTATATAGGATCTGTATTAGGAATTTTTATAACATTAGGTAAACAGGAATTCTCACCTAAACCATCACAATTAGTTGGATATACTGCACATACCTTATTTGATTTTCCAACAATACAAAGAGAATTATCATCTTTATCCTTTAGCCAATTTTGACAATCATTATGGCTTACTTTATCATCTAATACTACTACACTATTTGCATAACCTACTCTTGTAGCATTAGCACATGTTTTCTCATAACAATTTTATCCATCCCAAAGACATGTCTTACCTCCATTTCTTTTTGTACCTACAACATTGCGTTATTCTACGATTTTACGTAACTCACATTAAATAACTAATTCCATACATCCTTTCTTACTTAAATTAGGTACACAATTAGATTTCTGTTTATATGCCTCACATAGAGCTACTGTATAAACATCATCAGTCTTAATTGGAGCAGTAGAGCAAGTAAAATCAATACAAGATAATCCATTCCAACCACATCTACCACCATTAGATTTCAACTCACAATTTTCTTTAATAGTTAATGCTGAACATGTTAATGGTATATCCATACATCCTTTCTTTGTGTTAGATAAAGTACAATTCTTTAGATATTCTTAGCATTCTGCATGAGTAATGTATGTTTGTGGAGCAGAATTACATTATTTTTAGTAACAAAATTCATAGTAAATACATTCACCACCATCCTTATTTTTTATACAATTATCCTTATCAATAATATTTTCACAAATTAAATCAACACAAGTACCAGATGAGTTAACAGTACAAGTATTAATTTGTTCATTACATAATGAATGAGTATTAAATCTAGATGGTAAACTTGCACATGTCTTATCTAAACATTTATCTCCTAAAATATCCCAATAGCAATCTTTGCCATTAATATCTTTAAAGCAAGCATCTCTTATTTAAATTGCTGAACAAATAGTATTAGTAACACATCCACCATCTTTTTTGGTGATGCAATTCTTATTTGAAAGATATTCTTCACATCCAGAATTTGTAGTAATTGTATTTGGGGCATTTTCACAAGTTCTATTTTAACATCCTGCAATATTATTAGCTTTGCCAGTACACTTTATTGAGTAAGTTGAACATTATTCATGACCAATAATTTCACTTCCTGCATTTTCACATGTTTTGTCTTTGCATGTACCATTCCATGTACATTATTTATTATTAAATCTATCAATACTACATTAATCAGGAACAATAGAACTTGCACAACTAATATCATCAACACATCCTGCACCATTTGTTATACATGAAGGTAATAATTATTTTTGACATTCAGAATTTGATTTCAATGTGTTTGGTGCATTTATACAAAGTTTATCTTTACATTTATTCTCTATTGATGACCAATAACAATCCTTTCCTGTACTATCAATCTTGCAACCCTCGCTTATCTTTCCATCTGAACATGTTTTTATATCAACACATCCACCATTTTCTTTTGCTGTACATTTATTAGAAAATTTTTAGCAATCATCATGAGTTCTATTAGATGTTAATGCAAACTCACATTTCTTTTCATAGCATTTATTATTTCCCCAAAAACAATTAACTGTTCTTGCCTTATTAGTTACACAACCTACTTCTGATATTTAATCTTCACAATTAGTACCAGATTCTAAACATCCTCCTCCAGTTTTAGCTGTGCATTCATACTTTAATTATGATCTACATTCAGAATCTTTTGTTAGAGTAGATGGCAATTAACTACATTCAGTTACATCTGAACATTTCTTTGTTATTTCGTCCCAAAAACAGTAATTTGTCCTACTTTAATAACAGGAATTTGATGTGACATAAGTTGAACATAAATCAATTTCTACACATGTGTATCCATCTGATGTACATCTTTTTGATTGTGCTTAACATTCATCTTTATTTGTCTTTTGAAAAGGTGTGCAACTTGTAAAGAATGTACACTTATTATCAATCCATGCACATTCATTCTTATTAAGACAATCATTTTGTCCTTATCCTTCACAATACAGTGATTTTCCATAATTCTTAATAGTTATTTCTGTTCCTGTACTTTATGATACTTCACATACTAATTTTGTTAGATTCCATGAGCATTAATAGTTTCTATTACAATCTGAAGCAATTAACAACTACGCACAAGTACAAGCTTCAGTTTTACTTACTACTTGGCAAGTTGCAATATTTATTAAGACTATAACGAATAAAGTTCTCTTCATTAGAAGTATAAATTTATTTTTTTATTTTAATTATTAAATATTTGATAATCCAAAAGTTATTTGAATTAATTTAAGATTCTTAACCATTTTTTTATAATCGTCATCATTAATTAAATTAACACATATAAGTTTCTATATCACTTCATCCTTTTCTAACGGTATTTTTCAATTCTAATTGGTAATGATGTATTATATTGATTTAAGAATATGATAAAATATTGTTTTAGAGTTTAAGACCTGTCTTTTAACTTCTGATCGATTAAAGGCTGTTATTTATGAGAATAAAATCAATAAATATGGATCTAATACTTAACCAGGAGGGAATACCATATTCATTTTGTGAGATGTAAGATCTATATGTAACATCTAACCTGGATTTATAATTATGTCCTTGAAAATCTTAATTCAAAACTTAAGCAATAAAAATTGCTGATCTTCAAAAGTATGATAAAGAATATATATTTTCAACTTAAGTATGCAGAACTTCTAGCAAAATTTATAAAAAATTAACAATATAAAAAGAAGTTTGGTGGATATAAGTATTGTTTTTTTAGAGTAATCATTGTAATAAGGCATATTTAATATTGTTAGAACATAATAATCAACAATTCAAATTTGGAAGCTAGAAATGCCTTCAAAAAATGAACATGATGAATTGTGAATTAAAATTATGATTAAGTTCAATAAATTTCAGTTTAAGATCAAAAGAAAGAGAACATTCTAGTATTCAAACACAAGCAAATATTATTAACGACTCAATAAGAATAGTTTTAACAAAAAATTTGAGTTTAGCTTTAACAGTTTATGAAAATAAAAATTTTCATATTTCAATATAAAATTTAAAGTCATTATTTTTTTAAATAAATTATTTGAAATAATTAAGTTTTACATTGTAAATAATATTCAATCATTATGTGTATTATTAATTATCGATAAATTATTACAAACGATTAACTAATTTTTTCTACTTCTGATAATGATAATTATTAATTATTCACTACATAAAATTTTTTAACTTATATATTCATTAATAATATGTTTTAAGAGTGAAGTATCATTTAATTAAAACTATTTATTATTACTGTTTAAATATTAAATATGATCATATATTTTAGTTCAATTTTTATATTATTAGGATGCGTAAAACTAAAGTATTAGTGTTAACTTAATTTAAAAAAAAAATAAAAATTAATTTTGCAATCTCTATAGATTATGATGATTTAATCATCATTTTGTTTAAATATAAGAAGAGTATAGTTTTGCTGAAATTTTCTAATTCCCAAATAAAAAAGGCTGAATTTTAAAAGTTCTATTATATAATATAAAAATAAAATAAAATATTTTTCAAACAGGTTAATATTCAGAATAACAAAAACCTTTAAAATTGAAATATGATATCAAGGGTTTTAATTTATTTGAAAAATGTCATAATTGTATATACTAATATAATTTATTTCTTAATTGATAAGGGGAAAATAATATATATTTTTTAATTTTCTTCAATTATGCTACAATCAATAAAAAATATTCATCCAATTAGATTTAAAAAAAATGCTATCATAATTTAATAACACTCTATTCTATTTAAATGAATATGAGTTAAGAAAAATTTTTTGAATATAAAATTTTAATTGTAAATTAATTATAAGAATACAAATCGAAATAAATTAAAAAAATAAAGAATATGAAAAGTAGATTTAGTTTTTAATTAAGGGTAAAAAAATTATGGAATTTAGGAAGTTAAATATATTGTATATTGTTATCTTAAGGATGAAATTATAGATTATAAATATGACTTTCATTTTTTTATATGAGGTTATACTTCTGATATGATTTCGGTTATGCAACTTATTAATTTTCTAACATTGGGTAAATCTAAACATTCGTTTGGTCCATGTTCATTAGCACCTGTCCCTAATACTCCAATAATTAAAAATGAAGCTTTAGGATGTATTTATTATAAATGAGTCATTAAATAAATAGCTCCTCCATCTCCAAATGTGGTTGCTTCATTCCCATAATAATTTAATGATGCTTAATTAATTATTGAATCTAAATAGGGCTGATTATCTAATGCATTAAATCCAGGTCCTGATCTCAAACCACTAATTGTAACAGATGCATTATATGGAACATTAGTAGTTAACTTAAAATATATTATAAAAATATACTAATTTAACAAAGCTTTCTTTAGCTTCCAAGTGATTTTTAGTAGGAGGTAATCGTAAAGATAATTTTAGAGTAGTTTTAGGTGTTATAACATTTCCAGCTTGATTACAATTAGGTATGTCATCTCCACCAGTAACTGATAATTAGGCTCTCCATATTTTATTTAAGTAAACTAGGAAACGATCTTGAAAAACAGGTTAAGTATTTTAATGAAAAGGAAATTTAGTAATTACTTCTTTAAAAACTTCTGCAGTTTTTTGAGTTTCTAAATATCTCTTGCCAGGTATGATAACTTGAAAATCATCAACCACATCTCCAGTTTATGGATTATCAATTCTATTTAAAAGTTATCTGAAAATTCTAAAAGAGGATGGAATTATTCCAGATTCACCTGAGTGAATTCCTTCATTTAATACTTAAACTGTGACAGTACCCACAACTATACCTCTCAATGTTGTTGTAACCCAAAGTCTATCATAGCTCCCACAACTTGCATCCAAAGCAATCACTAAATCCACTGAACCAATTTTTTCCTTTAATTTGTCTAAATAATGATATATATGTGAAGATCCACTTTCTTCATCTGCTTCAAATGCCATTACTATTCTTGGATGTTTTAGCCCAAGTTCTTGTATAGTTTTAATAGAAATAACAGATGCCATAATTGCATATCCATCATCTGCTCCTCCTCGACCATAAAGTTTATCATCAATTATTTTTGGATCATAAGCTGATATCCCCTCTTTCCATCCTGTAAATGGTGGTTGCTTATCCATATGTCCATAAAATAAAACAGTACCATCTGTCATTCCATCAGAGCCTTCAACCTCAACGAACAAAAATGGAGAAAAACCTTCATCACTATAAAGTTAGATTTAGGCATCTATATTTGATATTTATAAATACTCTTTAAATTTGCTTGTCTTATATATTATTCAAAAGATTCAGCAGTCTTTAAGAGTAATCCATTAGTCAAATATTCATTATCAAATTCTCTTGACATACTTGGGATTCTTAAAATATCCATTAAAACAGGCAAGCTTTCATCAAAAGAATTATAAACCTTATCTCTTATTTGATCAACTCTTGAAGATTTCATAAATTGAAAAATGAAAAATAGGAAATTTTTTATATTTTTATCAAAATAAGACGTTCTATTTGTATTCAAAAGTTGAGAATTTATTCTTATTTCAATAATAATATTTTGAATTATAAATGTATTAAATCAAAAAAGGAATTTATTTATAACATAATACAGATTCGAAAAATACACTCAATGAAATAAAGGATCGTCACCTCCAGATTAATTTGTAAATTATTTTTCCCAAACTACAAAAACTCCATTTTACCATTTTCCTTATTTTTCTATTTAATTTTTCCCAATATATGTTCCATTACCATGTCTCTTTCCATTTTTCCATTAACCTTTATAAATCTAAATTGATATTTTCAATACTTACTCTTCCATCACCATAATAGAATGTACCATATCCATCTCTTAAATCATTTAAAAATTCACCAATATATTTAGATCCATCATTCCAATAAAATTCCTTTATATAAATTTAAATATTTTACTCCTTATCCATTCATTTTATTTTATTTCCAATACCCTATATATTTAGTCCCATCTGAGCATTTATAAGTTCCATAACCACAAAAACAATTTTCTGCAAACTCTCCCACATATTAAGAACCATTTGCAACTGTATATACTCCTTAACCAAATTTAATTCCATCAACATAATTTCCCTCAAAACTTGCTCCATCTGGCCAAAGTTCTTTGCCTTAACCATTCTATTTATCATTAATCCATTAACCTACATAATATCCACCACTTGAAGTAGTTAATTTACCCTAATTTAATCAGGAATGTACATACATAACCATGGGCTTTGTCATCTTTCCAATCTCCTTCATAAACATCTCCTTCCACATGTATAAGTCTTCCCTTTCCATTTTATTTATTATCCTTCCAATATCCTTCATAGTATGAGCCATCTGACCAGTATTAAATTCCTTTACCCCATTTTGCACTAAAATAGCCAAGGGTTATACTTATCCTTCCATTAACCTATATATATATGATCATGTTCATCTTGTACAGGTCCTCTTGTTATCAAGTCTGGTTCTGATTAACAAGCATCATAAATAAATTCGGGTAGGCCTTTTCTCAACTAAAAAGAAAATCAAATTTAAAGAATAACTATACTTATTTGGTTAAATTATCAAGTGTTTCTGGCACCTTCTCGATAGTTTTTAGATTTTAAGGCACATTAGTTTCTTTTGAAAAAGAATTAAACTTCTTTAGATCTACCAATTAAATTTCTTATCTGCTTTATTTTTTTGATGAAGCGTATTCATTAGTGCAAGTGATGGCTACACTGCTATTTTTATGATGATGTTTATGTTTTTTTCTGGTTAAGTATCCTCGAACATAGGCTATAAAGATAAATAGTTGGATTACATTAAATTTTTAAAGCAGCTTTATTTGCTTATTCTGCATCCATTTAATCCTTTGTAACAATTTATTGTGAGTGACACTCCATGATTGAAGATTATCCACAGCAATTTCCCATTAAATTAATTATTATTTTTTTGTATTAAAAAACTAAGGATTGTAACAAATTTTATAAACTAAAATATATATTTTCTTTTTGATAATTTTATACATATTATAGACATCATTCATTAAAGTAAACTCTAACTTCAGGTACATTTTTTAAGATTTATTCATCTTTAATAAAATTAATTACTAAATCGACATAGTCATTCTATTAATATAAATTATAAATTTGAACCTTAACATCCAATAATTCAATGATTGGCTA